AAAGACGAGAGCAGGCCAGATTCTGGGTGTAGAGGTAGCTCTTGATGAATGCCTCGACTCTCCACGTAGCAGGTCCGGTCCAGTAGGTGTGAAACGGGATGATTGGACCGGGGCAGGTGCCGATGTTGGAACCGTTGGCAGCAATGGCGTCTTTTACAGGTGTATAGTTCTCGAGAGTCTTGCCATGTCCGTCGGCGTCGATGAAGTCGGCCTTGCGGGGGTCTGAAGCACTGGCTCGGTCGGCGGGCTCTGGGAGGCTGTAGTAGCGGTCCTCGCCCTCGGCGAAGAACTTCAGACAGTCAAACGGCCTCCTCATCTTCTCAATCCCAGCATAAGTACCCCGGCACTCTTCAATCAGCATGTCAATGTCAGCCTCGGTATCGACATGGGGGCGGGGACCCAAGTAATCGTCCTTGTTCTTTACAGCGGTGATAGGGCGGTTGAAGACATTGGCGTGAGGGTTGATGGTAACAGTCTTGGTGGTGCCCGCAAACTTGACTTTGACTCCCGCCTTGGTCGTCTCGATCAATTCAGTAGGTCCAGCTTTGTCCAAGAAGGCAGGGATGCCAATCTTGCCCTTTGCGGCTACAGAAGGGTCGTTTATGAAGGTGATGACACCGTAGATGGCTGCGTAGAGCAATGCTGCCAGTACCAGGTTCTTGCACAGTGTGAGAACTGCGCGAAGCTTGGATACTTCGGCCATATCGATAAGCTAACGGGCAACGACCCGAAGCAGAATTCCCAGGTATTACTCGACAACCGCCAGTTTCTTGTATGCGTGTCCGCCTTGTAGAGGTTTGAGGTGTGCCGTGGATGCGTTGTATGAAAAAGCACGTGTCAGACTGGCGGTCGGGGCTCGTCGCGACAAGCGTTTCGGGGGGTTGCTATGTTGGAACCACGAGTTTGTTGTCGCACAACCCAATCTTCGCAAAAGGCTATATTAAGAGGAATTATCGGGCGAGGTGTGCAGGCGCATGCATTAGGTGGTACCGAGTGTGGTGCTGCGCGGCTGTGTGAGGCTGTGGAGCGGATCGTAGGCGCAGATTGGCGGGATGGGATAGGTTGAGGGAGAGTCTGTCGGGACTGGAGCACCACAGGAGAATCGCACACAGCGCAGCACAGCGGTCAAGGACAGACAAGAATGAAAGACAAGTCGGCACCAGGGAGCGGAGGCGGCGTAGAAATGGAATCAGGCTTGCGGGTTGTGGACTGCACCAGACCAGCTCCAGTTCGGGGTTGAAAGCAGCTAAACTAATTTCCCTGCAGGCCGCGCCACATGCTGACCCGCGCACCACTTCCCCCCTGAGCACTACCGGACATTCGTCGATGGTTGACAGCTCTACTAACGTCTTTTGTTCTTTTCGCATTCGCTGGCACGTACTCGTATTTCGCGCACGCAAATTTCGAATTGCATGAGGTCGGAGCTCGTCGTCGATGCGCTTGGTTTGCGACCGTCACCCCTTCCCCTAGGGCGGCTACTGCCTACCGCCTACCGACTACCCGACTACCGCGTCCGATTAGGCAAGCGACGTCCCCAGGCGAACTGAGGTCTCTTCTCCCTCTTGCTTGCCTTGCCCGCCTTGCGCCTTGTGACTACACTGTGCCCACCATCGCTTGCATGCTCCACGTTGATGCTGCGATACTCCTGTCTAAAGGCTTCCACTGCCCTATCGTCACCCCAACTGTCGCGTCTTGCCTTTCGCACTGCTTCGCGCGCTCTTCTCACACGCCCTTACTCGGCCGTCACCGCTCCACCACCATGTGAACGGGTCGAGATCCCGTCTCGGTCAAACGGCTCCTTTACGGTTGAGTAAGTATGCCTCTCGTCTATTTCTTCACATGACGTTGTTGGTCGCCCCTTGCGCTCTCGTCGTTGCATTCGCCCGGGTAAACAGCCCGCGATGCTGCGCGATGACCTCACGGTGCTCGACTCCTCCATGATTCAACACCATGCCCCACCCTAAGCGAGTATCTTGAGATCGTGACTTCTGGGCGTCATCTTGGCTTGTCGTGTACATACTAACAGACCTCCTACAGCGTGTTTCGTGCGCCAAAACCTTCGGCCCCGATCCTACTCTACCTTCCTCCAGGGCCAGTGGTAAAGAAAAGCCCGAAAGATGAGGAGCGCGTGATAGCAACGCTACAAGACTCAAGTGCTGCGACCGTTGTCCGCATCAATTACCGTGCATCGTCCTTGCACCAGTATCCTACTCCTTGTCATGATGTCTTGCTCGGTTATGACTGGGTCTGCGAGCATTTGCTTATCGATGAATTCTCGCGACCCTATCTAGCTCGTCTTGGTGTATGCGGAGAACTCGTAGGCGGCTCCTTGGCAACGATGCTGGCCCTGACAGAGTGCCGTCTTGGAGAGAGTCGGATTGGTGCCGCAGCTGTCAATAACCCAATCGTAGATTGGGTATTCCCAGACGAGCTTGCAGTCATTCGACCCGAAGATCTCCCAGAGCCTCAGTATGGCGATGAAACACAACTTCCTGCCGACGAAGACCTGGCTGGTTCGTTAGCAATTCGTGAAGCTGTAGACAATCTGCAAACTGAATGCAAGCGACCCAAGAAGCGTTCCCCAAAAACACCACCTCCGACGTCTTGGCAGGCTAACAGAGACAACACAATCATACCTACTTGGACTTTGTCGGAGCAGCGTGACGTCCTCTTCAAGAAGCCACAAGACTATTTCGATCGATTTGCCTCACCCATCCACTTCTTTCGTTCTCCGCATGCCCAACTAACCTTTCCACCACAAGACGACATCTTCGCGTCACTGCAACCCGATATACAGCCCCTCGACCCCGAGATTCAGATGGCACTCAACCATTATGCTACTTTTGAAGAAGCAGTTAAAGCCCCGCCAGCAATACCCACGTTGAGCAGATGTCGTGCTTACGCTCGAAACTACCCCCCAGGTGGTACCATGCCACTAAGCTTACCAGTGTGGAATATCACTACTGGTCTGCAGAGTCCGCTATCCGATACTACACACGAGCTGGCGAGGATGCTACAACGCAGCATTGCGCGTCAAATTCTGAAATCGCATTCTGGCCGGTCGAGATGGCTTGATGCGGCAGAGAAGAGGCAATACGAAGATATCGCCAAGGGGCGAGTAGAAGTTGACTCGCACGAAGGCGTAGGTCTTTGGACTCAACCAGGCGCGGATGTAGAACAGAACCCACCATTACAACAGATAGGAATTTGGATGAAACAACGCTTGGAGCCAGGCTTTGTCTGAACAATGAAAGATTGTTGAATCTTGTCAAACTCCACACCAGGTTACCTTTCAATCTTCAATGCTTGAAAAAAAACTGGATTTGCATGCTCATTGTCATTCTGCATGTATGGACAATACGCGACTACAGCGTTTCCCAAACAAACGAACAAAGCCATACAACATGCCGGACCTGGGGCAAAAGAACCTATGTCCCAATGACGAACAGGTCAGATTGTTAGCATACAAAGCCTACACAACCGACATGAACACTTCGATACAGCACTAACGCTTACTGGAAGGCTTAACTAGCTGGACGCTGCATACATGCTGTTCTACATGGTAGGTATCTTATGTCTAACACAGCGACGATGGCCACAACTTCAACAATCACAGCAATCGTCACAAGAGCAACAACATCCGTGATGATCGGACAAAATCGCACGCTCTGCCAGCGATCCGCCGTGACCCCCTATAGCTTCACTAAACCCAGCACATTCCCACTTCTTATCCTGTCCGTCTCTATTCTTATAGTTGACCATTTTACCCACCGCCGCCGCCTGAAGATCTCAGCGACACAGCAAGAAGAGCGAGAACTAGCAGAAGCATGGCAAGAGCCCTGGTTAACAAAAGACTGGTCCACATTATATGGACTCATCGCTCTAGCTCATGAGAATGAGATCGAACCCCAGCATACACCTTTCCGCACTGAGTATATCTCCACGATACAGGCGAGGTATAAGAGACCGCAGCGGTGGGCACTTAAGCTACTACTAGAGCGAGGCGTAATCCCGCTCCGCATCGATGATGGTGGAGTCGCAACCACCTGCACGCGAACCTGGGGCCTAACTTCTACGTTCCCTTACATAATCATCCCGTTATACCAGCAAACAAAAAGCAGAGCATATTTTGAGTTCCTCATTCCACATCCCGAACGAGCGGAAGTGACGCGACTCATCAACATCCTCGGACAAAACAGAATGGGCTATGGCATCTCAACACAAATCTACAATTCTGTCATTCAGAGATCCCAGATTTCAACCAGCAGCAATGAGCGGAAGCGACCCAAATCTGGACCAGGCTTCCCTCTTTCTATTGGAGCACAGTCCACGTGTGAGGTTCTACTTCCTTTTTTGCCAGATGGTCGTATATCACAAGCACGAGGCACACATGTTGATAGCCTGAATATTCATTTCAAACCGGGGCCAGAGACAGAAGGCAGGCAAGACAATCGGCCACAATCAAACGGACCCATTGCAAGGGTGCCGTTGTTGTGTTACAGCAGCTGCGCGATCGTGAGGCTTGAAGCACCTCATTGGGGGTATGTTGAACTGGACAATACTGTGTTGGGAGCTGTAGAGGAGAGTGGGATAGAAGATAGATGGGTGAGGGCTGTGTGTGAAGATCGTGCTATGAAAGAGTTGGAGAGATTTGGGCTGGGAATTTGAGTCGACGATACTGACATCAAGAGAGGCTTCTCGATTCACATAAGTGTGCAAGTAGAAAGTATGGAGAACATGAATAATTACAGATATATTCGTCTGCACATCATTATCGGTTGTTGAAGACGGCGCAAAGCAGGTGTTACGCCGGTAATATTTGAGATTATGTCCAGGCGTAAATGCCTACCAACGATGAAGAAGCTCAAAGAACGATCCTGTCACCAGTCTTTTTGTAGACGGTCAATCGAGCTGTTCCATTACGAAGCGAGCAACCCAGAACTTGCTGGTCATTTCCCCAAAGCAAACCTTTAGCTCGGGAAAGAGCCCAATCTAGCCATCTACAAATCAATCAAAGGCTCATCGGCAACCTTCTGCTGTTGAGCGGGCAACTGATTCTGCGGTGCAGATGGGAAACTCTCAGGTCCATACCCACCTGTCGCATAAGGCGCTGCTTGCCACGCCGAAGATTGTGGAGCCTGCTGAGGCGCTTGTTGCTGCTGTTGCCAGTACTGTTGTGGTGGCGGCGCTGACTGCTGTGGAGCCTGCTGTTGCTGTTGTTGCTGTGGCGGTGCTTGTTGCGGCGCCTGCTGGGAAGCTTGTGGCTGGTCTTGTCTGGGGTATGGTGGGTTCTGCCACGCAGTCGTAGGTTGTGCGGGTGGTGAAATGGGCGTTTGCTGCGGTGGAGCACGAGCATATGCTTGCGGAGAAGGAGGTTGCTGTTGCTGCGAAGGTTGAGAGCCGTAGCTTTGAGTACGTTGCATGGGAGGTTGAGAGGGTTGCGCAGCAGCGCTGTCACCATAGTAGAAGCTTGCGCTTTCCGCATCGGAAGGTGGTGCTTGTGGTGGATATGCAGAAGACTGTTGTGGGGTATATTGCTGATTCGAAACTTGGCGCTGTAGTTGTGGCGAGGCTGGATTTGGATACGAAGTATTCGGTGGCGGTTGTGCAAGGTTAGGGTATGGTTGCGATGGTTGTTGATATTGATCCTGAGGCGGAGCATACGACTGTGGACGCTTGTCGAAACTGGGGTATGGAGCTTGGTAGCCGCCACCGTATTGCGATTGGGGTTGTCCGTAAGCACTTGAAGGGGCCGCGTTTCCTGAGTAGTAGTTCTCCCCAGACCCATCTGGCGCTCCTGACTGCTGTATGCTGGGGTATAAGTTGGACGCCGGCCGTTGTGTGGAAGCAGGCAGACCATACATGGCGTTAGCCTGGTTGTATGTGCTCGACAGTCTTTCCTCGAGCATGCGATCGTAGTACCTGACAACTGTAGATAGCTTGGCGTGTAGGTCAAGTAGTGTGTCTGTTCTTGTTAGCGATGTTCAGGCTACCAGGAGGACTTACGTACCATGCTTGCTCATAGTCTCGCCATAGGTGCGCGCAAGTTTCGGCCTCAGTTTCCCAATGCTCTCGTACAGCTCCTGTATTTGTGGCTCCCTGAGAATAGTGCCAGGGGCCTGGTGTTGTAACCGGTCCACCAGTGTAGAAAACAGATTGATGTTCTCCGCTTCGACCGGAGTGAGCTCATAGTCGTTTTTGGGCGCAACAAAAGGTGCTGATCCGCTTGCGTTGGAAGCCTGTTCCCGGAAGGTCGTGGAGTATTTCTTCTTCTGTTCCTCCATGTCCGCCAAAGAAGCTGCAATAGCGGCAGCCAAGTCGGCATCTTCCTCCTCTTCGGGCTGCTTTTTCGTTGTTCCATTGGTCGGCTTGGACTGCTGCAATTGCGCCTGGGACACAAAGCCAGAAGAACTGTTGCCCTTGGCTTCGTCCAAACTCATCTCCAGCGCTCGCTTCAAGTCTGCATCGAAGCTGTCCTCGACGCGCGCATTGCGCGGCTCCATTGAACCCTGATACAGTGTCCGTTGTGGTCTGGGCGTATCGAAGACCCTTGAAAGCGGTGTTCCTCTCGATCTCTCGGTAAGCTTCGCATGACAACCATCGTCGACACGCACAGGGTCCATGATGCCAAGATGGGGTAACGGGATGCTTTTGCTCGAACACGCACCACAGAAGACGTTTCCGCAATTGCGACAGTGGTGCTTTCGGTTGGTGAAGGTGAAGGGCGTGCGGCATCGCATGCAAACGTCGGAGTCGGTCCACTCTGGGGGCTGTACAAGTGTCAGTCGCTGAAGGTGCCTGAGACGCGTGGAGGGCACTTACCGCACTACTATCTAGCATGCTGCTGGAGATGTTCTCCTTGGGAGGAAAGTGGTAACCTTCCCGCTGCAGGCTGTGGTAGACCTCGTTGATGTAGCTCAGGTTGTGGCGCCCTTCAGCAGCAGTCGCCCATGATTGTATAAGCTCGAGCATCTTGTTCTTGACATCGTTATTGGGCGCGACGGTCGGAGGTGCCTTCAACAGGGACGTCAGGTTGTCGAGGAACTCTCGTGAGGCTATCTCTTGGATGAAGTGGGCGCCGCCGTTCTTAACGCACGTGTCGGTAAGCTATAGCGGATCAGCAGAAATCCGTGATGTTTTCAAAGATGCAGTCGTACATTCAGAGTGGCGAGTTGGACGTTGGGGTTCTTGTTCCCTATCCTCTTCTTCAATGCGCGCATGGCATCTCTAGGCTGCACTGTCTTGGATCGAATAACGTCGGATATCTCGAGATTGAGGGGCATGTCCTCTCTGGTGCATATCAGCATGTATATCGAAGCCGTTCACATCTTGAGAAAGCTCGTACAAGCTCGATGATGTGGCGCGCTCGATCTGCTCGTCGAGCGCGCTCGTGGTGGAGGACCCGAACCAGCCCGCCATGGTGTTGAGGCACGCCCAGTTGGGGGACGATTTGTAGAATGTCAAAGGTGCAGAAGTGTATTCGGATGCTGACTTGTGCCTTGGAATAGCGCAGCGATTCGGGTGAGATATGGCGCGCAGTGATAGTAGTAGTGAAGGTTAGGTAGCAAGCTGTCCGAGGTCAGGGTCTTGGCGATGACGCCGGACGGCGGCCATGAGCCGCATCGACCGACACATGCTACAACCCTGCCTACAGCGGGAGAGCCATACACGCCCGACACTTTCACTCCAGGCACCCAACTCCTTGCGGAACTTGCTATCGTAACCGCTTTAGAATCACTGCCCGACTACAAAACGCTGTGCCCAATCACCTGACACCCGATTCGCCCCGCATCCCCGATCAACACTGCCTCTGTACGCACACGTATTCAATTACCGCCACGACCATATCCTGGTGCGCCTTGCTTGGAACCTCTCGAACATGCACGCCTGCCCACCGTCTAAAGTGCGTTTATGAGTGCGGCTGCTCCTCGGCCGCCCTCAGGACCTCTGCCCGCCAACATCACGATGAACGGCTACACCAATGGCTCCCATGGCGCCGGCGCAGACGGATGGAGGAGCGGCGATGGCGCTGGTGACTCCAGAGGCGCTGTAGGCCCATTCCCGCCCATCGCCGAAATCATAGCCTCTGCAACGGATACGGCCGAGTCGCTGAGACACCACTCGGTACACATCCAAGACACGCCCCGTATGCGACGGCCGCTGACAAGACATAGATCAAACTCCTTCTGGATAGGGCCAGAGGACATTTCAACTCGGCCAAGACGATGCTCAACAACCGCTCACCCGCTGGCGCTTACTGGGAATACATCGTCGCATACCAAATCGTCGCCGAACTGATACCTACGCACCGTGACTACTACGACAAGATCAACGGTAGTCGCAGCCAGATCCACCGCGACTTCAACGACCTCATGAAGGAGATCAAGGCGAGCGAAGAGCGATTTGTGCGCATCAAGGACATCATTAAGAACGATAACAAGAGAAACGGCGCCCACCACAGGACTTCCTCTGTACCACCCGCTACGACACCAAGCAACCGAAATGGGATGATTGCATTGCGGAAAGACGACGAACTGATGCTTCCCGAGGTTCCTACGGAACTTCCGAATGGCCGAGCTTCACCTGCGGCTTCTCTGGATTCTGCAAGAAGAAAGCCGGTCGTGCAACCGAAGCCACAATCGCTGCATGGCCGGGCTGTGCACCAGAGTTTGTCGTCAGTGAACGGTGTCAATGATCTCGCCCAACGATTTGCAAACTTGAGAGGCTCTGGCCCGACAGTTGACACATCGTCCGCCCGCTCCAGCCAGGACTTTTCTGTCAAAATGCCGTCACCTGCAGACTACAATTCCACAAATCGAATCATGGGTCCCCGGGGTATGCCTCCACCACCTCTCTCGATGCCCCCACCGCCACCAAAATTACCTTTAGACACACAATTTGCAGCTTCCCTACCAAAGGAGCCTAGTCCTACCTATAGTCCAGCGCGGAACATATCAGGCCCCTCAAGCATCAACGCACCTCGGAGTACGCCTAGAAGTTTGAATGGGACCGGAGGACGTACAAACTCACTTGCTTCATCCAGCGCATCGAGCTATGCGCCTAACGTCAACGGTGCACCGAACTCGTATTTTCCGGCTCAGCAAAGTCTTCGCGATGCCAACGGTAGAACAAGATCTGTCAGTAAGACGGTGGAACTTGAGATCGACGCCAGCATGCTTTACGACTACTACCGTATGTACAATGTACTCACCATCGACGTGCGGGACAGGACAGACTACGACGCTGGACATGTTTTTGTGCGCAACATTATGTGCATAGAGCCACTAACACTGCGCGATGGCGACTCGGCCGAACAGCTTCAAGATCGTCTGATCATATCACCAGACGACGAACAGGACATGTTCGATAGGCGAGCCGACTTTGACGTGGTCGTGTATTATGACGAGTCAACTAAGAACATTGACTTCATGCATAGACACAATCGATCAGATAGCGAAGTTGCTTTGAAGCGGTTATTCGACACCTTGCACGAGTTTAACGCCGACAAACCACTCAAGCGTCCCCCAGTCCTCCTAAAAGGCGGACTTGATGCTTGGGTAGATCTGGTGGGCCCACAAGCTTTGAAGATGTCCTCTACCGCTGCAGCAATGGCGGCTGGTCCAACCAGAACTCGGGCTATCCGACGATCACCCGCCGCTAGCCACATTGCGAGAAACAATACGCAGAGAAGATCAAGACGCGAATATGTTCCCATGGATCAGGAAGAACAACAACAATGGCTGGAGGAAGCTCGAAAAGGACGTGCTGCTGTTCAAGTACCTCCAGCAGAAGGCGAGGAAGAAGAGGAGCCTACGTCGCCATTCTATCGCTCGACAGAAGAGTTTCTGCGTCGATATCCCGATGTCGAAGCTGAACAGTCGTCTATGATGTACCCTTCCAAATTCCAATCGACCAACCAATACGTCGCGCCTGCTATACCTGTTGCACCCTCGCGGCCACCGCCGTCTGTGCCTCGGGTCAGCTATAGTGGCGTGCACGAGCGACAGCAACAGACTCGCGATGTTGTCTACAATGGGCAGCCTCAATTTAGTAACTTGAGACTGCACCGGACTGGATTACTGAACTTTGGCGTCACATGCTACATGAACTCTGTAGTGCAGTGCCTTAGTGGGCATCTATTACTTTCGGACCTGTTTCTCACCGGACGGTATCAGCGAGATCTGCAGCGAGACAATTGGAAAGGAACCAAGGGTATCCTACCAGAGGCGTACGCGACCCTGTTGTCAAATCTGTACAAAGGCGATGTCGGATCCGTCCGCCCCAGCACGTTCAGAGTAAGTTTCTAAGAATAGAGGCAGAAAATAAGCATGACTAATGTTGAGTAGCGTATATGTGGTCATTTCAATTCGCAATGGGGAATCGACGAGCAGCAAGACGCCAAAGAGTTTCTCGAATTTGTTCTAGATTACATGCACGAGGATTTGAATTTAACGTGGAACAAACCACCACTTAAACCGCTCTCGGATGCGGAAGAGTTGACGCGAGAGAGATTTCCCCGTCAGTACTCAGCCATGATTGAGTGGCGAAGGTACCAACATAGGGACATGTCTGTCATTGGCGGTCTATTCGCCGGTCAACACGCTTCACAACTAACATGCCAGACATGCGGCGTGACGAGCACAACATATGAAGCCTTTTGGAGCATCAGCGTAGAAATTCCCCGCGACGGTGAATGCGATTTACGCCAATGCTTAAACTCGTATTGTGCGCCGGAGCGACTAGCAGGAGATGAGCTATGGCGTTGCCCTCGCTGCAAGAAAGATCGCGAGGCTGTGAAGAAGATCACTATCACTCGCGCGCCAGACACGCTCGTCATTCACTTTAAACGCTTCAGTGCTTCTCGCACTGAGAGTGCCCGGAAGGTCCGGACGCCTGTTAATTTCCCCCTCCAACGTTTAGACATGGGACCCTATGTCGAACCACCCATGAGCCCCGAACAAGAGCGCTACGTGTCAGAGAAAGCTCGGGATGGACCTGTGCAGCTTGCGGGTGTCAAGAGTGACCCCACTATGAACGGACCTTATGTGTATAATGCCTACGCTGTAATCTGGCATATTGGCGCTACGCTTGGAAGCGGACATTACATCGCGTTCGTCAAGGATAAATCGAGAGGGTGCTGGAGGTCGTTCAACGACGACAAGATTACAGATTTCGATCCGGGGAATCTCCCGCCTCACAATCGTTTGCAGAACGAGAAGGCTTACATTGTTTTCTACGAGCGTGAAAGGGTCGCCGGCGGCGCGTTCTAGGAGGACATGGTCCTTGACATGTCCGAGATTCTGAGTGGAAATGCGCGTTTGAGTTTCGAGTAGCGACAGGTCATTTGGGTTCGCGGTGGTCTCTCTGTTCATACTTTGTTGAGGCTTACGACATTACATGCTCTGGGAAAGAGCATTGCATACCTGGCGTTGGGATATATACCACTTGAATATCATTCCTGAACACATCTCATTTGCGTCATACATTGAAACTCGGCCCGGTTAGATGCGGTTCATCAGATTTATTATTCGGATGAGTCAACCCAAAGATCGTGAAGTTTAGATGCCTCGTTATGGTGAGTTTGACTCAGACCGATGATCGGCCCGCAGGGATGCTGAGCACCGAACTTTTTTTGAGCGATAAGATAAGCAAGTGACTCTCCGCACGTACGTCGTTCCCCAGACGCCGCAACCCCTCTTCTATTTATTCTTCCTACTCACTTGTTCTCGTCTACCTTCAATTTCTATACCTCCAAACTTGCAAATATGTCAAAGGGACGTGTCTGCCTTGCCTACTCTGGTGAGTTTTCCTTACAATTGGCGATTGCACGACCAATTGCTCTCGTCACGTCTGAGCAAGCAAAACTGACCTGAGTCATTAGGCGGCCTCGATACCTCCACGATCCTGAAATGGCTCATCGGTACGCCAGAACAGTATTCAGAGACGCAGCACAAGCTAATACGCAGACAAAGAGGAGGGCTATGAAGTCGTGTGCTTCCTCGCCAATGTTGGCCAGGAAGAGCCCTGGGACGAGGTCGAGAAGAAGGCGCTCAAGATTGGTGCGAAGAAGATGGTCATCCTCGACCTACAGAAGGAATTCGTTGAGGAGCTCTGCTTCCGCGCTGTCCAATGCAATGCCTCATACGAAGGCCGCTACCTGCTCGGCACCTCGCTGGCCCGCCCAGTCATCGCCCGCGCACAAATCCGCGTTGCGCAACAAGAAGGCTGCGGGTTCGTCTCGCACGGCTGCACAGGCAAGGGCAACGACCAAGTCCGCTTCGAGCTGGCTTTCTACACACTCCAGCCTACCATCAAGGTCATTGCACCATGGAGGTTGCCCGAATTCTGTGACCGCTTCAAGGGCAGGCAAGATCTCCTCGACTATGCTGAGAAGCATGGTATTCCCGTCACTTCCACTAAGGCGAAGCCCTGGTCTATGGATGCCAACTTGGCTCACTGCAGCTATGAAGCTGGTATGGCGAAACACCCAGAGATCGCATTAGTGTGACTAACAAGTCAGGTATCCTCGAGGACCCCGACGTGTCTCCTCCCGACGACATGTGGACTATGACCGACTCCCCGCTCAACGCTCCCAACGAACCCACCGACATCACCGTCTACTTCGAGAAGGGTATTCCCGTCAAGGTCGTTACCCCAGAAAAGACTTACACCGACTCTGTCGAGCTCTTCGTTGCGCTCAACAAGCTTGGTTTCACTCACGGCATCGGTCGCATCGACATTGTCGAGAACCGTTTCATCGGTCTCAAATCCCGCGGCTGCTACGACTCTCCCGCCATGACCATCCTCCGGCTCGCCCATCTTGATCTCGAGGGTCTCGTTATGGACGCACAAGTGCGCAACCTGCGCGACCAGTTTGTCTCGCACAACTGGAGCTACCAGCTCTACAACGGCATGTACTTCTCTCCCGAACGCGAGTTCATCGAGAACAGTCTGTTGTTCTCCCAGCGCAGGGTCAACGGCGAGGTCAGGATGAAGCTGTACAAGGGCAATGCGTACGTCCTGGGCAGGTCCAGCCAGACTGAGAAGCTGTACTCCGAGGAGGAGGCGTCCATGGACACTTTGGACAACTTCAGCCCAATGGATACTACTGGCTTTATTGCCATCCAGAGCATTCGGTTAGTCCACGTTCCTTCCAAAAATAACCTCTTTGTTAACGATATCATAGTCTCAAGAAGTACGGTCTCCAAAAGGCTGAGGAGGGCGAGAACATGTCGAGGGCTTAGAAGGCGACCGATGATATGCGCACCACGTTGACATACTGGAGGAAGTGGCTTCACCGTGAGACAGTCCATGACCAGATAACTTGGGCGTCTCCTCAGGGCTAGATATTGACATGGCCATGTCTAGGGAAGCCCTGAAGTTGAAAAACGACGATAAGATGACATAGATACCAATAATAAAACCATATTGAAGTATTGGACAAGTGCACTCGCATAAGTGATGGGAGCTTAAGAGACTTTCAGCCATGTTCATTGGCCGATTAGCGGTCCCTTTGCGTGTGGGTCGACGCTACCCACGGGAGGCGGTTGCTCCCACCCCGAACCGTTCCGAAGTCGGCATCGCTACCGCGAATATCCAACTTTGCGTTTCCCACGCACTTTCTCTTCTACCTCATCGCGCACACAATCGTTGGAAAGATACGATTAGGTGTAAAACATAGTGACATTTAGAGTGAGTAAGGCTATTGCTCGTAAGTCAGTTGAAGGTGAGTATATATATTGACAGCATGAAATATCCTCTTGTCGACGACTGGATAGAAAGAAAGTAAGGACATGTCGTTGTTACGCGCGTTTGTTCGTTCGCACGCTACTAGCTATTCCTCCTTTACATCCTCGGTAACAAGGCCCTCGAGAAAAGATTCCTCCTCTTCTTTCGCCGCTTCATTCTGTCCGCTTGTCGATTCTACCTGCGGTTGTTGCACATAATTTTGTTGTCCGATATCAGGACTGGCGGGATTTTTGTGCGGGACAGACAACGATAACAATGAGGGGACATGGTTCAACATGATGTTCTGGCCGACAATGTTGTTGAACTGAGTGGGCGACGCATGGGAGGACTGGTACCATGGAGGGCGTTGTGGAGCTGGTCGGTGCTGTTGCGGATGGCGGTTGGCGTAAAGAGACATATATGGGTGTCGTCTCTGCTGCTGTTGCAGAGGATCACTAAGGGAGGATGGAGCATACGAGGGTAGCGGCTGCTGTTGTTGCAGAGGAATATGGGGGAAGGTTGGCGTATAGGAAGGTAGTGCCTGCTGTCGTGAAGTGTCGTAGGTGTAGTTTGGCATATACCAGGATTGCGGCTGTGCCAGAGGGAAGCCGTTGGCGTGGATTGGCATAGACCAGGGTTGCTGCTGTTGCGAAGGGTAGCTGTCAATGTAACCTGAAGCATATGATTGGGCATATGTAGGTGGCTGCTGGTTGTAACTTCCATCCTGGTGGAGGTCGATGCCCTGAGTTTGGAATGGAGGTTGCGGCTGTTGTTCCTGGATTTGAGGCAGGAGGTCGTTGGAGCCAACGTCCACACCACCCTCCTCAGTGTTGTTGAACGCCTGGGCAGCATTCATCGGAATGGTCATATCATCGATCCGCGGAGCTTCGTTTGCGGATGACAGGATAGCTGGATCAATGGTGCCATCGTAGCTACCTGGGAAGGAGGCAGAAGCATGATCCAAAGAGAAGATTGTGTCTGGCGTTGTTACAGCGCTTTCGTGACCATTTTGCAGCGGGGCAGGATGTGGAAAGAATTGTGGATCCATCACGACCGTGTTACTCATCCAACCAAAGTCTGCGCCGTTGTAACCCCCATCCATATTGAGATTGAACATACTGGTGGGCTCACTCAAGAACCCCCCTTGTTCACGCGTCAAGGATTCCTGGAACATTCTTTCATACTCAGGATACCAAATGTTAGGTACTCCGAAGCCATCAACGTTTTGGCTTGGTGGTAGTGGTGGTTGAGAGCTCATCATCCCTGATGAGGGCACAGCAGGCCCCATGTTGCCCGTTCGATATAAATGCGAGATATAATCTCGAGCTTCCTGCTCATTGCGGCTTCCATAAGGGTGCATTAAGCGTGGAAAAGATGGCGCACCAGATGCTTCTTGTTGGATTGCTGGACTGTGAACAGCGGCAAGACCTTGAGGCCTCGAAACCGGACCATGTCCAAGAGAATGATGTTGGTCCGGGACCATTGTATCGCCTGGATTCCTCCTGGGCTTTTCAGAAGCAGGCATTAGCTTTCTGTATGATGTTTTTGGCTTTGGATTCTCGTCATCTCCCTCAGATTTCCGTTTGCGCGTGGCGGTCGGGCCGTTGGGGTCGTTTTCCTTTGGAGGCATCGTGATTTGGCTAAAAGTTCACTGAAGGTTTGGTAAATCAGATGAAATCATGTCACATTCATGAATCGCTTTATATTAATACTTATCTCATCCTAAAAGTTAAGCCTGATGGTGGAACTTGGTTGGGATCATAGAACTGAGCATTTTCATTGGTTACTTCCCAAATAAGCTCTAAACGTTCTCTATCCGTGGATTGACGCCGTTCATACCATAGGAATACAAAGCTTAGCGCTCATCAGATAGCGTTATCAGACGGATCAGTCACAGCTTTCCAGGGTAGCTGCTCGTACACACGAGCTTTATTGGATCAGAATCACGCTCCGAACCAATGACTGCCCCCGTAGACATGATAGAAGGTGACTTTTACGTCCTACCTTTCGAAATTCAGTATTTCCCATCGAGATTTTCAAGCACAGCATATTCTCGGTTATTCTCGATCCTAGTCTGAGCTCGAAATGGCTGTCTCGTGATCCTCGCTTGCATAAGCCAGCCCACTCCAGCGTCGAGCAGGCCTTTTCACACCTTCATCTACCGTGGTAAAAGCATTTCCATTGGTAACAACGGCAACACCTCATTCACCGCCGCTCACTTCTTTTGATAGTCTCTTCCGACTTGCTCACATCGATTTCTCCTGCCCTGATTCTCTCGTGCGCTACCCTCATCAACGCACTCGTTCCAACGTCATCTCCATCGCGAGCCCAAAACGTAAAGTGAAAGCGCAAAGCGTAGGGTGATACTATCCTTAGATTGTTCAATTGAGAGCTGAATGGGTCCAGTTCCTGGAGTAGTATTCAAGTTCTCCAAGGAAACGCGACAAACAATTTCCACGCACATGAGCTACGGCAATTCTTCCATATTGGTAAGACACAGGCGCCAGTCAGCCCATACAAATCTGGTGTTGAGACTCAGCGAGCTTAATCACGTGCGAGGTTCGGTGGTGGGCTGTCAGCGTTGAGACTTCTTCCAAGAGCGTGTGTTGGCGGTCTCATCACTTCCGTACATAGTAGCATAGCTAGATAGATGGAAATATAGCCAACACAATCCATGTTTGTCATTATCGCTGTTCCATTCAATATTTGTATGCACTGAAACCACATATCTTACATTTCCATCCATACATGGAAGACGCACTTATTACTGTATGCGTCGTGTCAAAGCCCTAGACGCCTCGGTCGCGCAAGTGATCATCTCGCTCAAGCATAACTTCCTCCAAACAAACTGACACTTCGTCCCATCCTCCAAGCACCCCAAAGCACCATACCCAGGATGGCCAAATTAGCGAATTGCCTGCAGATGACAAGCAAGAAAGTCGTAGCCAGAACAGCATTGTTTGACCACCCTGAGGTGTCAACGTAAAGAAGTATGATGTCGTAGATGACGAAGATGTCGCGAAGCCAGATAAGCGGCACAACGACGAAAGCGAAACGAGCGAGGTCGTGGCGTTCGGGTGACTGCAGGATGTTAGTACTGTCACCAGGTAATGCACTGCGATATAATAGACTTACACCATGGGCATTCTTGTTCGTTGTCCCATACTCCCTCAGTACCTCGATAGAGACGCTCATGCTAGCTGCGACAACAATAGCCTCGTGTACGATATATGTGATCCTCGTCGCACGGTCATGGCTCATAACATTTGACCAAGACGACAGTGCATCTGGGCCGGAGCTACCAGTGCTGATATCCCTTGCTTCCATACCCAAGCCCCAAGCTGCAACACCGGTACCCAGCATGGCAATCATGATGAAAGTATTCCAGATACGCGACATGGTCTTTGGTGTGGAAATACCGGTGCCGTTCTCCTGAACATGACTGGAGTGAATCCAGACACCTCCATTGAGCAGCACAGTGAAGAAGATTGTGGCGAGGGTTGTAGTGAAGGTAAGAGCCGAGATACTGGAAGAATATTCACTCCCTATGAGGTTGTAGGCTCGACGGCCATTCCAACCGAGGTCACTAGTGTAATCGATCGTTCCGCTCGTCTTGAGGAGATCGGATACGAAGCGACATACATAGGCGACGAAGAGACAAAGAAGTGCTGGCCAGAGGAAGAGGTATGTTCCCAAAGTCGTCTTTAATGGGCCATCACGAGCACTGTTTTCTTTGCCTGGCGCAGTAAAGCGTCGTTGTTTGATTCGCTTGAACGTAGGTCCGGATGCTAGACCAAGGAGAATCAGGGCTCCAGCTGCTGTGATGACATCGAGGGAGAAGACGGCTTGATAGGATGGTCGTTCGTTTGTGATGTTGATATCGGACATTGCACGTTGGGATGATCAGGTGTAGGGAACTGAAATGAGGCTTGATTTACAGTGAGTGCTGAAGGACATTCCCATCATTTGACTATATGCGAGATTGATGAAAATGCATCCCTGATGCATATGACGTTGATCGCTGTCACCCACTTGGCAAGGCGATGATGGTGGATCGGTTCGGATGTGGATGCCGATGATGGTGGTATTCGGAAAGGACGGCAGGTATAGCGAGCTACTCAGTCTCTGATGAGGATGCCCGGTGTCTCATGGTCTATGCTTCCATCGCATCGTCAAAGAACAATGATGGTCCCTTGCATGGGTAAAAACTAAGATGGTGAGCAGAAGTAACGATGATGATGCAGGAGCTGCTGACGAACTTGTGGAGGTTGGGTTAGTCTGCGGGAAGAGTGCTGGCGCTAGGACGTCGCATAGCCACCTCGGATATGGCAGTCCGGTGGCGACTGCCTCCTATCTCATTGTCTATCTCACGAACTTTCTTTCACATTCTTCTCTTATCGCAAACAAGATTCACGAGAATGACCAGCATCTGGAAAATGCTATGGCTTGCAGTTTTCCGCGCTGCTTTTGCGCGCACAGAGCGCGCGCGCGGTTTGGATCTGTCGATCTTCACGACGCGTCAAGTTACGCGCCTCTAGCTGCAGAGCTATTAAGTACGCTGCTGTACGTTCCGAAATCATGAGCACAAGTCATTCGATCTTCTTCCCGCTTTGCGTAGCTTACGAGAAGAGATATAGCAGGAAAGGAGTATACGGGTGTGCGCGAGAGGAGCTGATGAACCGTAGCCACTCCGGCACACACCGATTTTCTGTATAGCTAGCCAGATCAAGCTCCGCCATGTCTTCAAGCCGCTCGGGCGACCCAAGACAGTTCATTTGTGAGACCGGCAGTGCAAACGTACAACGTGGACGCAAACTTGTTACCACCAAACCCACCCAACAAGTCGGAGGTATGAACAATATAAGTATACTCACAACCTACGTACAGCCTCATCCAGCCTCGATCTCACCTTCTCGCTTTTTAGCCCGGCCAAAGTATTATCCAAGCAAGCGTCACGTCTATCCAAATGTACGGAGATTGCACATCGGGCTCGCTATCGATCCTGGACTGCAAACTCCATGTACGGTTCGAGTAAAGCTACTGAAGCCTGGAGTCGAGGCTGGATTTTCTTTACCTGAACGAGACCATGTGATTCGGGACAGCAAATTCTTGTCTTTTCAATTTCACTGTTGACTTTGAGTCTGGAATTATGTCTAGCACACCCTGTGCGGTGGCACTGGTCACGTTGATTATCGACACACAATTCACCCCCTACGACTGTTGCACAGGCACCGGTCGACCCTTCCCTCCATTTATCGTTGGGCAATGCGCCTCCTTTGTCCCCTGATTACCCTTACAGACCTTATATATATACACGAACGCATCAAACTTCAACTTTCGATATACCCCCTAATTGACTGCTATACAACTGACCTGCAGTACTCATTGCAGCCAGCGCAATTCGAGACCTTCGTACCCGTCCTGCAAGCTTTGATACATACGAGCCATCCAAAGTCTGACAACCCGTCATACACAGCTACATATCAGCATGTCAGACCAAACGCGCCTGAAGCATGGCACCAAGCACATCCAGAAGTATCCGGTGAAAGCATCGATTAAGTCGACTGGACACTTGTCTTGGATAAAGAAGTGTCGTACAAATCCAGGCACTCGAAACAATCATATGAAAATCTCCGTCTTCTTGAGATGCGGAGAGACCATCGCTAAGGATCTTTCTCAAGTTGCCCTCATCCCGAACAGCGTCCTCCGCCATCTCAGGGATGCCATGTTGTTCAGGGACTCCGAGATCGCACTCAGGGCACCCCTGGCTGAATCCGATCCGAAGATCAAGAAGAACCGCAACAGGCACTTTGCATTCAATGCTGCCCTTCAAGACGTTCTCCGCATGTTGACAGTCGCTCTTCGCCGACTTTCCCAGCGGCGAAACGAATCAACCGTTTCTCCTGTGTCGAATAAGTACGACTTGAATTCATTCCGTCATCCATATGTCGAAGAGCCTGATGACGCGGTACTCGAAGGGCAGAACAATAGCGAGATTTTCTCCGAATTGGATCCTGCAGTGCACGATCTAGACATGAAAGAGGAAGAGATCGACCAACAAGACATTGAGACTTTTCTAGGCCACAATGTCTTGCTCCTTGGTATACAACAAGATGCTCTCGACATATGGGAAAAATGTCATGCGAATGAGTTGTCGCCCGCTGCTAGCGCAGTCATCACTGGTTTCGCATACCAATCAATTCGGGCAGAAGTATCTAAAACCGAAGTTGCTGAACAAGTTCCATTGGTCCGGTTTCCTGGCTGTTCTGATGCTGGTATCATTGGTCTTCTCTACCCTCTATATGAGAACTTCCGCGGTCAGGCGTTGAGGAAGGGCGGCAACACAGTTCGACAGGCATCAGCCCGAGATATTGCTAGGACTCTCTTCATGCTAACGTTGAAGAGTTACCTCACTGTGTGTACTCTCAAAGACAACGCTGTAAGGACATACATGTCAACGACAACTGACATGCCTCCACTTCCGACATCTGATCCATCCACCAAACTGCGAACGGTCGAACAAATCGAGGCCTCAAACAATGTTCAACGATATGAATGGCAGGCGTCAGGTGGCTTGTGTTCGGTGAATTTTTCCAAGACCATGAGTATCGTAGAACGCATCGAAGGCAGACAATGCTATAGCGTAACGGATGCGCTGACACATTCCCTGCCCAGGACCTTGCAAACCGATAAGCCTGAGTTCTGGGAGGTGGTGTCTCTCGACTCACTGCTTCGAGTTGTACTGAAATTGAACGAGGATAACGATTTCTTCCGCCAGGGTCAAGCGCTGCTTGATGTCGCCGACCACGTTGAAGCGCTGAGGAAACAGTGGTTTGCTGGAAAACTCTATATACCCCCGCAGCTAGGCGTTGCTATGGACATCATCGACACCGTCGTGAGGAAAGACTACCTCACGGAGATAGGCAAGAAGTACAACCACAAGCCTCCACCGCAGCTGATACTCCACTATAACCATACATTGAACGGACTTATAAGTCAAGCTATCTTGCGAGAGCTTGGCGATGCTGTGGGTGTGGCTGAAGTAGGCGAGCCAGCAGCAACAAGTGTAGCAATCTTCTATAAGGCAATCACCACTGTTGGATACTTGAAGAATTCTTGGGCCGAGATGGACTTCCTGATCGCATTCTTTGGCTTGGAATCAATTCTTAGCCAGAACACTCTACCAACGAGCTTTCACGACTTCTATAAACAGGCAAGGTTGATGCTATTGTCAGGTCGAGCTATAGAATTCCTGCAGCCGACAAGCTTTCAGAAATGCCTGCAAAGGTGGGTCTCTAACTGCTTGACCGACAACTTCAAGGAGATGGTGAGTTTTCTCGTTGTGCATCTGAGGAAAGAGAGGAGTGCTTGGAGTGTTGTGGCTACTACACCTGAGACTAAATCAAAATTTGAGATGACTTCTGAATCGATGAACAAGTTCACACCAGCTACAAATCTGGAAGAAGCAGGCGCCAGAAGCACGGAAGACTTTCGAGTTCCTTTGCAGCCGAATGCTCCACAAACAGATTCGCAGTCAGAAAGGGACCCGCCGCCGATCACATCGACTCCGAACCAGCCTACACATGCCTCTGAAGTACAGGAAGAACAAGGGCAACAAGCTGAGGAAGATCAGCAAACCAGCGAGTCGCTCGGCCATGACGAGTTTGGGCCTTGCGAGATTCTTCAAGCGTTCGCGCAGCTGATGCAAGCCCAAGATGTGGTGGCACATCTTGCTAAGGGTACGCTCTGGCTAGAACGTACACAGCTTGCGTCTTACATAAAGGATGTGTACGCTAGCCTCACGGAAGATCAGCCCTATGTAGGTTCGACGGAGGACTTCAAGTACATACCCCTGCTTCTTGAGTTTCTTTACCGAAATGATGAGAAGCGCGAAGATGTGCTACGAAACGGTGTGCTAGAGACATTCAGTCAACACATCAAGAAGAATGGTGGAAAGCACCTCCAAAAAGTGAAGGACATCAGCGGCGTGAATTGGAAGGGAAACTCATGATGTGAACCAGCTATTCGCTCTTTGTTTTCTAGTTACTTTCTGCTTCGACCATACTTTAGCTCCGCCTCTTGGCTCTTGGATTAGTATAGTGTAGTATTAACACTTTCACTGCGACTTGATGGTTTATCAGACTCCCTATACGGGACAGCCAGATCGTAGTTATACTAGAAACTCCTAAAGTCACCTACCTGAATCCCATGTACCTAACAGCGCCCCAAGATCCCGAAGCGTTACCTAGCGATAGGTGAAACAACTAGATCTAGTCACTAAAAGATTAAATCAACTGAGAAACATCAATCTAAGGACTCGATATTGATGGGTTCACACACCTCACAATTACGTCATGCTACCCGCTAGCCCCGTGCTAGCCCAGGGGTGGATGAGCTCAGGAGTGTGAAGTTAGGCAATACACATCGTGTTATGCAAGACTCAATCCATATATACGCAACCAAGGCTATCTCAACAGCATTTCCTGCCATTCATGCTACACCATTCGGCTTGATCGGAGACATAGTTAGAGCTTGCTACATTCGATCTGTTTGGATAACATGAGCCGTGCACAGGCCCACAGCGTCTCCGACCACAGGGTAAATCACTCGATTTCTTATTTCCACGCATGGGGGGTTTAGCGGCGACTCCGCTCCGTCCCATCATGCGGCCATGGCAACGCAACAAGTTCAGTCAACTGGAGCCTTTTAATCAGGCACGTACAACAGTTCTTTGGTCGCAACGACGTAGCGACTTGCCATCTCCAGCCGTCAGCCTCTTTTTCGGCGCCCCTTGATTTACGACCACATATCCCATCCTATCCTCGTACCGGTGGTACGTTACTCGGTCCCTTCGACTTGCGATGTTGACCGCTCTTACTGCGCCGCATAGGTGCGTCCCCCTCAAATAACTATGGAGAACTTGCCAGATACGGTACAGCTTGATTTTCCATTCCGAAGAATTAAGTCAAGATTTGCAAATTATGCGAATCACAGTAAACTCGTTTTCTCTTGCCGCAGCTGCTCTTGCGTTGGTTGTTACTGCCAGTCCATTCGGTCCCTCCGTTGAAAATTGGTCAGACGTCAATAGAGACCGATGTCATCTTGGAGAATGAACAGATTCCGGCGGAACTTAAGCAAAGCAGTGACCCGCGTGCGGAGATTTTGCATGAGGAAGCATCGATGGCCAATGCGTTTCTCATGTAGCCAATGCTACGAAACCAACTGGATGGACGCCCCACAATCCTTCAGCGACCACGCAGTCCTTTCCTGATCTGTAAGGTTCATACATGGCCAAGCTCGCATCATATACTTCGAGATCCACTATAGGACAGGCACGAGAGTTAGATTGCGCAGGGAAGGTCATCTCAACCGAAGCGACGGAGATATCTATCTGACATTTTGTATAATCAAGATTCTTTGCAGAATCAGACCTGGACCTTCTTCTTGATTACACCATGAGCAGAATTCTTATCACAGGCGCAACCGGGTACGTTGGCGGTACTGTACTTTCTCAACTTATAGCCAGTACTGCCACAAGCATCAAGGATCTCACCTTCGATCTCCTCATTCGCGACGAAGCGCAGGCTGTGAAACTCAGAAACGCATACGGATCTCGCATCAATACCATCAAATGGTCTGGCCTTGAAGACACAGCTTTCATTGAAGACACAGCCTCGAATTATGATATTGTCATCAATACTGGCTCTGGTTTCATTCCTGAAGGTGCCATTGCTTTTGTAAATGGTCTCGCACGCGGTATTAATGCCGGTAAACCCGCACCGTGGATGTTGCACATATCCGGTTGTACAAACTTATCCGATCGTCCTTTGACGCAACCATCAAGACCGATACGCGAGTGGAATGATGAAACAGACTGTGGAAGGATCCTCGACTTCATGGGAGCGCTCGATGAGATGGAGCCATACGCGCAGCGCACAACCGAAGTCGGCGTCTTAAATACGGCTGCTGAAACTGGTGTACAAGCTATCAGTGTCAACACACCTTGCATCTTTGGCGAAGGCACTGGCCTGTTCAACCGCCAAGGTCTAGTCATTCCTTTGATCATGATGTACGTTGTACAGCATGGCTACGGCTGGAAGCTTAACGAAACTGCGAATTTCGATTGGGTCCACGTCATCGATCTCGCCGATATATATGTTCTTCTCGTACGCACCATCCTTGAACGCGATGACCGCGGTGTCGGTTATCTTCCATCTGGCAGGAATGGCATCATGTTCTCAGCAGTGGGCCGCACCCTCATCAAGGAGGTCAACCAGAGTTGCTTGGATGCAGCCTTTGCTGATGGTACCTTACCACGCGATGATACCTCCAAAGAAAAGGAAATCAGACTTGTACCGCTGCATGAGATCGCGGACAAGCTCACCGCAGGCCGTCGCGATATCGCGGAGCGTGGCTGGGGCGGGCATAAGGCTACGAAAGCGGTGCAAGCACGCAAGCTATTAGGTTGGGAGCCAAAGCGACAGCAAAATGCTTGGAAGAAGGACTTTTGGGCTGAATTAGTCGCCCTAAAGGAGAACAGGCGGATGGTGACCATGGAGAGCTGCATTGGGGCCAAGAAGTAAGTCTTTGGTAGCACATCGCTTGGAGCGTTTATTTCTCTCGTCTCAACAGAATCTGTATTGTGCTGGGCGATCGAAGGTTTGAAGTCAAGATACTGTGAATCATGTTCGTCCGCAGAGACCATTAAAGACTAAGCCCAATACGGTATTCTTTCGGGGCGTTAGCCTAGCGTCAGGATGTCGGAATTCGCGAATGAAGTTGCTGTCCCCGGAGCCTTACTTTTCTTCTAATAATATTCGTTTGCATCAAACAGAACGTTCTCCGTGAAGCCTCGGCATCATGAGCTCTTCACAGGTGCACCATACACTATGTGAAACTCACGACACTATGCCCTCAATGGGTTGGAAGAGAGGTATAAAATAGGACTATCCCATAAGTGCGACTCGTTACAGTTCGGAACATCGTTCCTCGATTGAGACCTACAAAACATCATTTCCTGGGGAGATATGCTCTTAGCTAATGTCCTGCTATGGCTCGTCTACCGTCTGAAGAGCGATACATGATTAGCGGTACGGTGTACCAACAGGTCTTGGCTGTTGCGGCGCTTACGCACTCCTCTTCTATTTCCCGCCGGCATGGCATCCCATTGGTGTCATGTGCAATCCGAAGCAGCGGGTTTCTTGCGAAGGATCCAGCTGCGGCATGGAGGCACGGGGGAACTACGCTATTGAGTTAGTGCTTTGAGGAGAATCATGCGTCCCTCTGAAGTATATGCCGAGTTTTGCGTTATTCCCTTCTCCCCAACCTTGCTGACAGTTCAAACTTGGTTATATCCGACAAGACAGACTGGGATTTGGTAACGATGAGAAGTCATCTCGAGCTCCGATGGCTGTGCGTAGCTGGCAGATGCTAAGATAGAAGCGAGTACATCAACAACCAGAACCTTTGCATCGGGTCGACACGACAAGGCAATTTACAGAAGACGTTATGATCATCTGTTTCTTTTTTCAGCCTCTGAGGCACAGTCGGCAGGCCCGAGTGACCACAAAGACGTAGCTTGTGTCTCAACTCCTTTCGCATTTACATTCGCTCTGGTGGTCAATGAATTCCCTCCAGTCTCCTGGCCTTACGCGCATGGAGATGTCGAATATGTTTCTGCTACGAAGATTATCATATCACATGCAGACGCGTGGGCTAGAGGCTGGAACTAAGCAAGCATCATTGTTCGCGGTCGGTATCTCTTTCGTTGTTATCACGAGTGTTATAGTATTCTTACGCATCTACGTGCGTATACGCTTGATGAAATTACGTTTGGCCGTCGAAGACTGTAAGTCTACTGCCACAGGAGACTCTCGTAAGCTTCCCGCTAACATGATCAAATCTAGATCTGATGCTATCTGGTGCACTTTTCACGATCTCGCTTTCTATTGCCAACATGATTTGTGAGTCTTCTCTCCAGCAATGAAACTCTAGCTATTGAGCCTGAAACTAACTAACATTCCTATCCGTAGGCGGTTGGTACGGTGTGGGCACCCATAGTAAGTAGCCGAAGTAGATCCATCCAGTCACACAGCAGCTGACGATCGAATAGCGCTTGACATTCCTAACGAGGATTTTTCATCCATGCTGAAAGCGAACCTTGCCACACGTCTGTTGTACGTTGTAGCGATTTGCCTAGTCAAGTTCAGCATCCTAGTGTTTTACCGAAGACTAGACCCTCGGCGGCATACAAGATGGATTGTTTACTTTTTGATGGCATGGGTGGCCGCCCTCTCGATCGTAACCTTCTTTGTACTACTATTTGTTTGCACGCCACCGTCCCTGTTTTGGGATCCTGTGGGCCAGGCCGAACATCCGGAGAAGTGCTTGAAGCAGACTACCCAACAGGTGTTCTTCAACATCAACGGCATCATGAAGTAGGTGTTGCGCAGTCTGATGATTTCTTTGATATTGTTTTGCTCACTTCTGTATCTCGCAGCATCATCCAAGATTTCGCCATGTACATCCTACCACTCTTCATTGTCTGGAGGCTACAGATGCCACAAAGTCAAAAGATCGCTTTGTGCGCCATTCTCTGCATTGGATTGGTCGCAGTGGCAGCTGGCTGCGTACGATTCTATTACGTGCTTTTTCTTTCTAACGAACCAGACATCTGGTACTATATGGCGGATTCACTGAATTGGTGTAGTATCGAGATATACGCCTGTGAGTCTCTTCCTTGCTGCTCCCAACGCTCCAGTACTGATGGAATATGTATACAGCCATTATTTGCAGTACAGCGTCCACTTTTAAAGTGCTTCTCAAGACATACCTTCCCAAAATTTGGAGTAGCGCGGGAAGCCATAAGAAGAGTTCTAGCGGACCTCGCACACTGTACAGTCGATCGCACAGTGGACAGTTCGAGATGAAACCGTTTCGTGGGATAACAAACAAGTCAATCAGTAATAGGAAATACGGGGTCGAGGGTCTTACAGAGATCGAAAATGAGAGCGAGGAGGCTATCATGCGGTCTGAGTAATATGGTGACAACTGCTGCTACATCCCCGACAAATCGATAGCGAGTTTGGAAGGGTCACTGTATTACTAGAAGCTGAGCAGCGCTCACCACGGTCATCAAGAACTAAGAAAGAGGCCGCACCGTGATAAGTTTCATCTACCCCTTGTTGAAGAAGGCCATGCTGTCATCGTGCTGTCCTAGCGCATGTCCTTCTCTTCATCATCTGAATTCTGCTGTCTCTTTCTCCATTACACAACTCCGTGGTGCCCATACTCCGCCATATTATACTCGGAGATGTACAAACTGACCACTCCGGGACCACACATATCACGCCTGCTTCGTGTCGCATTTTAAGGGCAGAGGTACTTTCCAAAGTACGGCTTTCGGAGATAGAAGCAAACACATTAAGAAATGCTTGAGCAATCGGAAGCTTGGTCGCTATTTCCAATGTCCTTTCTCCAGATCGCTGCCTAGTGGCAGAGATTGGTGGCGTTCACGCCTTCCCCTTCCGGGTCTAGGGTGGCGCGCCTTAGATTCACCCTGAGGCTGCAACCCTTTTTCGTCCAGCTCGTCAATCCATAGTGCCTTGACTGCCTCCGTTCAATGATCACGGTGAAATTAACCCGAAACGCCTTGCGTACTGTAGCCTGGCGCACAACCGCTTGTGGTAAAGCTCGTTTTGCACTGTCGTCGTTTTCGTTACTATATATCGAAAGACACCATCCGAACATACATTGTCGACAAATTGCTTCAACATCAAAGATGGCTTCTTCATCTTCCTCTTCTACTAAGAAAGAAGAAATGGAGGAGAGTCTACGCAAGATGGATATTAATGCAGCGGAGAAGCACATGAAAGATTGGTTCGGTGACCATGCATCATGGAGTCACGAACAGCTTCTCAATCTCATCTACGGTATGATTCCTTCAAGAAGCTCAACATTATATACTGATAGATATCAGAGGAGGACCTTATAACGTTACGACATGTGCAGTCATTTGGCGATTACGTTTCTGGTGGTCTTCGACCCAGCGGTGGCCGTCCTTCTTTTCCACTCATGACGCATGAAGAGTGGGGCCTTCTGAATGCCTCATACAGCCAGTGGGCTCCAGCACCCTACAATAACCGGCACTACAGTTGTATGGATCGGATTGCCCCATTAATCATGAGACAAGAGATCAAGGAACTCAAAGCCCCGCCACATATCGGCTTTCTTGCCCGTCTACGTCCTCTGAAAGCAAAGCTCTTGCTTGGTATGGTGCCAATCAGTGGAGACCGCTGGCTAGAGCGTAAGATGGACGACCCTGCGAACTATAGGAACCTTTTCGAATTGATCAAGGACGTCAATTACATATTCGAATGGTTCAATCATGATGAGGTTCAAAACCGGACAAGGAGCGCTTTCAATTGGATGGTTGACAAATATGTCGAATTTGAGCAGGCAGCTAACCTTCGGCGCGAAAAGAACGGCATTGGAGAGAAACTTAACCTGGCCGGTATGTGGGCAGAATACTGGAACGACTTGACAACCAACATGTCAGAACGGACGCATCGATGGATTGTAGGTCGCGTGGATGAGGTCCAAGCACGCGCTTTTGCGCAATATCAGAAAGCTCTCAAGGATGCTGGAACCGACGAAGCAGCTGTTTGTGAAGCAGGCAAGAAGTATTACGAGTGTGTTCAAGATCTCAGAGGCATGCTCACCAGGCTGGACTACACCATCGGCATCCCCATGACTGGCTTCAAGGGATACACAGCCTCCAACGCCTTCAAGGATCTTCCAGTAACACAGAGACATGATACCTGGAGAAAGATGATGGCGGCAAAGTCTTTCAAACATCAGATAGCTATCCTTGAAGCGCAAGACATAGCCGATGCTGAGCGAGCTTCCAAACAACCGACAATGGAGGAACTACTCGATCCAATTCAGCAACTCACGAAGCCAGCTCATCCACGATTTCGCGACACCGAAAATCTCATTGGCCACTACGAAGAAGGCAAGAGAAACCGCGACGAGATTCGATTAGTCCTCTGTGGTCCATCGAAACAGCCCACTCAGGAACATTGGATAACAATCCTACGTGAGCGCATGGAGTTTTACGCAAAGAATCCACGAGATGTAACTCGAAACCCGGATGCGTGGGGTTTTGTTTGCTACCGCCTAACTTACGATCAAACCGATGAGCAATGGGCGACCTTTGAGAAAAAGTTCCTTCAAGACGTCTCACGATCTGGAAACTGGATCGAAGGATTCGACAGCATCAACAGGAAGCATAAAATCATGGTCATCGATGGGCGAGAATTTGGACTCGCGGAAGGTGATGTGGCGGCTGCCAAACGACACTTCAAGAAGACCTTCACCATGCTGCCGACGCTCGGGCGTATGTGGACTCAAGACTTCCTTGTCATCGATAAGCAAGCATATGCCTCATATGCTGAGTCGCCCAAGGAGGAAGTTCGGCCTCCGCCTCCGTATGGTCCTGGATTTGGTTGCAATGGTGGGCATGTGCGTCTTGTAGATGGGACGTTTGATCAGCTCTCGCGGGAACTGATCGATACCTTAGCGCCTGGTTTTAAGGGCGAGATGAAGGTGTTGTCGAGTCTACTTCTGGAAGAGCTGTATCCACTTCTAGCGACGTTGAGCGTTCGACCTTACGGCTTGTGGCCATGCGCTCGATTGCATCCAAGAGAGGTGTATGTAGGGACAACGGACGCTGCCCAAGAGGGATGGTGGGAATTTGGCCGCATCGATCAGGCTATGATGCAGGGATTTTTTGAAAGTATGAGGTCTAAGAAAGCTGACCTCCTCGCTAGGAAGACTTGAATAACTATGTACAATGAAGAGTAATAACATTGACCTGTTTGATAACGCCACTTGGAGATGGAGCTCATCCACTGAACCCTGCGGCAGCACAGATTCCAACACCATAGGTCGCTCCATCGCCAGCAGCAGATATAAGTGATGGTCTACCCTTGCGACAGCTTTTTGTGATGCATGATACTGCATCCATCTTATTTGGGATGACATACTGGGTACAAGCAAAATTAGAGAATTTCCAATACAGACATCCCGCGTTGCTGCCGAAGCAGCGATAACAGCAGTCCTTGGGATTGTTGGAATCCGACAATACACCCCAGACAGAACCAGGATAGTCGGGTCGAGTGGAAGTGTAAAGGACAGGATCGGCGCAGGGATCAGCCTCAACGGTCTGAGTAGCGGTTGCTGTGGAAGTAGTCGCTGCGCAATGTTAGCAACGACGCCAGCCAATTGGACTTATGCTTCTTACTTGTTGTAGTAGTTGCAACGACAGAAGTCAGAGAGGGTGTCTCTGTGATGGTGATAGTTGTTGTCGAAGAGTCGGTTGAGACAGCAGAAACGACAGCTGTTGCGGTTTGAAGGATATCAGAGGTCTTTGAATTGTACTTGGTAACGGTGGTAAGTTTGACCCGCGTCACTCGTACAGTCGAAGTGGGTCTGGTAACCGTCGACGTTGTTGTGGTTTGACCGCAGGTGGTTGTTCTTGTGAGGTAACACGCTATCACCCTGTCAGCCTTTTGTACATCTTCAAGCAATGTGTTACGTACAGCAATCACGAGGAATTATGTTCAATGCTTTGTAGTTGTTTCCACGTTTGCGGACCACTGGAGTAGCAGCAGCACATGTCTCCTGTTGGTACGGTATCGAAGAGGTAATTGTAGTTGTTCTATACTAGTCAGTTGACGCATAGGGACTGATTGTTAGAGAGAAGGTACACACATGGTCTCGTCTTGGGAACCTGTCACTGTTACGGGTACGATCAATGTTGTCTGTGTAGTGCTCGTGGTCGTCTGAACCAACGTGGTTTGAGAGACCGTAGTGCTCGTAACAGTTTTCTGAATGGTTCTCTGCACGTTGCTGCGTAACTTAGTGAAGACCCTAACCCATGGTTTGTCAAGTACGTACGTCGCAATAGTGATAGAAGCTGTTTGCGTTACAGTAATAGTCTGAGTCGTCAATGGCTGAACAGTCGTTGTCTTGGTGATCGTAGATCTGGGTTTAGAACATGTTGTTAACTTGAGACCGGCTTTGGCTATGAATACGTAAGTGTCTTTATCCAAACATGTCTCTGGGAACTCATACAGATAAGTGATGAGCAGGCCTTGGCTGAGGCTTGAGGAAGATTGATGCAAGATTTGGATTGTGGGGCGCAGAAGTCGGCTGCATCTCCGAGTCCAACACTGGCAAGCACAATGAGAATTGCTGAGAAAGCCTTCATCTTGACTCAATCGAGGCACTCGTGCAGTTGATTAACAGCACACGGCACGTTTGGCGGACTTATAGAATTCCATTGCTTCATGCATAGATGAGCCCATGATGCATACAAGCGGTATCGAGACTGTATGCATATATTACCGAGCGATACTTTACTGGACAGAGTCAAATCAGGTCCAGAACAGCAAGCCTCCGACCAGAAGTAGAGTTTTTACTCGAGATCGCAGCCTCAATTAGCATTGTGTAGCCTTGCGAGAGGTTGACAGAACCCACGCTATGCCGTACTTGGTATCGTCGGACGAATGTGGAAATAGAAGAAAACATAGTCCACGTTCTAGACGTTCGGCGCTGCCGTTTTGCGGGGTAGGCGAATATCGTGGCTTGCGCATGCTCGGGGTTTCTAAGGGCTGCATGGCAGAGTAAGGCCGAATCGACAGTTGGTCAATCAATAGTCTGTCCATGAAGCAGTAGCGAGTAACCTATTGTGGGGTGGTTGATCAAGATAGTCCTACTGTCGTGTAAATTGATTCGGGGGTGGATCCTAAGCTTCGTCGTACTCCTGAGCTTACAGACTAGCGCAAGGCTAAGGGGACGTGACGTGATCCTTGTAGGTGAGGCTTGCGAAATCAGTAGCTTTGATTTCTCCCTCTCCTTCTCACAGCGATGCCTCTTCAGTTACACACGTTGCTCACAAGACGTGATCGCCACATCCTCGCAGAAATTATTCGGCTTATCGTCCGAAATCCATCAAATCCTCGTCTCGTTCGCAACAGATCGTTCACCGCATGAATCATGATAAATGCAGGCTCTCGCGGCATTACTCGCCATCAATGGGTGTCGACACAGCTTAGCCATGAACAGCCAAGAGATAGCAACGGAGGAACACTTGCACAGGTACCTCCCTATCAAAATTCGTAGGGTGTGGAATTATTCATCGAAGCAACTCCTTGATCTCAAAAATACTCACAGCTGATACTGTAGCAACTGTCATTACCTCCCTTTTGCGTTCTTTCCTTTGTTGTCATGCCTGACCATCAATCTTTCACGTCAATACCTAGTCTATTATTTCCCTTTCCACAGTGCCGCGCGACATCTTTGTCCACCGCTATCTTTGTCCACGTAACGCTGGCAGCCGTAGCATACCACGTGTAGTATGAGGCCTGCGCATTGATTCTGTTTACTCGGCGCATCCACTAACAACAAGAACTACGTAGCGCAATTTTGGGAATTGAAACAACCTTCTGTAAAGGCTGCGGCTTCTCTCCAACCCACATGGTGTTCACGAAAAGAAAGAGGTCTGCGGAAGACAAGTACATCGACTTGGGATTCGGATTATGTTACCGAAGACGACAACAAGACCTGCAAGATGGCGAACACAATTACGAAGATGACGACTACGACGGCGAACAACCACCGCATAAACGCCGAATACCAAACTCGTTCTACGGTTCACAGTCGGCACGTCTCGGTATCATCCCCGCAGCCACGTTAGCCACTCTTCATGGCCTCAAAAAAATCGGGAGGGATAGCATGGGTGTAGGCATGAAAGTCTTCAAGGCGCCTTACGCAGTATGTAGAGGTGTTCCAAGATACGTGCGAGACGTACATAGAGCAGGAGTGGTAAGGAGTGTGTTTGAGAGCATAGCTGCACCGGACAATATACCAGACCTCGAGAGCTGGTTGAAGGTAGTTGGTTCACATGGACGACAGATGTTTGTCGAGAATAAAGGAGATGAGAACAGTAGCAGCAATCGTAGGGGTGGAAGTACGAGCCCGAGGCCTGATAGGTCGGTTCCAGATTCCGATGGCTTTGACTTAGCAACGCGGCCGGGCGGTGATGTCATATCTATCTGTCATCTGTCAGAACGCCCGATGCACTCGTCAATCCTGCCACAGGGTTTGATACCAGCAAGGCTACCACTAGAGATGAGACATGATGCTCAGAACTCCATACCTCGAACAAAGAGCACATATACCACAATTGTGAATGCTGGGACACAAACTTCGCCAATCGACCAAGAGGATACTAGGAAGCAAGTGAAGAGCCGAAGATACACTTGGCATCCGAGCGAGCAAGCTGCAGAGTCGCAAAGTGCGTCAGAGAAGGTAGTTTCGGCGATGCTGAAGCGGCCATTAAGAACAGGGCGTCGGTGCGGACCGACGTTTACACCTTTCTCTAGTGCTGAGTTAGCTAATTTGGGGCTCAAATATTCGAAGGATGACGTTGCTTCTGGAAAACCAGTAGAGAGCTATGCAGAACCAGTGGCCTCACCGAAGCAGAATACGTCAAATGTAGAGAACTTCACGCCGCCAACTTGTAAAAATCGAAGAAAAGCGGAACCAGAGAACAATCTCCGAAGTCATGTACTGAGAAAGGCAGCTACCAGACTATCGGATCAACAGCAGCCTCGACATCAGCGCACTCAAAATCTAGCAACGGTAGAGCCTACTTCAAGCTCCATATCATGTCCCCTCTGTCATTTTGACAACTCGATTACCTCCGCCTTCTGTGGCGCATGTTACACACCGCATCTCCCCGAGCCAGCACCCCGATCCTGTGCTCAAGGTATAGTGGAGCACGACCTGTTACCCGATACTTATCCAGAGTACGGTCATTGGGGGGAAACTACAATGGTCACTATCCAAAATTACCATGAGGATGTCTTGTGTACAGGCGCCGCCGGCCCACCCGGCACAATGAATGAGGATGGCTCGCATGTCAGTACTCCCACATCAGAACTTCGACGACTCAACAAAGCTGGAGAGGATGCTCTGGTAGAAGACAGTATGCGCATAGTCCGAGATCAAGAGCGACGGACTATTGCGCGAGAGAACGGAATTGATGTGCTGGTGCATAGTGAACCGTACTACAGCGACCTGAAGGAAGATAAGGCTGTAGGGCGACTAACAACGAGACAGGCATTGAGTTTGGAAAGGTGTTTGGATGTGGAGAGGTTATGGATGCGGAGGCCTTTTGGTTGGAGGGAAGAGGCTGAGGGAGATGCGGGAAAGCCGGTCCCGCTTAACGTACCGGATTATGAAGATCTGCAAGATTGGGAGTTGGATAGATTGGAGGAAGACATCAAGTCGCTGGACAGAATTTTGGAGAGCCTGAAAGATACCGCTGGCGTTGTTCGTGCTACGTCGAGCCGTGACAACAGCAATAGCAAGCTCTCCAAAGACCCAAAGCGATTGGCAGTCAGAAACGAGGAGTTGAAAGCCGTACAGCAACAAGAAGTAGAACGACAATACCTCGCTCTCGTGGCGCAGGCACAACGGCAAGCACGTGCCGAGAACACGCAGTTTCCTGAAGGCTTGCGAGGCTGGGATCAAGTTGGATTAGACGAACAGGAACTTATTCGATGGGCAATTTATGCCAATCAGGTCCATGATATATCAGAGCAGGCAAGAAGGAAGATCCTGACTGATAGACCTACTATATCTGCACTCTCCCCGCAGGACAGTATAGCCATCCCTAACGGTGCCTCTACGACTGATGATATCTCAAATAGGAAGAAGTGCCGTGCCGTTTCCGAAACTAACCTTCGGCCTCGGCCCATCACCGAATCACAGCGGGCTGGTAGGTCATTGGAGCGGCAGGCGCAAGACGAACACTACGCTCATTTGAAGCGGAAGTTTGAAGATCCGAAGTGGGTAGAAATGGTCTATAACGTTGAAGTAACGAGGTACAGTATTTTGTATGCTGGAAGGAAATGGCCAGGCGACGTGGCGAATTGGGGAACTATTACCCCTGCAGCTAGAGCAATGGTCTTGGAAGTGACGGAATATCTCACATTGAGAGAGAAGTTCGAGGTGTAGGGCGCAGAAAACAAGTAGCCGAGGATTACATACTGCTTTCGATGAAAGAAGTGTTTGGTGCTGAGGTCTGGGTATTGCGCCATCTAGCAGCGGGAGAGATTGCAAAATCTGTGAAACATGTCACAAGAATGTATATACTAACAGAAGCTGGAGAGCATCATGCCAGATTCGATGGAGAGAAGTGGTCGAGTGATGAGAAATAGAAACGCAACTCAAGATCGTGCCGTTCCTTGGTGCATTAGTCATGTTCCGCTCAACCAATCAAGAGCCGCGGCATCGACTCATCCTGAGTTGCTGAAGAATTGCGCTAGCCCTGCTTGGCTGTGTCATCTGTGTGTATATGAGCTGAAAGGCTGTCGAATTCCGAACGACTGTAATTCTGGAATGCATCAGAAAAGACGTCCTCTTCAAGAACAATTCTACTACACTTATCAGTCGACAGCCCCTAGAGTCATGGTGCGCAAGACTAAAGAAAGCGTGCCAGTTGCAGAGCATCATGGCGGTGGTCACATCACAGTGACAGCACAGCAATCACGCTATGCGCTCGACGCTGTCGACGCGCCAGCATCAAAAGAGGTATATTGATTTGTGCACCTCCCACTCTAAGTTGTCTTTGTTCACTCTCCTAGATACTCATCAAAGACCTATCTATCACAGTCGCAAACCGCGAACTGCTTTCACGCACAACACTCCATTTGGTAGAAGCACGACATTATGTGATGGTCGGTCGAAACGGGACTGGCAAGTCAACGATCCTCAAGGCTATTGCTGATGGTCTCGTTCCCGGAATTCCGTGGAGTACGAGAATTCTGCTGTTGGGCCAGACTAGGGAGGATAGTATTGAAGATGGTATAGATGCGCTGGGTCTGGAAAGCGAGACGGTCCTACAACATGTCGTTCGGAGTGACCGGGTTCGAGAGCGGTATGTGCGAGAAGCTAAGATGCTTGGTGAAGCAATTGAAAAATCGATTGATTCCATGGCACCAGTTCGGGCGTACAGGCGCATTAGTCACGAGAGATTGGCCTTGCAACTAAAAGAAGGCCACCGCATCGCGGAGAGGAGAAGTGGCGCACGGGGTAAGCTAGCGAGGAAAGAGTTGATCAAGCTTGAGGAACGCTGCGAGGAATCCGAGAAAAGTTTGCAAGAGACGGAGATCGATGCTACGCAGCTCAGCGAAGAGATGCAAGCGGCCGCAGATCTGCTCGCTGGTGTGCAGGCTTCCCTCGAACTCATGGATGCGAACGAGGCTGAAGCAAAAGCACGAGCGGTCTTGCTGGGCCTTGGCTTCAAGCAAGATCGTATCGACAAGCCCGTGTCGGAGCTCTCGGGAGGATGGAAGACGAGATGCGAACTAGCATGCGCCCTCACTCAATACGCCGACGTACTGCTACTGGATGAGCCTACCAACTTCTTGGATCTGCCATCTATCATCTGGCTACAGGATTATATTCGGAACCTGAAAGGCACGACTGTCCTCATAACGACTCATGACCGCGACTTTGGAGACGCCGTAGCTGAGGAGCTTCTTGTGCTGCGTAACCAGACTCTGGAGACTTTTCGTGGTAATCTCAGTCTGTACGAGCGCGAGAGGTGGAAGAAAGCCAGGTACATGACGAAGATGAAGGAAGCGCAGGACAAGCAGAAGAAGCACATTGAGAAAACCATCGCCGGCAACATCAAGGCAGCCAAAGACAAGGGAGACGATAAGAAGTTGAAGCAGGCTGCATCGAGAAAGAAGAAGCTGGACGATAGAATGGGGCTGCAGGTTGGTCTCAAAGGTGGTCGCTTCAAGCTGAACCGGGATCTCGGAGGCTACCATTTGTCCCGCCGGGCGGAGATTGAGATACCTGATTTTGATCCACCAGTCCAACTCTCGTTTCCGCACCAGCCACCCGAATTGAAGTTTCCTGGCGCGTTAGTAAGCCTGGAGAAGGTGTCATTTGCGTATCCTGGAAGAAAGAAATTGCCCGTCTTGACAGACGTCAATTTGACCATACACCCGGGTGCAAGAATAGGATTGGCGGGCCTTAATGGCTCAGGCAAGACGACGCTGGCTTCACTGATAATGGGCGGTGATGAGGGCGGCCTTCTCCCCACTTCAGGCACAATCACGCGACATGCGAGAGTGAAGATGGGTTGCTTCTCTCAGCAATCTGTCGAAGAAATCACGGCCATGGCGTCTTCCAACCCTCATATTACGGCTCTTCGGCACTTGATGGACTGTGTTGGTGATGGGGCACAGGAGAAAGATGCGCGGGCAGTTTTAAGCGGATTGGGGCTCCATGGTCAGACGGTGTCGGACGTTCCGCTCGTACTCCTCTCGGGAGGGCAGAAGGTCAGGGTGGCTCTTGCCAAGCTTCTATGGCCGCCGCCGCAGCTTCTTATTCTGGACGAGGTGACGACCCATCTGGATGCAGACACCATCCTGGGTCTCGTGATGGCATTGAGGGAGTACGAGGGCGCACTGCTGGTAGTGACGCACGACAGATTCTTCATGAGGTATGTCAGCTCTTGTCGATGGCGGAAGAAGGCATGGAAAAATAAGCACAATAGAGTTCAGCTATTAACACCCCGCAGAACCGTGGTGGAAGGGCAGTCGCCGTACAAGCTAGCGCCAGGGGTTCACGCGGCGTCCGAGGGCGAGGCTGACGAAAGCAGCGAGTCGGAGGACGAAGAGGCAGGACTAGCTCCGGGGAGCGTTTTTCGGCTGACTAGCAAAGGGCAGGTCAGGAAGCTTGACCTGGGCATGGATGAGTATGAGGACATTGCGGCGCGGACAGCGGCAAAGCTGGCTCGAGCAAGGCGGTAGGTAGCTGAGAATAGAAATGAAGGCAATTTCTGTCTCCAGAGGGTCAGCTTGTGAGAGGGGAGAGCGTCTGTCCAGACCTCGGAGGCGACGTCTGACAGCTGCCGGGGCCATTTGGTTCGGGCGGGCTTGCTTCCCGCTGCACGCACTGATGACAGCGCGACACTTGCGCGCGGATCACTGTGCACGGCAAAGGCCTTTAGGGGCAGCTTTTCGCGCCAAGCTCGAGCGAGATAATATTGCTCCAACGCGTCGCTCCTTTTGTTCGCAGCGTCCAATTGGTCTCCTCTCATTAGCCATTGGCGTGCACTATGCCCATCTTTCCTTGTATACCCCTTCTGACCGTAATAGTAATGTCATAGCTGTAGCTATAATCCTTCCACAGGCACGCATGAACGACTCTGCGTATCGAGATAAGCTCGAGCTTGGGAACCCTGAGCAATAATAACTGGCGGGCATCATGGGCGAAACCGAATCATCCACACCTCGCTCTACCGCCGAACCACAACTCAAGGCTGCCAAAGACAAGAACTGTCCCTTTTGCGGCCAGGCCTTCACTTCATCCAGTCTGGGACGTCACCTCGACCTGTACATCAGACCCAAAAACCCAAAGGCGCCCGACGGCGTCCATAATGTCGACGAGATCCGGAAGCTGCGAGGCGGCATCACCAGGCGACAGGCCAAGGGCAGCGTATCAACGCCGCGCCGCGATGACAGCGGCACGAGTACGCCTGCAAACAAGAAGCGGATAGCGAGCGAAGACTCTGTCCTTGTCGGCAGCCCCGACGACGACGATGAGCCGCTAGAGATTGGCAAGACGAGGGGGCAGTTCAAGGATGTGAGCTGGGGAAGCAGCAACCGGCCTTCGAGGCTAAACACAAAAACACCAGACCCTCGCCGTGATGCATCGCGCCAGACGCGCAAGGCCGACCTCGACCAGAGGCAGAAGACCAACGAGGAAAATGAAATTGCGAGCGCCACCGAGATGGCGCTGCGGGAGCTGTTGAAGAGCGTGCGAGACGCCAAGTAGGTCATCCCATCACCCACCAGAGACCCCTATGACGCTAACAACCCCCCCCCCCCAGTGCCAAAGCATCTGGCTCCGGCCTCTTTGACTTCGACCCTTACACACAAAACTTCCCCTCACTGTGCCTCCAAATCCTCCCCGCGCCCTCGACCCTCTTCTCACCCACGCCCTTTCCCACGTCCGAGTCATGGTCCATCACCCCGCCAGGACAGAAGCAGTTCGAAGCGCTGAACAAGCAGGTCCGCGAGCGTCTGCTTGCCTACCAACGCCAGCGTCAGATCAACCAGGTCTACCCGTCAGGCTCGCACTCGTCCGCTCCTTCCACCAACACCTCACCCCTACCCACACCACCGCTCTTTGACCACGACCCACAACGTCTCTTTGGCCACATTGCAGACGCCTACCATCACTGGACACAACAGTCAGACAAGACGAGGCAGGAGTACTGGCAGATTGAGATACTGCGCTGCTATGCCCGTGCTGACGACAGGCGGCGGGAAGCTGAGGTGCAGCTGGGAAACGCACGTCGGGAGATTGAATACTTGAAAGCCAACCGCTGGACTTCGGGAGCTCCCGATGTATCGCCCATCAGTATCAACCTTGGCATCGACACTGCCAGAGAGCTTGCCAAGCACGGTATGGACTACCGCAACTGGGACTACGACCGCCTCATCGACAAGTGGCGGACCGCTATACGCGAGAACAGGGCTTCAGTTTCTGGTATGAGTGCTCAGAAGCCACTCCCCAGCGGCACGAGTTCTAGGAGCTGCTCCATGGCTAGTCTCCCACCAACGCAGTTTGCTACCGTGAACCAGCCTAGGCAAGGCAGCCCAATCAAGGTCGAGACCAACATGCCCTTCAGTGCACCACCCACCGTATGTGGTGATGGAGACAACGACCAAGTTGATGCAGAGGGCGATGACGACGACGACGATATCGACCTAACTCCTCAGACTATCGAGGAGGACGAATCGATGCACCAGATGCAGCATCAAGCCCAACAGCAGGCCTTGCATCATCCCCAGCCCCAACATCACCATGGAGCTCCCCTCCAACCGACGCCACCGCATCCCTCACAGCAGTTTCAACCACACATGCAGACCACCCACATCAGCCAGGCTCAGATTGCGCAGGCGCAGGCTCAAGCCCAAGCATGGGCAGCCGCGCGTCAGCACATGAACCAGTCACGCAATCAAGACTTCCGCCCACATCAGCAGCATCAGCTCTCGCCTCATCTACAGCACGTCGGCTCAGCTGATAGCAGCCGACGAGAATCGCTCGCCATGATGGATCCACACGGCATGAACCAGAACAACATGAACGCCATGGGCAGCTCCATGATGTCAGGGGGCATGGACAGTCTCGACAGCCGTCAAGACCAGTTTCTTCACATGGATATGGGCATGTCGACGGGCTTTGTCGGCTCCAACGATCCCAGCGTCACAATGGGTTAATCGATGCTGTACAGCACAACAGCAAGATTGTCAACGATGGGCAGAAAGGACTCTTCGGCATGGCGTAACGTGATACACGGAACGCGATACACGGACTGGCCTACTCTACAGCGGTTTTCACACATCTCGTTATTTCGTTTGTTCAACACTCTCGCCTCTTTCTCCCTTTGTTTTTCTCTATCTTTCTATACTCAGCTCGGCTTTTCGCTATACCCATATACCCGGCCTTGCAGCTTGATACCCATTTTCTTGTCAACCTTGGAACCCTGAACCAAACCTTTTCCTACATTATACTTAATAACCTTTCCTTGTTTACTTGCGTTATACTGAGATTGTCTGTTTCCTATGTAGAGTCTACAGAAGCCTTCGTTGGCAGTTACACTTGGGAGGTCATTGTGCTTGCATTTGTATATACCCAACACTAAACTTCCCTATTGTTAGATATTAGAAATAACGGCGGGTGGTGGAGGAGTAGGAGTAGGTGGAAGAATCGATTATAGTAAATTTTGAACTCGTGGGCCACCTGGTCCTTTTAATCACAAATGTCTTCCTTGCACTGGAGACACGCTGTTTCAGACATCTTGATTGTCAGTATGAAACACCTCCGTCGGAGACCACGAATTGCGACAATCGACAGTGGTTGATACCAGACGAGTGAGTGGCACCATGGCTCAGAGGGAATGGTTCCAATGCCACAGACGAATCAAACAATGAATCATCCGCCACGATATCATGTTTATCCGCTTCACTCAGTTTATTCACTCCCAGCACAACCATGGATTCAGACACCACTCTTACACTTCCGTCACAAACGAGAGCTTTTGTTAGCAAAATTCATACCTGTGGCGATTTTGCCGGATCTGTGATAGATTTCCGTTGAGACAAGAATCGGTACTACAGTCCTGTTCACGAAGATGCAGGCGCCAAGAATTTCACTTCTTTCTATGCCCAATGAACTTTTTGATGCTGAGGAGGATGTGATGGGGCCAGCGGAAGTGGAAGATATGTCTTCTTTTGCATCGCCATCTTCCATCTGCGCACATGGCGAGACGGAGGATAGACTGAAAATATAGGATTCGTCGGAGGAAAAGGAGCATAGGGAGGATGGTGCGACGGGGCATGGCCGATGTTGATATGGAGTTGTAGAGAGATAGGCATGTAAAGGGAGTATGTAGAGATCTACACGTGGATGCAAGAAGTGAAGTCCGGTGATATGTCCATGGGTTCGTATAGAAGTCACTGGTGGAAGCTTGTGATATGAGACAGACGTGTGACGAATCTGTCCAAAATGTGATGCTAGGTATAAGACGCAGGAATGAAATCATGACCCTGAGCTGCATCGAGCACTACAGATTCGTCTGCAAGATATACTCAACTTCAAGGAAAGCTACAGCTAAATTGCGTCAATAGCATGTCTGAAACGCCAAACGGTCGAGGCGAAGGTTATGGATATGGTAGCCGTCGTGGAGGAAAGGGCGGAGGAATTGTCGGTCGTAAGGATGTTGGAAGAAGTAGAGAAACTCTCGATGAGAGCCAGATCATAGGCGGTGTTTACTGTGACGCCAATCTGAGCGAGCATGGAAGAGGAAGAGTGATAGGTAGAGGAGCAGATGGTACTAGACAACACTTGTCTCAGATTCGAGGTGATACTTTCGGTGTACTTCGATTTACGACTCACACAAACATACCTGGAGCACGACCAATACAGACGACCAGAGGGTACAGAAACGCCAACAACGTTAACAACGAAGCAGAAGATGATAAACAGCCTGATCAGCGACAAAACGCAAGCGCCAAGGGCATCATGAGCAAGAGCAATGAGGATAGAACACCTCATCTGCTAGGCACTGTGATTTAGAAGAAGACCCTGGGAACACAGTTGTTTTCAGACGTTGCAAGAGCCAATATACCCGAGCTGAACGATACCAGTAAGAGTAGATCGAACTTTGGTGGCATACCACCATTAAGGCAAACCGAAAGGGTTGCATACACTCCTGCTCTACAGCTAATATCACGTAGGGGGCCTATGATAGAAGGAGGCAGTGACGAAGAGGTCCTCGTGCCAATCATACAACGTGCGATTGGTATGCCTCGCCAAGTCCCACCACCCTTAATACTGCCACCCAGAGTTTTTCGGCCTGTCAAACCGCCAGCCACTGCTATTGCTCCTCTACAAGAGTCTTCCCAAAGCTCTAGGGGAGTAGCTACATTGCACGATGTAAGAGAGGCTGGCTCGACCAATACTCTGTCAGAACGATACATGCGACTTGCGTCCAACAGGTCACCAACATCCCTGCCAGCGTAGCCTCCTGCAGCGGTGGCTCCACCATTGAGTCCAATGCAAAGAGACGATGGTAGTCTTTACGATAGAAATAAAACTGAAGGAGAGAAGGAGACGATCCGAGCAGAGATAAAAGAACAGAATAAGCCCTTGGGCAATCGCTGGTAAAATTGCTACTTGTATACTGGCATAGTCTGAGATAGCTTCTCTTTCGTTGTCATACAAGATTGTAGATAGAAACTGATCTCTCGTCTTCTTCCGAAAAAAGGTCATTCGTGTCAATCTTCAGAAGCGTTCTGGTGAGGGTTACGATCTTGTTCTTGGAAGCAACCAGACGAATGTGGTTGTTCTACACCTATGGTGACCGCCTTGTAGGTAACTCTAGGACAGAACACCATGGTAAGCGGCGTAGTTTGGATAAAGAGAGAAGAGTTCGGAACAACGCCTGATTACAGATCTCGGGTATACCGGCACAAAACGCCTTGTCGTCACTCATGTACTTCGCGGGATAAAACATGTGGGGATAGAGCGACCGACATGCGCCCCACGTGCGCTAATCAATTGGCGCAATCCCAACCGATTACAACCAGCTGCTCCGGTCCGACACCAACGACATCCGCCTATCTCGCCCACGTGTAATCATAGCTGGTTCTTATCTTCTATCATGATGACAGTCCCCGATCCGTCAAGCCTCTCCCCAAGCCGCGGTCGTTGCGTAAGCTCATGCAAGCTTCTGCAAGCCTTTTGGCGTTAGCGATGGAAGTAGGCGTGCTCCGTGCCGCGCACATGGGATTACCGTATGGCTAGTATGCATCTGTTCCTGCAGCTTACTGCTAGGATTGTGGATTGAAGCCATGTCGTTGACGTAGGTGATGGATGCTTAGCTTGACCAAGCTGGCTGAGCTGGGTATAAAAAGAAGGAACTTGGTGGTGCGATTGGGCGGTGTGTTGATTTTCCTGGTCATTCGTTATCCTCGCCGAAGCTGCTCCATCTCGATATGTCTGCTCTCCTCGTATTAGGTCTCGCTGCTACGACTCTGGGCTATCCCACCGTCAGCAAGCATCACCACACTCCTCTTGAGAATGCCACCGACTACCTCGTTTCTCTCGGTCCCCGACCATACTACATCATCAATAATATGACCGATAGCCCATTGAAGAGGAAATTACAGTCTTGTGAAAACACTCCTGTTTCCATATCAGGATTTTCAATCGGCCATCGCGGCGGCGGAACACTTCAATTTCCAGAGGAGACGATTCGTTCGGAAGATGCTGGAGCGCGTATGGGCGCTGGTATCTTGGAATGCGATGTAACATTCACGAGCGACAGGGGCTTAGTATGCAGGCATGATCTATGTGATTTACACCGGACGACAGACATCTTGCTCAGACCAGAGTTGGCAGCGAAATGTACGACGCCGTTCACGCCAGCAAATGCGACGAGTGATGCAAACGCGCTATGTTGTACATCTGACATCACAATCGATGAGTGTATGTCCCCCACCTCCATTTCAAGATCCAAGACGATAGTTTTGACTGATAAAACTCATAGTCAGCACGCTGTGCAGCAAACAAGACGGCATAAATGCCTCCGCCACAAATGTAGTCGACTTCCAAGCCGGCACACCTCCTTGGCGCACGGAACTCTACGATACATGCGGCCAAGTACTAACCCTTGATCAATACATCGATCTCGTAGACTCCTATCCAGGCTACCGTAACTTCACTCCCGAGCTCAAAACGCCACCCGCTGCCGTCCCCATGCCCTTCCAAGGAAACTACACACAGCAGCAATACGCCAGCGACATGATATCCGCTTTCCGTAACAAGGGCATCGACGCCTCTCGTGTGTGGCCACAATCTTTTACCTACGATGATATCGTATACTGGCTGCAAAACGATCACGACTTTGGTCGCCAGGCGGCCTATCTCCAAGAATTCGACACACCCGCGGACCTGGCAGCTGGAATGGCCAACCTAAGCATCGCGCGGGCCGCGGGCGTAAACATAATTGCGCCAGCGCTACCCATGCTCCTATCCATTGGCGGCGCTGACAACAAGACCATCGTTGAGAGCGAGTACTCGAAAGCTATCAAGGCAAATGGCATGGATATCATTGCCTGGACGTTTGAGAGGTCAGGACCCTTGGCCAATGTGAGGAAAGACGAGGAATATTACTACTCCACGATTGCGGATGTAATCACGCATGATGGACAGTTATACGAAGTACTGGATATTCTCGTTAGGGAGGTTGGGATCAAGGGCCTGTTCACAGATTGGGCGGCGACAGTGACTTATTTTGCAAACTGCTTCGGGTTGGAGGGACCTGTGGGTGGAAGCTATAGCTGAGGTGTCCTTGAACAAAGGAAATAAGAATATGAGATATAAACTTTGCCGCTTGCTACATAATGCTCTCGCGAGTTGAAGTGAAGAGTAGTCAGACCTCACAAAAGAAGCTTTTGGCAGGACCTTGTATGTTGTGACACAGCAAGAAGAGGACAGAACATACTCAGGTGTGGTAAGACTCTATACAAATGAGAGCCGTTAGGATTCCACACTGTGTATGCGTCAGGATTCTGTTGATTAGGCATATCTCCCGTTCTACAATATCGGCGCAACATTCCTCTTCTTTCTGGTCACCTCCTATTCAGTTATCGTATCGCCGAATATGTATTAGCATCATAAACAATCTATCGATCTACCTTCTATCGCACTGACACAAGTAGTCCCTACCAGCTATTGAGACCACAAATTGTGTTTCATTTCGGCAAAAAGTGGTATTCACACTCTTGACTCGACATGAACTTTATGGACGTACACCGTAATGATCGTATCTATGCACGTCAACGAGCTATACTGCCGAACATGTCGATCGTCATTACGGCAGCGACCGAAAACGATAAAAAGTCAAAATGACGCACGGGTCTGGAATGGCGTTGTGGGGATAGTTCGGGATAGAGTTGCCGGCCGGTAGGAGCTTGAGTGATTGTAGTCGGTCAGTTCTGGTGTTCAAGGATAGCGGTGAAGAGACGCAATGCCACGAGAAATATGCTACTACAATCTGGTCGATCAGGGTCACAGTCGTGTAACTCAGTAGAAAAGTTGGGGTTGACAGAACATGTATTTTATTGTTCGTCTCTGCTATGTGTCTCAAACGAATCTTCCACCACAAATCTCGCAAAGCACAAAAAATGGTATTGGGTATCTCCAAACTCCAGCTCCACCAGAGAAGTCGGCTATCGCATCGGCAGAAGAGTAGGCGATCATGACAAGAGGGCACATGCCACAGGCATCTTTGAAACAGGCCTCGAGTTGCATGAAAGATCGCATTCGCATTCGCTGAAGCGCCTCATAGGGGGTATAAGGGTCAACCACCGAACAAAAACAAACGGTGGTGACCGAAACAGGGGGTATTGCAGGAAGGAAAGTAGGTGTAGGAAATCCCAAAGCTCAAGTATTACCCAAGTATGATAGTGTGATCTCCACAGTTCATCAATCGTCGCAGACAAGAGAAAGTGTGATTACAAAGGAGTGTGAGGGGTAATAAAGGGGTTTGGAAGTGCCCAAGTTGGAAAGCAGATTGAATGTAAAACAAGACCCAAGGACAAGTCCAAGGGGGTAAAAGGGGGTATGATGCGAAGAGCGCAAGAACAAGACGTGAACGGACATGCATCCTCGTGATATGGGTTACAGGCAAAGGACATGAAGAAAGGCTTTGAACGCGTGCGTTCGTTGAATCAAAGACAGCGCACCAGTCGATGATGCACGGAAAGCGGTTTTCCTATCTCTTACAAGACGAGGTAGCCAACACCAGCAGCGAGCGCAACAACCATGGTGTTGACCTTGATGGACGCAGCAGCACCCTCAAACTCGGCAGGCTTGCTGGCAGATGGCGCACCAACAGTAGGAGCGGAAGCAGTAGGCGCAACACCGGAAGTACCATTGCCAGCGTTGTAGCTGGGGATGATGGTGGGGTGGGTAGCAGAGATGGTGCTGGTGCTGTTGGCGGGGGTGTAACCGGGAGCGGGTGCGGAGCTGGACATGGTGACAGTGTTGACGCGGTAGACAGTGGAGGTGATGTAGACAGTGGCGTCGTATCCATCGTCTTGAGCGAAGGCGACGGCGCAGAGGAGCGCGAAGATGGCAGTGAAGATCTGGCTGAAGGAGCGCATTTTGGTGGGTGGTTGGTTGGTTGGTGGTGGTGGAGGGTGTTGGTAGTTGATATGCGACGAAGAATGCGCAAAAGCTTCGATGTCGAATCAGAAGATGGTGGTGGTTGCAAGTGTGTATGCGACGGGCTATGCGACAAGTTGCGCAAGGTGTGAGACAGAGTCGTTTATTTTTTGTTGGAGATGGTATGCGAGAGCAGTGTGGGATAGTCTGAGACCAAGAGAGTGATGTCAAAGATAGTGATGATAATGAGCGTGGAAGCAAGATGCTTTAAGAGAGTGTGAGTGAGATATATCTCGAGAGTTTTGGATCGTGCGTCTGTGAGGGTGAAGGGAAACAACGGCGAGTGGGGACCGCCCCCGGGGGTTGTATCGTGTCTTGAATCCTTGCCGCCTGCGCAATTTCCCTGAGAAAAGCGCAATTTCGGTCCCCTTAAGGCGCTAACGCAGGTTCGGCCACGCTAACGGGAGTACCTGAGCAAGGAAGCTGCCGATCTAGCTGTTGGAGTGGGGACGTGCTGGCTTGGCTCGACGGCAAATCTCTGCAAACAACCCAGTCGTGGCAGTCTCGTGCCTGCCTGAGTTGAGCTTGACTGCCGAGGTACCCACTTTAGTCAACGTGCCTGCGCCTTCCCACCTGCATCCTCGTGAGTGACGGGTAGTGACCTCACTGCTCATCGCGATCACTAGGGCAACCTGGAAGACGAGGCTGTCATCGGATCTGTCGTCGCACAAGGTCAACCCCATGAGCCCCGGCGCTCGAGGGCCAAGTTTCAACCTTCTCCTCACGACTTTCGCCCCAGAGCATCCTCACACCCCATGCGTTCCACAATACACCAGCCTGAGCTCCGCACAGACCCTGAAACGAGCTCAGCGAATCGTGCCGTCGGCCCTCAAGGCGGAAACGTGACTGGAGCCAGCGCGACAAATGCTGTACACCGCACTTGGACACTCGTGGCACCCTACCCGTTGCGACAAGTGTACAGGCTATTGTTGTCCCGTCACCTTGGCAGCTCTGGAAGCAGACGGAACAGTACAACGAGAACAACGTCCTGATGGTGGTGTGGAACTCGCCAAAGAGAATTTCTTGCAAAGACTTTGCCTCAACAATGCAGCTTATGTTGTGACTCCAATTCTTCGCGCAGTAGTAGCGCGTGAGAGTGTAGTTGCCCAGGCGTGGCATTCTGCATGAACAACACATTTTTCTCCCACCGAACCCACTGTAGTAGCATCGCGAGGAAAGCAACGGTGAATGACACATAAGAACAAGTCATGTCATCGCCTCGAGAGAAAGAATCCAGATTGGAGCTAAGGTCGCCCATCCAAGCGAGTATAGCTCTGATTGGTTATATAGGCCGCACCACCCCTGCCATTAGTACAGTGCGAACTTTCGCTCATTTCCTGCCATTTCGCCATCGCGACCATTGGCATTATAGCCATTGGCAACGACGCCATTGCAAATCCAGCTCCTAACTTCCGCTCCCTCAAATGACAAGCCGCTTCCCAATGACAAGCCAAGCCGAATCATGTCTTGCTTCCGACCTTGGAGCTCCTTGGGCGTGCAATTCGACTTGACGCGCATATTACAAATTTGAGCAAACACGCGCGCGCAAATTGGACAAGTAATTCATCTTTCGCACTCGCTCCCGTCAAACCAATTGTCGTGTAGTGCCGAGTCGGATCGAACGCTCCCAAGAAGGTCAAGATAGGAAGGAACCACGACTCTTTGCCACTGCCACTCGCAAAGTTAGTTTAGAGCGCGAAAACGCAAATGCAAATGCAGCAACCACCAGAAGTTCTCCTCGGCTTCATTGCCGGCGCTGCAACATTTGCCAATGTGCCTGCTAGTCAAAAAGCCATGCCGTTTCCAGCAAGCTCTAAACAAACGCCCCTTGCGTATATGGAAACCCACGTGCATGCATTCCACGATAGAACAAAGACCCTCATCCCACGTCCCCCGAAAAGACTACGGCAAAATGCAGAGAGAAGGGAAGCAAGCGAACGCACGCACCTAAGGCAAAACTGTCTTGGCAATGTCTTCACACAATGGTCGCAAACGGCCTCGAGTCGTGTATGTTTGATCAGCGCGTCGCCAAACAAACAGACTTCAGTCTTCAATCGGCTTCGACTATTTCAGCGCTCTCCCACAAGCGACGGCATATCTCCTCCGCTTCGTTTCGGCTACGCGCCTGGTCGCTCTCGAAACTTTGTCCTCCGGCTTCAAAGTCGTTCTCGTCGCGACTAGTCTTGCCGCGTCCTGCATCGTTCTCAAAACTGACTCGCGATCTCCGTGAGCTTGCCCCATCTGTTTCGACGCTGCTTTCGTTGAAACTTGTGCTCAGGCTGCTGGCACCTGTTGCGAAGCCGTTTGCACTGTGCGATGACTTGGGTATGCGCGTTTTGCGAGACATGCCGGGGGTTTGGTATATCCGTGCAAGGGCGTCTGCAATCGGGTTGCGATATCTTCGCACCACGTTGTATTCGACCGCGACGTGGTTGAACTGCTGCTGTAGACGGGGATCCAAGCGTCCTTCGCCATTGCCATTGTAATGGATGCTAGACTGAAGGTATGTGGGACCGCCCGTGCGGGGCAGCGTTACGGGTACGAGCTTCTGCGGTTCAATGTTGGACGACGCACGTTGGAGCATGAGTTTCTGTTGTGTCCGCGAGGGGGGCAGATTGGTGGGTGTGGTTGTGCCGGAGCGCTGAGGTGTTTTGGACGGCGTGTCTGCGCCGCCGTTAAAATTTGGCATCGACTTGTTGCGTTTACTCTTGTCGAGTTCACCCCCATCGGTATCTTCCTTCAGACCATGCTCAGCCATATATGCGCCGTCATGAGGTGTCCCAGCCGAGCCGTCTCCGTCCATAAAACGCGATACCAGATTGTGTCCCGGCGTCTCCACAAGCGTAGAACCAACGGACCCAGCCGTGTGACTGAGTAAATTGTGGCGATCGGACGATGATACGACGGTCGCCGCGACCGACGATGTTTGAGGAGCAAGATTCCGCGAGGAGCTGCGCTGCAGGAGTCGCGAAGTGATCATGTCAGCATCTGGAGGCCGAGAATGTTGGTAAGAGCTCCCGCCGTTGGTTTGTGTGTTGTTGCGCGTGCGATCGGTGAGCGTCTGTGTCGCCTGGCTGGGCGCCTCCCGTATTGTTCCTGCCTGCTGTGATGGCTCTCCCCTGTTCTTCTCCATGTTGATCTCCGCCGCTCTATGCTGTGCCTCGAGTATGACGGAGTTGGAGCGCGTGTTCGATCGGGTAGTCGTAGGTGACTGTGACGCGCTCTCTTCGGTCCACCCGCCTTCTTCTTCCTCGTCGTCGTTGGGCATATCAAAGTGAACCGCAGCGTGCGGCTCCGGCGAACTCTGCCGAGATCGAGTGGGGGTCGCGAGCGCACGCTTGGAAGCAGCGTTTTCGTTCTTTGACCCCTTCAGCGCGTGTTTTGCATGGCCTTGCCGCGGCGGCAGATGTCCGCTCGAGTGATTTCTGCGCAAGTTGGCTTGCTGATTGTTTGCTCTCACAATGGCACCAGATGACGCATGTCGCTTGAAACCTGGACGCGTATGTGGGCTGCTGGGCGCCGAAACTGAATTGCCCGACTGTGAGCGACGGTGGTGTCGCCCTGTGTTTTCTGCACCCTGTAGCGCCTGTTGTGCCTGCTTCTCGGCTTTGTTCAGCTTGTTCAGATTCTTGCCAAAAGACGTGTTCCTCTGTACGCGTTGACCGACAACATGATGGCGCTGGCTCTTGTGATGAGCTGAGCGATGAGGGCCCTCAGACGGCGACTGCGAGATGTGCGATTGCGAGGATGACTGTCTAGTCATCGCAGCTGGCCTCTTGGGCCGCGAATTAGATTCATCTGCTGAAGCCATGCTTACGCTCGCCTACACAGCGCGCTGCGTCGTTGAAGTGAGATTGGGGGGCCGTTTGGCTGTCGGCGCTGCACGTAATGATGCAAGTCTGCGGTGGTTCGTAGAAATGAAGTGGAGCAGCCAGCCCGGGGTTTCTTTGCGCTGGCAGCCAAGAAATCAATAGGCGGCCATGGAGTTCAATTGCGTGTATTGGAAGCGTTGGGAACGTGATACAGCGTGCCACGTTGGGCCCAATGATTATCGATGGAGATGGTGGAGTGCATGGGCTGCCGTCAAATGAGTAGGCGGTGAATACGCCCCAACCGCTTTCGGTGACCGCGGCCCGTCCCAACGTCATATGACCGGGACATCCGACCCGCATTACTATTTACCACAGCTATTCGCTCTCACTTCATTCACCGCAATCACCTTTATCAACGTTCTGCTAGTAAAAACTCGATTTCTAGGCCCTGCATATATACACTTTGTATTATATATGGAGTAGTTTGCGTTGATCTTGATACATAATCGCGCGCGTTGCGCAGTTTCCCAGTTGCCAGCTGTAGAATCAAATGTTCGGGGGTGTCTCTCTTTTGTACCTACGAAGATACCAGCTCTCAAACCCCAGCAGTCGTATGGTGTGTAATTCATACTCTTTGCGTCATCTCGTTCGTCAATCGTGATCGTGGTCTGGTGTCGCGCTCTGTTTGATGTTGCCTTCACTTCGGACTTGCTCATCTGTCATCGCTTTTCATATCGCAAATGTATGAGCGAACCTCTTCAGCTTGCATTTCATTCCTCGCTGTAGTACTGCTCGCTGCTGACTGATTTGGCGTTGCGCAGGGTTCATGCCATCGATGCAGCCGAAGGAAGAGGTGGTGAGAAAAGACTCGGGGCGAGAACGGTAGGACGGCGGTGGTAGCCCAGAAATGTACGTCGGTGCATCAGACAGATCGCCCATGGAGTCTTCTCGAGTAAGACAGGCAGCTGCCGTTGATGGTCGAGTGCTGTCCCCGCTTCGTGCCGTACGCATGAATATGGCGTTGACGCGCCGCTCGAAGACACTGTCAGTATCGCCAAGTCGCACACTTCTTGGTGTACCCGAACGCAAGGGTAGATCTTGACGCGGCTGTTGATCAACCGATACAAGAGCACTGCTTCGTGTGGAGGGATATCGTGTTGACGGCTGTATGGCGGGACGAAGAAAAGATCCAGACCGAGACATGAGCATAGGAGCGGGGGCTTCATTGACATCCTCATAGGAGATGGCTAAGAGTGGCATCGACGCCGATTGTCTTTTGTGCTTTCGATCTACCTGGCGTTGAGATTTGGTGCGCAGAAGTGAAGGTATTTGAACCTGCATCTTTTTGGCGCAACGACGGAAGGCTATCCTTTGCTGGCTGTTAGCTGTCGATGGCCTGGCGATTCTGAGTACTCCAGTCAATGGAACGGCATGTTGCGCCACGGGTGTATCCTTGACACCAGGGCTGGTCGCCGCCCTCCAGTAGGGAAGTCCTCCCATCAGAGGAGGCGAAGGCGTATTTACGCTGGCATCCAACCAGGCATTAACATCCCGTATAACGCCCGAATTTGGTCTTGCGGGACGGATCGGAGGTAAGACTGGCGCTCGAGGTGAAACTTGCTCGACGTCAATTGGGACCAGTGGAAATGCTGGCGCATCGTCAAGATTTTGTGCAAGCTCTGTTGAAGGTGCTGTGCGCGGACGCCGGAGGGAAATCTTTCGTTGCATCTCGTTTGAGCGGTCGTCGTTCTTCAGTGTTTGGCGCGATGCCACTTTGCGCAGATGTCGCCGCAGCCACTTCTTCGCTGTTTCATGCTTGCTATTAGCTGTAGTAATCGTCTGTTCTGTAGTTGGTGCCGTCATGATGCGTGATTATAGAGGAGCTGCTGCGAGAATGTCGTACGGTGATTGATGCACGACGATAACAGTAATGTAGAGAAGTTGAGGGTGAAGACGCAGCAGCCACTTCATGTAGTTCTAAGTGAGCATCTTCGCTGGCGGAAGGTGCGAATAAGCTGCCGTTGTATAATAAGAACGTCATAGGGTTGGTTAAGAAAGTGCAGTCGTCAAGCTGCTCAACTGACAGTCACTCAGGAAAATAAGGAAGGCACGTTTTGGAGCTTTCACCTATGAGTTTCATGAGAACCCAAGCATTTCTGAATGCTGCCAATTATAGCGAAGCGATAATACAACGAATTCACTGTGTCTACGCTCCTAATAATCAAAATCCTCAAACACTACTTTCTGTCCTTCTAGCCATCCTGTGACTATTTTCCTCATCCCCTTTCCAGCACACACGTACCATGTATCAGCCTGCATCGCCTGTATATCACTCTTCGTCATTCTTCTTTCCACAACCTCAGCCTCCATTTTCACCTGATCCTTCATCTTAGTTAAGTCCCCGTCTGTTCTGCCACCTGTCAGAAACACTGTCGCACAAGCTCCTAGCCCATGATACCGTCGAAACGTATCATACACCAACCCCATATCCTCACTCCGTACGGCCCAAATCAACTTGAATCCTCCAGCTTCCAGACCCAGCCCACCAACTTGTCCGAGCAACGGCGTGATACCCACTCCGCCAGCCACAAAAACCACCTTACGCCCATCAGTTTTTTCGATCTTGAACTGACCCCCTACACCAAGGGCACCTATCTCCAACCCAGCCCGCTCATTCTGCTGGAAGAGGAACCGTGTAACAGTACCGACGTTCCGTATGGTCATCTCAAACTCACTTTCTTTCCCTTGGGCTTTATTAGGCATGGAGGAAATGGTAAACGTCCTCACGAAGTCATCGTTCAAACTTCCAGGATCATCATCGCGCATGTGTTCGTACCCAATGTCTAATTCCTTGCTAAAGTCCAGGGCAATCCATTGCCCTGGTTGATATGTGATCCCATCTCTTACAGTGAAAGTGAAACGAGCGATGCTAGGCGTGAGAACCTCTTTCTTGGTCAAAGACGCCATGGTGTGAGAAACCGAGAGTGTGCCGCGTATGTTCCCTTCAGAAGCAAGGGTGCGCACGAGCGGATTATATGGGCTAGGTGTCTTCTTCGAGCCACGAAACGGCAGACCGTTGCCTACAAATCGGCATTCTGAGATGGAAATCTTGACGGCCAGATTGCTACCGGGTAATAGGGCAGCTGCATCTGCACCAGCGAGGATATCAGTTGTGCCGGTCAGATAAAGGACATCTCCAGTGTCGTAACCTGGAAACACGATACCAATCTTGGGGTTGAGCATTAGATTACCGAGGGACTGATAAAGCCGGTTTCCAGAGTACTCGGGGTATGCAAGGGTGCTTGAATCTATCATTCGAACGAATCCCGCTGGTCCACCGCGATGGTTGACATCCATGTCATCCTCAGTTGTCGTGGATAAGAAGAACATGTCAGATCTCGCGATAAGTTCTTTCCCTTCTTTTGATAAAGCCGAGGATTGCGATACTGATTTTGCGTTTACCAGTGCTGGGCGTATTTCGTATTGATTGAGATACTTGGGACAGTTTCCTAGGCTTTGTTCTATCTTCGTGACGATCTGGATCTGTTCTTGCTTCCTGTCTGCCTCCCCTTCGATCTCAACATCGATGTCCCTTATTGCTCCTGCAACCATACGCCCGGCGGTTTTGACTCTTTTCCTCGTCATCAGATCGATAGCTAAACCTGCTACTAATTTGCCACCGTCTTTTGCCTGAGCCATCTCGCCCTTCTCGTTTGCACTTGTTAGCGCTTGCACCACAGGATCATTCGTGCCATCGACGAGTGTTCGTGTGCCGATGAAACCTCCACCAAGCTGTTCAGAGAAACCAGGCTCGCCACCCCATAGCGTCGCCCACGGTCTGGATTGTGCATCCAGTGTTCCGAGTGCGAGTAGAGGAGCACGTTGGAACATGAAACTGGCCTGTGGTGTGAGCATAGCCGATGTTGGGTTATCTTGAGGTGGAACGCGGAGGAGGCGATGCATCTTCTCTTCGCCCTCGTTCCAGGGCATCCCTATCGAGAACGCCATCTCGTGAAAATGTGTGTTTGATGTAGTATGAATTGATATGGATTGTTGATCAAGTGTCGAAAGTCTCCCGGTTCAGCTCTGTATTATGTAGCTCCTGTGGAGGGGGTCTCCTGCATGTCATCTTCTACATCGGAGTTGTAACCATCGTCAGTGTTGCCGTCGGCATTGGATCTGGTAAGCAAGTCGTTGCAATGCGCGGCCGGCATTCGGAGTGTTATCCACAGGGCGCATTGGTGGGAGTGCCACAGCAATGTGTCAGCATCGGCAACATCTCAAATGTCGCCATCCGGCTCGGCCCTACACTGCGGGGAAGAGGAACTAGTCCAAATGAGTCGGGGAGGCGTGCAGTCGAGAACCCCCGCTTATTATGAATCTATCTATCATCAAACGCTAGGTCGTATGCAGACAGCATCATAATCCGTGAAGACGAGATTCAGCTCTAAATCTTGCGTCATATCGATTATCCAATACTACAACATCTATTTATGCTCACCAATGATCATGTCTGCCGCCTTCTCGGCGATTCCATACACAAGCGTCTGAAGATGGGCGCTCGGCAAAAGAGGAATGATGCTCGCATCGACTACCCTCAACCCCCTGGTACCGTAGACCTTCAGCTCTGAATCCACAACACCGCCAGCCTTCTCCGGAAGCAACGCAGCGGTACCAACAGGATGGTAGATACTCAATGTGTTCGCCAGCGCATACTTTCGCCAGTCCTCATCAGTTTGCACTGCATTGCCCGGCTCGTACTCTTCGATCCAGACCTCGCTCATTGGCTTCGTAGAGGCGATCTTACGCAGATATCTGGCAAGATTTGTAGCAGCTGCGAGATCGTAGGGGTGGGATAGGTAGTTAGGGTTGATAAGGGGCTTGTCGCTCACGTTCCGGGAGCTGATGTGAACATTGCCCTTGCTGAGAGGGTGTTGCACAACGCCAATCAGTGCAAAAGTGCCGATGCCGAATTGAGAGGAGTTGGCAGCAGGATAGCCTTTGAGGCCAGTGTAGCCGTCTGAGAAGATGACTTCCAGTTGGGGTACCTTGGTGCTCAAAGCCGGGGAGAAGTATGTCTTCTTCAATTTGTCGGTTGCGGAAACCAAACTCTTGTCGTTGTCAACGAGGATACGGAGCTGAGAAGCCGTTTCGTTGCTGACAGTGCCCCAGGGGAAGTATGCATAGCCGCTGGCTGTGTAATCGTAGAGTGACTCTCGGTCTGCGTTATACAAGGCTAGCTCGGCAGCCGCACGGGTGGCGTTCTTGAGGACATCGAAGGAAGGGTATTCGGGTTTCAATTGATAGGAGACTTGGATGCGGATGTGGTCTTGGAGGTTCTCGCCCACATATGGCAAGTGCTTGACAACGGGGATGCTAAGTTTCTCAAGGAGTGATGCATTTCCGACACCGGAGAGTTCGAGAAGACCGGGGGTCTGGAAGGAGCCAGCTGAGAGAATGATTTCCCGCCGCGCAGTGATTGTAGTACCATCTTCGAGGGTGACTCCTGTGGCAGTTGTTCCTTTGAAGTCAATCTTAGCCACACGGGTGTCTAGCTTCAAGATCAGGTTGTCTTTGGCGAGTTTGAGATACTCTGGGGCGTAGGAGCGAGTGTAGTTCGGGCTGACATTGCTGGGTTGAGTCGAGACGCCGATGGGGTTGCCATTCAGACTCTCTCGGTTTGTCGCCAAGCCGAGAGCATTCATTGTAGGATACCATGTCGATTGATGTCGCGGGAAGATTCTGTTGATGAGTGTGCGAATAGGCCCAGTTGTACCGACTCCTTCGGTGCCATATGCAGGCGACGGGAGGAAAGTCTCACACTTCAACATTGCCGCATAAAGACTCTTCCAGTTCCATCCTTTGTTACCGAGCTGCTTTTCCCAGGCATCGAGTTCGAATTTGGAAGTCCTGTCCCACGTCATAAGATTGAGCGCAGAGCTACCTCCGAGGACCTTGCCACGGTTTTGCGCGAAGACACGGTTGTTGGCACTGGGTTGTGCAATGGTGGTCAAGTTCCAATCGTATTTGCCTCCGAGTGTTGAGCCTTTTCTTCCCGGCACGGAGATTCCAGGTTCCTGGCGGCCATCGGGTCCAGCTTCTATGACGAGGACGCTGAGATCTGGAAGGCCAAGACTGATGCGCGAAGCAACCGCGAGACCTGCAGTCCCGCCTCCAATGACTATCTTATCGCTTGTTAGATTATCCTTAGAGCTGAAGTGTGGACTCCAGGTTTCTGAAAGCAACGTACAAAATCGTAAGAGCTAGAATTAACTGGCAGACCTTCCTCTCGCCCGACAACTGCTGCGCTGCCATGCCATAACAGCACGGACACAAGTAATGTGGAAGTGAATGTCTTCATAATTCTGCCGCAAAGAGAAGCACCGTGTTCTCCAGATGTCTATACGGTCGACGAAGAACGTGAAGCCTCGTAAAAGCTCTTTCTCGAGCATACCAGCTTGATATAAATTGCATGTCAGCGCCACCGAGCTAGGCAATGCATACTAGCGATATGCAGAGCCGAGTCCGAGATCTAAGATTCCATATGCAGGAGCGGCCTGGAATCGTTTGTTGCTATTATCCGATGCGAGACGGGACAAGGTACCGGCAGAGCGCCCACTTTTGGCTGCGCATTTACGCCTGTCTACCGGGTATAGTAGATAATTAAGCCGGACGCCTGGTCATGACTTTCCTTTCGACCTCGATCTTTGTCATAGTCGTGCTCTCATGGCAGTGCAACGTCAGACTGCACCTAACGAGGAACCGTAGGTTCGTGAGGTCTAAACACGCCCTCGAAATCAATCTAAGGTCCGAAGTCCTCGGATGCTCTGCTGCAGTGTGGACCCGGGAGGCAATGAGCGGGAACTAAGAGCCCTTCGCGTGACAGCACACAACGCGCGAGTCGCATTACGCTCCATCGGTCTTATATAGCAGTGGCCATGGTAGTATGTGCAAAGACCTTGACTGCAAGGCTTAGGCGTACCGCCAAGAATACCTCACCATTGGTCTAGATACGCACACACGGCAGAGCTACGGATGGAAGAATGATAAATGTGAAGGAGTAAGGCATTGTTGAATGAGAGTAAGCCATCCTAGAGAGGTGCGCGTGGATATCCGCGCTAGTCAGTGTCCCGTCCTCTATCAGCAGGTACGACATCGCAATCCTAAAACTAAGTTCATCCCACCTTCTAGCTAAAGATCAGTCTCCAGCCATGGTGAGCATGCATCTCGACCGGATGCTTTCTTTTCGTAAGGTGCCATTTCGGCGCAACAATTACAATACGAGAAAGCTGAAAGCTGGTCAGACCAGGGTGCCAGGCCAGCTGGACCCCTAACTTAGTCTTTCTCCGCCTCTCAAGCTTGGAAGAGGCGAATGTTGATCAACCACTTACACCACCATTGTCGTCTAACATACTGAGTCTTGTTCGCAAGACGTTGAAGTCCCTACCGTTGCGTATTCGATCCAACCATGGCAATGCGCAAAAACCGGGTGAAGCCTACAGCCTACCCGTTCCTACCTTTCCACATCATACGATGCGCACAATTACTTTCCTCACTTGTAGTGGCAAGTGTTATGTTTTATTTCCTGCGTGAATTATCGCATGATGGGTATAGATTACCTTGGACATTCATTCTGGTATGTATCCCTACCACATACAGCATCACAATACTAACATTTGCTCAGCTAATGTTAGTTTCGCTCTTCACCCTCGCCGCGCTCACTTGTACCATCTTTCTCCATATCCGTCACGGGCTATCTGCATCCCTCAACCTGACCCTCAACGCCGCCCTCGCACTTCTCTGGACCGTGTCCTTTGCTCTGCTAGCATGGTGGTGCTCAGGAACATTGGCACATGTATGCAATGCGCAGAATTGGGAGTCGGAGGCAGGGATAAGCGTGTGCAGGATGTACAAGGCGCTGTTCAGTTTTGCGTTGCTGGGTTTTGTGGCGACAGCGCTGGCGTTGGGGTTGGACATCAGGGTTATGAGGAGCGCGAGGAAGAGAGGCGTCTTTCAGCAATTGAATGTGCTGGATGGTGGGAATGGGAAGAGAGACGGTGAATTGGGAGAGGAGGATGTCAATCCAAATCCAGTCGCGGCACGAGTCCAACGGGCGAGGGGAGGGGATGGGTATGCGCTGCCGGAAGAGCAGTTTGAGTATGACGATATCGGATATCAAGGCGCAGCAGGGCAGGTCGGGAGAAGTAGAATATGAAGAGAGTAAGAAGTTATGTTATCAGAGTTATTGACACGCTATCTTGAACGCCGCCCAATGCTGGCATGATGCCGGGTATCACAGTGCAAGAAACTAGAAAATGTCGTCCATGATGGCATCCCTTCCATTCATGGCTGCAGCCGCGGCATGCTCTGTGCCAACGTCCGCATCCATTGACATTGAGGGAGCCTCCCGCGCAGTGATTTCGTCTTCAACGAAAACACCTAGGCCACCGAAAGCTTCGCGTAGTGTCCGACTGCAATAGTCTTGCAAACTGTGTCCTCCCACCAGATGTGCCGAATCCTTCTTCATACGTGCATACCAGTCCACATCGTAGTTGTCCTGAAGTACGTAATATTGTGGTGCGATGGTGTAACCGCCGAATGGGTCGAAGGGTGCTTCTACGGGTGGCGCGACGCGCTTTTTGAGTCCGCGGATCACGAAGCCGCCGTCAACATCATCTTTGAGTGCAGGGCCCTTGCGAGCGGCGGCTTCTTGTTCGGCTTTTTGGAGAGCCTCGAATTTTCTCAATTTCGCCCAGGTCGCGTCCACGTCGATGTTGAGGATGAGATTCCAGTTGATTTCTTCGACCTGCTCGAGGTAGTCGTTGTAGTCCCTAAGCGTCTCAAAATCGTCTTCTGTTTTGTTCATGCTGCATGGCCGTCAGCTACATGTTACAAGGGTCGATGCGTCGCACTTACATCTTCATGACCTTCTTCCTGAGGTCCACCTCTCGCTCCACCTTCAGATCCTCGAAAGTTGCCCTCCGAAAGTTCCTATAGGCAAGCGTCTTTGCGCATCCTGCAACAGGACATATACTGTTGCCTTTGCCAAACAATCGTTCTACGCAGGTATCGCACATCTTATGGTAGCATATTGGGTTGATCTTGAACTGCATGTTGGAGTTAAGGAAGCGCGACGACCTGCATACAGGGCACGAGTCTGAGGCATCGTCAGCAAGAGAAATGGAACGAGGCATTTGCTGCAAAGACAAGCTGTAAAGGGATTTGGAGAGGGACGCACCGCCATCTTGCTGCTTAGACGCGTCGGCGCCGCGCGATTTCGACATGGCGGAGGTTGTGGCGGAGATATGCTTCCAAGCTTAACGGATATGGGGCCTCGGGAAGTCGAAGGATGGTGCTGACTCAGCGTGTAGAAGCCGCTGGTCGTTTTATGAGGTTGAAAGCATGACCGGGCAGCTATGAATGTATATGATGGGATGATATCAGCGATAGTAAGGTTCACGTACTCCTTCTGTCTGACAAACGACAGACCGGCGATCTGTATGCAGGCGTAGCATGGTTTCCCTTGTGGGGCCAGCCGCCAAGACCCGCGCTTTTTCTCGTACACAAAATTCCTGCACCTTTCCTTCCTCTCTCGCACTCATCCTCCCACCACATCAACAAAATGACAGCCTCAACACAGAGCGCTCTAGAGGAGCTCGAGCGCAGTCGTGCGCAGCTGCAGCAAAATGTCGATAAGCTGCGTAAAGCACTCTCCCACTGGACGACCTGGGAGGCTGAGTATGAGACGCTGAAAGAAGAGATTCAAGAAGCTGGCGATCCCTCGCCCTCACAGATACGTGAGATGGCACGCGACCTCGAACTTACCCTGCTGGACCAGAAAGAAGTTGAGGAGCTGCTCTGCAAGAACTCGCCATCGGAACGCACTGCTAACCAAGTTATTGACATGATCTCTAGACGCGTTGACTATGTTCGGACGAGTAGTGCTACTATCGAGAAGAATCTTGACACCGCCGAGAAAAAGCTTGCTGGCGTCGACGTCCTGTTGGAACCAGGCATGGACAACGAAGAGGGCGAGCCGATGATGGACATCGAAGAAGAACTGGATGACGAGGGCAATGAGGTCTCGAGCTCTGTCAACCAGACGGGCAAGGCCGCAGCTGAGCTTGTTGAGGTTCTGCGCAAAGCTGGCATCCAAAAAGCTGAGCTGGAGAAGAAGAATGCAGAAGGAAAGGCTCAAGACACACCAGCTTCACACACCGTGTCAGATTCGATGTCTTCTCCGCCGCTTTCCGAATCCCCTCCTGCCACGACCGACAGCCAAACTTCAAAACCAGCGCCTTCGAGGAAGGCTGTGTCCTTCTCCGAAAAGGTCGAAGTCGAACCGGCTGCCAAAGCGGTACCAGACAATGACGAAGATGAGGCTGCAAAGGTCGCCTCACTGCTTTTCCCAGAGGGCACGCGTGCCATCGACCTCGAACAGGACGATGTGGACTTGTCCAATGCTATCATCCCAAGCGATGAGACACCAGAGGAAGCTGAGCTCAGGAGGCAAATGCTGCAATATGGCATGTCAGAAATCGGGCAGATTGTCGCCGAACTTGATCTGGACCAGCCTACTGCGTCATACTCGGACGAAGAAGATGACGACGATTATGGCGACTATGACACCGAAGACGAAGAAGAGGAAGACGAGTACGGTCGCAGCACTAAGCCAGTCATCACCGAAGACTACCGAAAGCAAATGATGGAGCTCGAGAAGAAGTTAGGCGCTCGTATGCTTGAGAACGTGGGGCCTGAGTCGGGAAAGCACACCCTTGAAGAGCACATCGGAGACATTCGCACAATGCGTGTGAAGAGTGACGATCAGTTCGACGAATCTCTGGGCACCTCTTCGGCCACGCCAGCAACAGATGATACCAAGGAGCCGAAGAAAAAAGGAGTACGCTTTGCCGATAACCTGGACATCTCTGAGGCACCAAAAGCAGTACAGCAACCGGCTCGAGCTACCCAGCCAGTGGCAAAATCAACTCCAACCATGTCCGATACCATCGTTGAGCGGTCTGCAGTTCCTGCAGCACCAGTTGAGCCTCCCAAGCCTGCCAAAGTATCCAAGTTCAAGAGTGCCCGTGCTGCAGCAAATACTGCCCCCCAGGTGCTGCCGACTCCTTCTGTACCAGAACCACCACCTGTACCAAGTGGCCCTGTTGGACGAACAATAGCCAACACTATAACCGAGCACGCTCCCTTGCCGTCGGAACCTCAGGCTCCTGATGAGTTTGATCCAGTTCTTCTGAACCGCGAGATTCAAGCGGAGTACCACAAGGCGCGCAATCGATTCATCCAGCGACAGGGTGGATTCAAGGCTACCGACGAGGACGAAGAGAGTCCGATTGTCGAAGAACGAGATGGCAAAACAAAGAAGGTGAGCCGTTTCATGGCGGCCAGACTCAAGGCCGAGGGTATGTAACATGTCCACACAACGTCACCATCACGTTTCTATCATCCCCATTCTCTTTGATATGTCATATTCTCATCGCGTACCCTTCTGAGGGTTACGTGTGCACATTTGCACAGCGCAGAGCAAAGCTGAAAGATGCTTTGCCATCGGAACAATCCATGTCCGTGACAGATACCATCCCATGTATCATGAATCACATTACATTCGTTCCAAGATCAAAAAAAAACGGTACCACTAGACTCGCCGGGCCAAAAACTATGCCTACTCGAGGTTCATATGCTCCGTACATATATATCCCAAACGCCATTATTGGCATGAATGAATCGAAGATGTTGAAACTTGAACTTTTTGATGTTTTGGCACGAGTGAATACATGGATGCGACAACGTGAGTGAAGCTGCAGGAACCATGTAGCACGACTTCAGACGAAAAAGGCTGGCAAACCACCGACTCTGTATTTTAGTACGTCAGATGTCATGGCGGGGCGCGGATAGTGGGGTAACCTCCTGGCGGCCGACGTGTAAATTTTTGGTCAACGCCGCCTGCAACCATGACTTCCGACTCGAGCTCCTCCACGCACTCCGATTCGCCGCCTACGACTCTCCATGTTTCGTCGCCGTTTGCAGACACGACCAAAGACTCTGCTCACCTCGCCTTTGCACCGATAGCGCTGGCGCAATACCACAACGTTGCCGAAAAACTGGCCTCCAACAACCTCTACCGCATCCTACGCGCACCAGGACCCATCCGTGTATGGGTCTACCGATCGCTACTCGCCGAGAATCAATTGTGGAATGACTGGGACCGTCGCGCGCTGTCACAACCCGACCTGAAGACGGAAACGAGCGAAGGCATGGCCGAAGGCAGCATCAACGATACCGAGAGCATGGGCGAGTCTGAGCGTCCCGATAGTTCAGGCGGCATACATGCGCGACCCTATCTTACCCGACTCCGCCTGGCGCTCGCGCCCTATACCGTACATTTCCACAACCCAGGCTATGTCAGGGACGATACGTTGCGTATGCTAGAGCGGGACGTGGTCAAGAAGACACTAGAAGAGTCGCGGAAAAGCTTGGAACTGCGCGAAGAACTCGGCCTCTCGTGGGAGTTCTGGGACGATCTTGCCGGCGTGCTGAAAGCCGCTATACCCTCACTCGAGCGCCGATGTTTCGCTGCGCCGGATCCTGCCGCCCCAGAATACGAAGGTCTATCGGGTCCGTTGATCGCAAGCTATTCCCCGAGTCTGCTTAGGGATTTGGAAAGATTGAACCAGCTTGTGTGTATAGCCCGGAATGTACAGGTACATGGAGAGAAGGTCCAGAACCTGAGCGCAGACAGGCTGTTCGACAAGGACATTTTTGCGCTGATCAATGTCTGTGTACGAGTCACCGCACGCGGCTACGACGGCGAGGCTGGGACCCAGGACGAAGATAAATGGCAGGGTGTCATCAATGCATACAAGAAGCTTCTCATTACATGCTTGCAGTTCCTCAACAACCTCATCGCACGCAACGAGCAGCGCAAGCTTATGCTCTGGATCGAACTGTTTGACAGCCACCTCGACAATGAACTACCGAACTTTGCCGACATGAAGTACAAGATGGATGAATTCCCACAAGATCAAGGACCGCCACCTGAGGAACAACCACTACCAACAAATGCAGCGCGTAGCTTAGACACATTCAAAATCCCACAGCAACCTGCGTCCTCGCCCTTCCTGCTGTACATTGGCGAAACGGGCAACGATGTCAAGAAGGCCCTGATACATCATGGTGTCAAAGCAGGCGCCAACGAAATCGCCGCCGAATGCAGGCGCAGGTGGCAGACGATGAGCGAGGAAGAGAAGAACGTAAGCTTCATCCACTCCACTACCCAGGTCTTGGCTAATTCTTCCAGAAATGGAACATGCTGTACGCGGATGTAGTTGCCAGGTATCGCGACCAGATCACCCAGTCCAGCACATATCGCAAAGTTGTAGACCAGCATGCCAAGAACGAAGAGAGTGTACAAGCACTGGCAAAGAGCATCAATCAACTTCAAGTCGAGGTTGACAGGATGCGTTCTTCAATTACCGCTCTCCCTGGCGACGAATCTAGCCGCGAGCAACAAGCATCCCAAACCGCAGCGGAGAAGCAGTCCCCAAAACCAGCAATGGATGACTCGTTACTAGATCCTAGCATCAAACGGTCTCCCCCGGCAGGTGAGATCGATTTCCGTGTGACATACCCGCCATCCTTCGGTGCGGAGATCCTCCAAAATGGCAAAGAAGATCTGCTTAAGCGTCTGGAGCCAGACCCCGACCGTCCATCAGGGCTAATCAGTGACGTAGCGTCTCCTACTTCTCCTCCGCCAGAGGATGACGATGATAATGATGACGATTACGATGACATACCTGGTGATGAAGGCCGAGGGCTGCTTACAGATGTTCCACTAATTCTGGGGCCTACCGAAATTGAAGTCTTACCTATGATAATTATGGCGGGCATCGTTGAGCCAACAGAGGGACAACCTGGTTATCACTCGGACCCGATTGTTTTCAGCAGCGTTAGGAGCATGCATGGTGTGCGGTGTCACTTGCTCCTTGCGCAGGATAATGGCCGGAATCTTCTTAGAGAGCTGTTGATCTTTGTTGCAGCTTGGGATCTACGCGAGGAAGAGCTGTACTTCAAATTCATGGTCAAGATCATGGAAGCTATTCTTGCAAACCAACTACTGCCATTTGCTTACCATGCCTTTAGGGAGTCCGAGTAAGTACATTTACCCAAGAGATAGAACCCTGCTGACACTGCGATAGATCGAAAGACATCATCTCTCCGGCTCAGGCAGTCATCATGAAGCTTCTTACCAACATCTTCCGCGCCAGACAAGCCCGTGCTCAACCTGCGAAGGGCCACCTCAAAGCAAATCACCCGCAAGTGGACCAAGGCGATGTCCATATGGTCAACTTTCTACTTACCGAGTTCCGTCGTCATATCATCCCGCAAACATGCGCTCTCATCTTCCTTCAAGGCCAAATTCGCGCCGGCCATGCTCAGCCGGAAGACTTTCCTCTGAATCTCTGGGATATGGAGCGCATGTATGAAGGTGTCTATCAATACCTAGAATTCTTTGCCATTCTCACAGAACATGAGACGTGGAAGAGGATGTTGAGCAACTGGGAAATTTCTCACGAACTAGTGACCCTTCTGAAAGAGTTAGATGCAGCGATACCCAAGGGTCAGCTATCACCGCCTCCCCTGAGGAACGTTCAGCATGCCCCACCACCTCCAGCACCAGTAGAAGTGGATGTTCCTTCGCCACAGCAGCAACAGCAGCAGCAGCCACCACAGCCGCAGCCAGTCGCTGTTGAGCGGCCATACGATACTACAGCTGCTGCAGCTGAACCATACATACCCCCACCAACTTCACCGTCACCTCGACCATACATAGACGAAGCGGCTGATGAACCCTCCGACTTTGAATGGCGCAATCTCAAGAAGCTCGCCGTTCTCGTCCTCAGCTCCCTAGTGTGGAAGAACAAGCACGTTCAAGATCAAATCCGTCCCCTCGGCGGTATCGAAGCAGTCCTCAATTGCTGCTCCTACGACGAGCATAACCCATATATTCGGGAACACGCCATCATGTGTCTACGTTTCCTCATGGAAGGCAACAAAGAGAATCAAGACCGCATTCACGCTCTGGAAAAGGTCAATCAAGACGCCAACGCCAAACCTAAAGCTACATCAAGTTCAAACCCAAACACGGCTGTCCCAGGCGAAAGCAGTGGTAGTAGTGGAAATGGTGGTAGTGGTAGCAGCAGCAGCAACAGATCACCCGTCAACATCCGTGTACCCGACGAAGTGCTCGACCAACAAGGGTACGAAACCTACATGGATAAACAAGGCCAAGTGATGTTGCGCAAGCGTCAACCTCAATCTTCGCCTGCGCATCAGAGTCAGAACCAGCCACTAACGTCTCGCTCAGATATCGGGGGCAATAGCAACAGCAAGGGTAAAGGCAAGAACGACCTTACTACTACTGCTGCGTTGGGTGAGATGGCGAGGATGAGCGGTGGCTTGAGGGATCCGAAGGCACTAGAGGATATGGTGCAACAGGTTATGCGTGGCTTGCCTAGGGTACAAGGCTTGAGGGGTGATGAAGAGAGGGCAGTTGAGGTTGAAGAGGCGCTGAAGAAATTAGACAAGGGTTTTGATGGAGGCTCGTAAAGTGGAGGCTTGTAACGATGACGATGCTCATGATATGGAGTATGGAGTACAGCATATTCTCTGGTTGTCTTTATTAGATGTTTCCTGTCTTGGAAGGCTGTTCGCCGTTGCCCGAACTGGGGCTCAAGGAATGCATTATTCTGACACAACCACCAACTTATACGGGTCACTATCCCTTGATATAGGCTGTGATGTGCCGAATGATATATGGAAAAGTGTCAACCTCAAAAGGTGCTTAGCTTAACAGAGAGTTGTGAGCAGAGTGCTGTATCTATGTATTGTTGTTGCCATTCCATCATGCTTAGGGTGCTCGGCTTCGGGGTGTCTTTTCCCGGTTCGGGAAACCTTCGCTCACTGGCTCGCTCAACCTGCATCTTCCCATCTCCACAGTTATCAACACCCGTTCACACTTATCAACATCCGTCGCGTCGGATGCGATCCGATGATAGCGATCGGCTCCTAAAGAAGTACCGGTAAAATCCCGATGCAAAGATAACGAGTCGGCATAACGCGTATCTCCGCGTTACTCGTTCACCGCCGCATGAAGCAGGTACCAAGACCTGACTACTACCAGACTGTGGGGTAGTGGAGACGGTAGTGGAGTCAACATCAATACGAATACAGAGCAGTTACAAGGTTGTATGACCGATCTCGGAACTATGCGCAGGCATCATATGTCGTTATATACACTTCCATGATGGCTTCGCTCGACGTAGCTTCGTTGGTGTGCGAACGCGTCGTGTCAACCTTAGTTTCCCACATTGACGCCATCATGGGTCAACACAACATGGCTCAGCGCCTTCTTACCACAGTCACATTGCTCACCAGCCTGTCTGGCGTCTCAGCTGCATACAACACATCTGAAGTCACGCTTCCCGGCTATGGCACTTTCCTCGGCACGACAGTCTCCCAGACTTTGACCAAGAAACCTCTACCACGCGCTGTAGACGCATGGCTCGGAATCGATTATGCTTCTCAGCCTGTTGGAGAAGGGAGGTTCGCGCCTGTTGGAGCGCCAGAGCCTTTCGATGGTGTTAAGAATGCAACGAGCTATGGATACTCGTGTTACCAGGATCCATTGGATATTACGTACGAGATGGATGAGGCATGTTTGAGCATGAACGTCTTCCGACCGCAGGGTGTTGGCGCGCACGAGAAGTTGCCCGTGCTAATCTGGATACATGGGGTGAGTTTGTAAGAAGGATTGGGTATGTGCTGCATTTGCTGACTTGACTCTCAAAGGGTGGTTTCGTTGCTGGTAGTGCTAGGAGTTTCGATGGCCCGAGTTTCGTAGCTAATTCAAAGGAGCCGTTGATCGTTGTGAACTTCAACTACAGAGCAAGTATGGTCATTCTTTTCTGTACAATCAAGCCTAATGTTATACAGGTAAACTCTTGGGGTTTCCTCCCCTCTCCAGTCTTTGAGCGCGAAGGACTTCTCAACCTGGGTCTTCGAGATCAGGAGACCTTGTTCAAATTCGTTCAAAAGTACATCTCCGCTTTTGGAGGCGACGCTTCTCGCGTCACCATTGGAGGTCGTTCCGCTGGTGCGCACTCAGTCGGCATCCATCTGTTCCACAACTATAACACCACTGAGGGCGCCGCACCACTCTTTTCCCAAGCTCTTCTCCAATCCGGCAGTGTGACCGCTCGAGCGTTCCCCAACGCGTCTTACCCCCTGTACCAAGAGCAGTTCTCGCGATACCTAGGTCTTACAGGTTGCAGCGCTGTGGCCAACAGCACCGATACCGAGATTCTCAGCTGTTTGCGTTCTGTCCCCGCTGCTGCCATTCAGAACGCTAGCGCTCTGATATGGCGCGCTTCTGAATATGCCATCACATGGCCATTCCAGCCCACCCGCGGTGGCCCCCTTCTCGAACAAGCCGGTTCAACCTCTGGATTCAACGGCCAGTTCTACCGCATCCCCACCATCACGACAAACGTTCCCGATGAAGCAAAATACTATTCACCCGGCGATATCGAGACCAACGATGAATTCCTTGCCTTCATGAAGAACCTGATCCCCGGTCTCACACCTGAAGACCTATCTGATCTTGAGGAGCTATACCCCGACCCCACAGGTTTGGACAGTGGGCCATACGTCCACAGCTCCAACTCTACTCAATACAACCGTCTCTCGGCCGCCCTCACAGACTACATGTACGTTTGCGCCGGCCAAGAAACTGCTCTCCGTATGTCCGCTGCCGACGTACCGGTGCATAAGATGGTCTTCGCTACAAACAACACGTTCCCCACTTGGAAGGGAATACCTCATACCGCCGATACAAAATACACTTGGGCTGAGCCAGCCGGTGCTGGCGGTGTTCAGTACCCCGAAGTCGGCAAGGAGTTGTTGAATGCTTACTTTTCCGACTTTGTTGCGCTAGGTGATCCAAATGCCGGCAACAGGACAGGTGTGCCATACTGGCCGCTCTATGCGGATGAAGGTGAGGGTAAGCCCGGGTTGCAGTTGAGGATGGAGCCTTTCGGTAACACTAGGGTTGAAGGGGATGGGATTAGGAGGAAGCAATGTGAGTGGTGGAGAGATGAGAGCAAGGCTGCGAGACTTGAAAAGTAGATAATATACCAAGCTTTTGTCAGTCGATAGAGTATAATAGACAGCGAGATGAATGAATATCGCCCAGACATATCCACACTCTCAACTTATCAAACAATACCTATACCCTCTTCCTAATCCTCGCCGCAATTTTCTGCTTAGGCCTCATTGTCCCAAAAGCCTTCTTTTTGTTCCCAGGATCCAAAGCTCGTGCCCCTTCCATATCAACTACTTCAATCTCGAATTCACCCATGAAGATTGCCAACGTCACGATACCGATATTGCGGGCAAAATGCCTTCCAGGACATTTGTGTTCTCCGCCCCCGAAAGAAGTCCAATTACCACTCAAGCCTGCATCGCTGAACTTTCCCCTTTTGTCGTCGTTTCCGCTGCCGCTCACCAAGTACCGATCGGCCCAGAAAGTATCAAGAGGTTTCGCGGTAGCCTGGGGCCTTGCAGCCTTCCACCCTGGGGTGAACTGCCCATTGTACTTATGAGAAAGATAAACCTCGGTGCCTTTTGGTATAGTGTATTTCTCGTCGAGCACATATGTCGGAGCTGTGACTTCTCTTACAGCGAGATTGGAACTATACATTCGTGTCGTCTCCGCATGAAGAGACTGCAACAAAGGCCGCGCGCTCAGTTGCATAAAGTTGTAGCCTTGCGTCTCTTCATTGACACCGTTCCTGATCTCATCGGACACGCGATGGTGTAGAGAGGGATCGCGTAGTGTTTCGAAAAAGTACCAGAATGTTACTGGCACGGTGAGACTGGTCCCGCCGTAGAGGAGGCCGAGGGTTTGTGCGGAGCGACCATCTACACCGTGACCAGCCATCTTGCTATATAGTTCCTCTCTCTCTTGAAGAAGACCAGAACCTGCGATGGGGTCCCAGGTAGTGTTTACGGCGTTTTGCTTGCGCAACACTTCAGATTCCTCGGTCCAAGCTCTAATAGCGTTGAGCAGGCGATCACGCGCGGCGTAGGCTTTGGGGATAAGGAAGCGGGGAAGGCCCATGAAGAATTGATCCGTGGCTTCAATGTGGATCCAGAGATCGGATATCATTCCTGGATACATGATGGATGTGCCGAGAAGGGTTTCGGCGATGCCGTAGGATGCGTGATATTCGATGAAGTCGTAGAGATCAGGGATGTCCTTCCATTCACCCTCTGGGATTGGAGACAAGCTTTCGGTGACGGTCCGTTTCATGACATCGAAAAGCCGTTTGGCAAGTAAGCCAAGGTTCGAGCCTGTGGTATGCTGTCGGATGTGTGTTGTTTGAATGTAGTCTGTATTGCCATTCTCAGACTTGTAATGGTCGATGGCTTCCTGTGGGCTTCCCATCAAAGCGCCCATAATCTTGTCGTGGATAAACGGGTTTGGATCACATTCGGATGAAGAATTGAGCACGCCTCTGACGTGCTCTGGATCTAAGACGACAAGTAGCTTTTGGCCTGCGGCATCTAGATAGAAGGGCGAACCATCGCCATATTGGTTCCTGTTGCAACGTTAGTTTCGCTTTAGTGCGACAATCGCGTGGTGGTTATCAATGGACAGCTTCGATGGTGATGTGAGGACGGTACTTACAAGCATCTGGCTAGGAAGCCATGCGAATCATAAGCAAAAGACAAGGCATGTTTCAGTCCAGGTATCCAATACGGAAGTGTTGGAGGCAAGACATTGCGACCCTTTCCGTACTTGATGGATCTGAAGGTATGCCCGGAAAGAATCCGAGTACAGACGCACACTACCGCGATGGCCACGATGCATTGCGCGATGAGACTGTGCTGCAATGCTGTGAACGGTGCAGAAAGCTGCCCGTTTACAGTCGTCGCGTTTCCGGCATCCATGTTGGGTGCAAGGTGGTATAATTCACGTGGTGGAGACAAACATCAGTTAAATGTGATCTTCATAAGTTGTCCCAATGCAGGGGGGTAAGCGCTAGCCTGAAAGAGGGATTAATTTCTGCAGTGTTGGGAGGCCTCGCTGGCAACAAGCCAGGCGGGCTGTACCTGATAACCAACGCCATGGTGTCTTGCATACCTGTCACGTACTCGATAGAAGATGAAACACAACGGCCACTGATTGCTTGCAGATAGCGGTGCAGTAGGCGGCTATTTTTGGTTGCATGGTGCATAACGGCGTGCATGAATGTGGAGGTGGAGACGATTGGCTTAGCGTCTCAGGGTCCCGGCCAGAACAACAGAGCTTCGTCAACTTGACATCCTTCGCGCTCTTTGCTATCATCATCACGCTCCTTGCGCTACCTAGGCATCCACCGGCTTTAGCTACTCATTGACTGCATCGCTGTCTCCTTTATTCTTTTCCGCTCCCTCGTGCTAATACTCAACCCTAAAGCGCTTATCTAGCAGCCAGCTAGAACTCGTCATCAGCATGCCGGGAGTTCGTAAGTGCAATCCCCATTCACCTTCACCTTCGCCGTGGGAATGGCATCCGTCTTGGGACTAGTCGTGCTTTTCGATCGGATGCGCAAACTTCCTTATTGTGGTTGCCTATCTACGTGCCCCATGTGTGCACAAACATCTACCTGCCCACAAGCCATCATCCTCGAGACTGCTCCGTGCAATCACTAGCACATACAGAATCGTTATCTGACACGTTACTCCCACAGCACTTGACGCGATGGATCAGATGAAGAAGGCCTTCAAGGGTCTCTTCAAGGGCAAGAAGTCTAAGAAGGAAGAGCCAAAGCCCACGGCCACTTCTGAGGCCCCCACTACGTCTGCGCAAACCAAGCCTAGCGAGACTACGCCAGCTGCACCCGCTCCCGCACCCGTCCCCGAGCCCGCGAAGACTGAGACGACACCTGCTGCCCCAGCGTCTGCGTCTTCGCCAGTCCCGGCGCCTGCTGAACCCGCAGCGGTTCCAGCCGCGGATCCTGCTCAGGGTGAGGCGAAGAAGGATGAAGCCGCTGCATTGGCCGAGGTCAAGCAAGCCACGTCGAGTAGGTTATCATCTCCTTCACATTCGAGTCCGCTACCGTATCGTGGAGACGATGCCTGGCATGGATCCAGGCGACGACAGAAAGTCGGCTTGGACCGCAGTCAGTGGAACGATCCCATTTAGGTGTGGGAAAACACCTGCAACGATATGACTGGTCAAGCTTATCGCACTTCCACCAGCTCGTTTACGACCTGACGGCCAGATACTACATTTCCTTCCCGCGCGAACTCATACGAATTTCCTTTGTCACTCAAGATACCCTAGACTAATACATCTTCTTGCAGCACCCGAACCCGTTGGCGCCGTTGCACCCGCACCCCCGACCGCTGCTGAGACTCAGCCTACAGCCACTGAGGCCCCAAAGGAGACTGAGCCCAAGGCGACGGATACACCTGCACCAACTGCCCCTTTGGATCTTCCCGCCATTCCTAGCAGCCAGCCCGCTGCTGGTATGAGCGCTACAAGCGGACCTATGTTTGATGAGCCCAACTTCGGCGAGGATAAGCCCGCTGCACCAGCTGCGGCGCCTGCTCCCGCCGCTCAGGCTGAGGAGCCTGTTGCTCCCGCACCTACTCCAGCGGCTCCCACCACTGCTGCCGCTCCTGCGCCTAGTGCTGAATCTACCGCAGCTCCTGCTGCCCCGGCCGCCGCTGAAGAGAAGGCAGAGAAATAGAGACGCCCCTATGGAGTTCGGGAGACTACAGGCGTGACAGAAAATAGCGGGCTGAGAGGCCCGCGAAAAAAAAAACCCCCCATTTTGAATACCGGCAGGCGAAGGGCGCGGGTGTCAGGCCTCGTTTTCAGCATTGTGATTTTCCACTAATACTATACCCCACTGCTGTATCTTTCGATAGGTGTGTCAAGCTGTAGGCGAGCTTGACTTTGAATCGAACAATTTCATGATTTCTACCTTGATCGTCTGCCTAAGTGACTTGGACGAATCATGGCCATTGTATTGCTGAAAGCTCCCAACTAGCGCGGGGCAATAGCAGCCGCGCTACACGTCAAGGAAAGTCGCCCCACCGACGACGTCAATGAAGGGACGCGATAATTCACACTAGGTAGAGAAAGCGCGAGCTATTTGGCCCCAACAGTCTACACGCCTGCACACCAATTCGATACCAGAGGGGGCACTCGACACAAGTCAACCAGCCCGCAACCCGCACACACGCACGAATCAAGAAATACCCACAATGCCTGCAGGCGGCTTCTCGCGCACGCGCAACGTCGATTACGATGACGACGATATTTACGACGACGATGACTACTACGAAGACGACGCCGGAGACGTCGATGCCGGAGGAGATGGCATGACGGAAGACGACAAAGAGCAGATGCGTGTGGGCACAGTCAAAGTACGCGAGGCGCTGGGAGACATGAGCGGCTTCACGAGCGATGAGCAAATACAAGAAGCGCTATGGCACTACTACTACGACATCGGAAAGAGCGTGAGCTACCTGAAGAACAAGCTCGGGGTCGCAGAACCGAAGCAGGAGGCACCCAAGCAGGAAAAGGCAAAACCAGTGTCACGCTTCGACCAAGCTGCAAGCGTAGCAGACCAGAACGCGCCCGCAACCACAGGTAAGCACACTCACACCCGCACCCCATTCTAGCTATGTAGACGAGTCTGCTGCCCTGTCGTCCTGTTGCCCATCCTCTACCGTTGCCCCAATCTCGATGCCTACCAACGCTGCTGTCACAGACTTCTTCTGGGATGTGCCCTGGGGCAACGTGCCACCCGAACGATTAGGCGTCATCACCGTCGATGCCCCCCACTACAAAGGCGGCCTGCTTGGAGGCTCTTCGAAACTAGCCGCCCTTGCGGCTAAGCGGAGGAAGGAGCGCGAAGATGCCGAAGCTGCTGCGTCCAAGGCAAACAATGACGCCGACTCGGCCATCGCCATGCTCGATAAGCTCTCGGTGAAGAACCAAGCGAGTGGCAACCCTGGCGGCGATAGTGGCGAGTCTGAGCGCCCAGCTCGACTTTCCAGATATCCTGTCCGCAGACGTTCGCCATCGCCAGCACCAGAAGCACCCAAAGAACCCGAGATAGAAGAACCCCAAGCTCCTCAGCCTGCCGTCGTTGTCGAATCGCCTGCTCAACGCGCTACTGCCTCTATGTTCGCCTCCACCCTTTGTGGGCCCGACGAAATGTCAAAGCACACACAAGCACCGCTACAAGAGGTGCCGATACCCTTTGCTGCGTACAAATCCTATGATGGCACAGGAGCCTTTGCTGGACCCAGCCCGGACGACATTGTGCGCGCAGCACAGGCAAAGGGCGCAGGCGGCGGACGTCACTAGATTCTTGGCAAATTCATTTGAACCTCTCTAAGACATACAGGAACTACACCAAAGAAGAAGAAAAAGCAGACCAACGGTGACTTAGCCGAGTCGGTCGAGAAGCTTACCGTGGCCGATGAGCCAAGAGTCAAGAGCAAGAACTTGAACGTTGTAGACGAGTTTGAAAAGAGCGCTTCCAAGCGGATGGCTAATTTTGTAGTGCTCGGTGAGTAGAATCTTACAACCTTTATTCGTCCTTCGTCATTATAGTACTAACTTATCCAGGACATGTCGACCACGGTAAGAGTACACTCATGGGGCGATTGCTTTACGATCTTCAAGTTGTCGATCAGCGATCGATAGACAAATTACGAAAAGAAGCAGAGACTATTGGCAAATCATCATTCGCGCTCGCGTGGGTCATGGACGAGACCAGCGAAGAGCGGAGTCGTGGTGTCACCGTCGACATTGCGACAAACTACTTCGAGACAGACAGGAGCGTGTTCACAATACTGGATGCGCCTGGTCATAAGGACTTCATACCAAGAATGATCTCGGGTGCATCACAAGCCGACTTCCCCGTCCTTGTCATCGACGCAAGCACTAACAGCTTCGAATCTGGTCTCAAGGGTCAAACGAAGGAACACATCCTGATTGCACGAAGCATGGGTATGCAACATATCGTCGTGGCCGTGAACAAGATGGATACAGTCGAATGGTCGAAATCACGCTTCGACGAGATCTCGAAACTCATGACCACCTTCCTCACCGAAGCAAGCTTCCTCGAAAAGCGGATAACATTCATACCCCTAGCTGGTCTGACCGGAGAAAACGTCGTCAAGAAGATCGAAAACTCGGCCGCACATTGGTACACTGGCGAGACTCTGCTAGAAGCTCTAGAACGCATCGATCTACCAACCCGAAACCTCACGAAACCACTTCGGCTCTCTGTTGCTGACGTCTTCCGAGGTGACGTCCGTTCGCCGCTCAGCATATCAGGCCGTATCGATGCCGGAACCTTACAAGTCGGTGACGTTATTCTTGCTCTCCCTGCCAACGAAACCGCAACTATAAAATCTATCGAAGTGCAAGACGCACCCGTAGACTGGGCTGTCTGCGGTCAAATCCCTACCCTTCACCTCACAGACATCGACCCCGTTCACCTTCGTCAGGGAGACATTGTCTGTTCCCCCAAAGATCCTGTCAAACTTGTCAAAGCATTTACGTCCAAGCTCCTCGCTTTCGAACACGTACTGCCTATGCCGGTGGAAGTCTTTAGGAGCACACTCAACTCACCAGCAGGAATTCGAACGCTGAGCGCTAAGCTTAATAAGTTTACAGGGGAGGTTGTGAAGAAGAAGCCAAGAATTGTGAAGCCAGGTGAGGTAGCAAGGGTGGTGGTGCAATTGGAAAAGGAGTTACCGGTGGAGGAGGGAATGAGGGTCGTGCTTAGAGAGAGGGGACGGACGGTGGGGGCAGGATTGATGGAAAATGTTGCTTGATTGGGTGAAAAGGAGGATAGACAGTTCAAGAAGGATATCTTTGTGGAAGCTTGCGACAGCATGGGGTGCGTAGTGCATGACTTTGTAGTTTATGGTCATGACCTTACCAAGGTTCTTGTGATAGACATACTCGAGTCTCATATCGTACATGTCGTACACGAAAGCATACTACACGTGTCTGATGTCTTATTTTTGATTTCGCCCTATCTTATCTCTTATCCGCCCAAGGTGCCCTCGTACTTGATTGGGTATTCTGCGTATCCCCTGCATTTCCTCTTGCCCATGGTGCTGTAGTGCCACCTACTGCCGGTGGCGGAGCAGGCGTTCTGCTCGCCCAAGGCGCTTTTGTAGGCTGATTCGGACCATTGGGTACATCTGTACTACCTGTGCCTCTAGCACTAGCACCAGCAGTAGCCCACGGCGCGGCCGTCATGGGAGGCATTCCAGCGCCCGCCGTTCTAGCCCCAGCACCCGCCCAAGGCGCAGCAGTACCAACTCCACCTCCCCTAGCTGCTCCACCCATAGGGTCAGCCATCGGATCCCGTAACGCAGACTGTGGACCCGGTCGAGCAGTAGGTGCTGTGGTAGACGGTGTACTCGACTTAGGTTGACTAGCAGTATGGACACTTGCCTGAATGGTTTTCGCATTCGGATCTGCTGAGAAGGAGAAAAGCGAGCCGAACGGGAAGTGCTGGACTACAGGGAATTTGGAAAGAACTTCTGCGTTGTACATCTTGATCATCCCCTGAAACTATTGTCAGTTTGACGCATCGAGAAAGGGAGAAGAATGTGGATTACCTTGTTGATTTTGGCCCATCCTGCTTTAACACCAGAGACGTCGTACAAGATATTGCTGTGTTCCCAAAATGGTCCTTTCTTTACATCGTAGATGAAGCCGATGGCACTGAAATACATATTCCGCGTTCGCTCTCGGGCTACAGCGGTGGCTTTGGCCACGTCGCCTGGGTTAGGAGCAGTCGGTAACGAGCCTTCTGCCGCGACATCTGCAGGCGTAACGATAGCGGGAGAAAGTTGCGCGCTGCCGAAGATATACGGAACAAACGAATGATCGTCTAGCCCCCATACACCGTGGGAGCCAGCAGGTTCAAGTGTGTACGTCAAGATAAGCCGTCGTATCAGAGCGAGATATGGTTCCACTACTCCAAGAACGATACCGCGTTCCTGCTCGCCATCTTCCGAATGAGGAAAAGCGCCCAGTTTCCAAAGACAGCCTAGGAAAGCGAGGAAACTGAGTTCATGGCCTGTACCGTAGTCGAGACGTTGAGAGCTACCGAAACTGCCGATGAGATAGGCTTCTAGTTCATGTTTGGCAGAGACATCAGACGCGGATTTGAAGGCGAGTACCTGTTCGGGTAGATACTGATCCAGGAGTGCAGGCACTCTTTCTCGAACAATATCATACCAGATCCTAAAGCTGACGTTTCCGAAGCGACGCGGACCTGGGTCTGGCGGTGCTTCGTCGACGATGGAGGCGAGGACGTCGAGAAGCTTGGCGAGGTTTGCAACAACAGGGGGATGAGGAACGTCTGGATCGTTCAATTTCCACTCTTTGAATGAGCCTGTGTTGTCTCGTTGCTCTTGAGATTGTTTGATCTTCCGGGGTATCATGGCTGTGTTAAGCTGGAAGATAAAAGTCATTATATCGGCATAGGCTCTGCTTGCCAGGAAGAAAGTGACATCGTCGCCATCGTGAATGCGTTTGGCGGGAATTTCGAAACTGTGCGATGCGTCTTTGCGGAGTAGCTCTAGTACGGGTGCTTTGGAGGGATTCGATGACATTGCGGAATGGGGGGTGTGGTGATAGTTTGTGGTTTATCGATAGTGGGCAGGTGCAGGGACGATCTCATGTGATAGCGTGTCTGAGTCCAGCCTCGTCTTGCTTTTGAGCGTGGGGATGACTTCACTCCCCCACATCGCCGACATCGCCAAGGCTCATCAACACGGATGCAATAGCGTTCTTAACGCTCACGGATGGCGCGCCTCAAGGACACGTCGAAGCAGAGAGGTACGTCATGGCAGTGCACCAAGTTGTCCATGGCCGCTACCTATTATAAACACAGCTGAAGCTTCCGTCCGACGCGTCCTGAGCTAACACTGGCACACTAGCTCGTAAACCTCCCTCGCCTTCCTCAGACGACGACGCCGCAACCCAGCAGCTCCTCACCGAATCCCATTCCCCACTCGCAGACTTGCCCGCACCGTCCGCGGTCCTCGGCGCAAACCTGCTCAACGCAGCGCGCATAAACCCCCCTAGCTTTCTAGAGCGGAAGGGAAAACTCAAGCGGGTCAGCCTGAAGAGGGATGAGAGCTCAAGACAGAATCTAGCGGTTAGAGGTGACCCGTACGAGATTGAGCTGAGCCCTGAGAAGGGCAGATATGCATTGCCAGAGAAGGTCAACCACAAGCCCTTGAAGATCCTTAAGAAGAAAAGGGATAAAGGCAAGGCGAAAGTAGTGGACGTATCGAGTGATGCTCCTGTAGCTTCGTCGGAGCTTCCGGTGCGGACCGACGGCGGATTGCAGGTGGATCCCAAAGAGCTGGTGGAGAATCTGGCTTTGCCTGGAGACCTGGTATCAGCAGAGACTGACCTACGTTCCTCACCACCTCGACTCGCTCCGTTGCAAAGCGATACCGTAGCCGTCGATAACACTCGTCATGGAACACCACCCAATGTGGGCGAAAGATCGTCTGATGCGCTAGAGCATCTTGCCAACACACGAGCAATATCGAAACGGAAATCAGAGTCAGAACACGGTCATGATAGACCTGCGAAATGCCAGAGAGAACAGAGGCAAGCGACTGCAGAATCAGTCACATCAAGGAGGGCTCATCCACGGGTCAGAATTCAGGTCCGGCGGACATCGCAAGAGCAGAGCACCACGGAGAAGGTGGATCACAGTAACCACGAACAAGGAACGCAAGAAATCGCCGACGACCCTGTACAAGGGAAAGGCTCACATCCAAAACGTGCACCACCAAAATTAAAATCTCGAAGAAAACTTACCAATGATACTACAGTGACCAGTCAGCCGTTACCGGCCAGGAAGCGAGGACCCCAGGGCAACGCAAAACCATTCAAGGAAGCTCCAGAAACAGCCAATGTCATGGAGATCGAACGCGCGTCTGGAAGTGCCGAGTCCGATCACGAGTCCGATCACGAGTCCGAGAATGAGCCGGACGCAGAGAGATCTGACAGCATTTCGGATGACGGTCACAAGACAGTACGTCCTACAGGACAGCCTGGAAGTATCGAGACCGTCTTTGGGTTCCTCAACCTTAAGCCACGGTCAGGAAAATGTGAAACTAAAATCGCTACTTCGATCATCCGTAAATGCAATGTACACCGCGTCCACCTTCAGGATAGCGACATACCGACGGAGCAAGTCGCTGAAGATGCCAATGAACTGAAAGAAGTGCTCAGGCAGATCAACGCTTGTGTCAAGGAGAAAGACCAGCGCGCCTTCAAAGGTGACGCGTATGGCCATGTCTTCCGTGCTGTCATACTATACCTCGAAGCACTATATATTTGGCTGGACGAGAACGACGGTGCAGTGACCGACTCACTAGACGCTTTGCGCATACTGTCACCCTTGATGCGTCAGATTCTGGCCTTCAAGGACGCGATTGCGGACTGGAATGCCTTTGTTCCCAAGCACTTCAAGGGTGATAGAATTATCAAGGACGTGGATATCAGTCTCATTGCTCATCTTCGGCACGTGGACAAGATATATCGCAGATGTCTGAGTAGGCTTGAAGCTACGGAACAACATCGCAAGCAGCAAGCAGAGCTCGATCGCAAGATGAAAGAGCAGAAAGAGGAGGAAGACCGCAAGACCATGTCTCTCGAGGCGCAAACGCAGCGGTGGAAACGCTGGCAGGATCTACATGTCAAGCGCATGCTCTGTGAAACTGATCCGCATAGAAGACTGAAGTTGGCCATCACAAGGCTCCAAGACTTGGAAGAAAAAGACGCTAACGGTGTCGTTTTCGAGCGGCTGCCGGTCTTTACATCCCGGTCTGCTCCTCTACATCGTCAAGCTTCGACATTGGACGACAGCCGAGAATGGACTGAACAAGAAGAGACAGCTTTACTCGACGGCTTGAAGCGTTATGCTGGTACGTTTCATCTTCTCTTCAGAGTCTCTCGTTTCTATACTAACCGTCATATAGGTCCGCAAGTTTTCGAGAAGATCTTCACAACGTATTGCAAGCCTGATTCGTCTCGTCCGCTGGGCGGATGTTTGCGCGAACGGAGTGTCGCAGAGATTGTTACAAAAGCAGCGCAATTTCGATCAAACTTGCAAAAGTTATATCAAGATAACGGCTGGGTTGTGGAGGACTGGATTACAAAGATTCCAGTGATTCTGTAAGTTTGGTTCTCCCTCTCGATGGAGTGGTTCATCCTTGCGTCTTACGATGAATGCCCATCTTTCACTGTGGCGCAGATTGAACTCCTGCTGAAGCAGTCTTTCTCGTTGTATAATCCTTAAGATACCCCTCATATATTTCCACTTGTAGTCTTACCGCGAATCATCGTGTTCGACGTGTGTCGTCATGGGCACAGCCTCAGAGCATGTAGGTCTTCTCCACCCGCGCAAATTCAATACTCTCTCCGCATCCTCTGTTACATTTGGTCTTTGTGATCACTCAAGCTATCAGTGGCGTCATTCAGAACCGTATTACTGAGCTAGGTGAAAACTTCGTTTTACTTTTCCATTGTCGTGGCGGCTGACCTGTAATCATGCGTGAATACCTTCTACGCGAAAGCTCGACCGCCCACTAAGAGGTATCAATCACGGGACTGGTAACTCGCTTCCATAGAAAACACCCTATCACACAATAACTCAGCCAATCCTCCAATCGCAAGACCATTATCAAAGCACATTCACTCCTGGATCAGCGGGCGCGCCCCTCCGCTGCGTACCAACGCAACCCCACACTCTCATTGTTGTAATCCTAGAAATCCTCACACGCGCTCTCTTCTCCTGACTTTACCGACTCACTTCAACTTCCATTCACACTGCAACCAGCCATCTCGAACTAGAAGTTTTTCAAATCAAAACCAGCACGAATCACGTACCCGCACAATCCTCAGCCACAATGTCGCTTCCCGCGAACATCAACACTGCGGCTAGAACACCTTACTCTGAGGCGGCCAGTGTTGAGCATTACAGTAGTAAAACGGTGGATGAACTCAGAATTCTGGCTAAGATTCATGGCGTTCCTGATGGTGCAGGACCGAGGGACATTGTCGCAATTTTGATGGAGAAAGATCGAGTGAACGGTGTGTGGCCTGGTATGTTCGAGGATCCTGAGACAAAGGATACCAAAGGTTCGTGTGTCGCGTCAGTCGACCAGACCTCACAGAACACTGAGACACCTTCTGAGACCATCATCGCCACTGGAGGACAGTCCAAATCTGCTTCGGTTGCTACCGTCCTCGATAACAATAAGATCGCCGAAACTCCAACAGCCGTCATGACCGCGACAGGATCCGAGAACGATACCGCTATTCCCATATCGCAGTTGAAGAAAGAGTGGGATGGATTATGGGGCCCGCCTTTCGCTTTCTCCAAGGTCGCTCCTACCGACCCGAAGTCGCAAGGCACGTCTATAACTTCCGCCGGATCCACGTCCATTAGATCAAAGTCGCCTGTTTCTCCTGTTTCTCCTGCATCTTCTGCTTCGTTGAAGTCGAATAGGTATGAAGTTCTCGCAACCGAGGAGAAGGAGTTTTTCGAACCAGAGGAGCTGTTGACCGAGGCAGTCGAGGAATATATTTCTACTGCGAATATGAGTATACAGAGCGCACCATCTGGACATGGAAAGTCTCTCGCTACTCAAACGTTCTCACACCAAGTTGACAAGGAAGAGAACGTACATCTGGTGAATGAGAATGCTGACGTTGGCGATAAGACCAAGAAGAAGGGTAAACGTGGCACGAAGGGCGGACGCAAGATTAACAAGGCCAAGACCGACGCTGCCCAGTCTGCTGCGACTGAGGTTGAGAAGACTGAGGCATCGACGTCCAATGCTTCCATCACTTCGAAGCAGGCTGAAGATATTCCGTTGCCAGTACCACCAGCCAACATAGAGTCCACTGAGGGCGATGTGGAGTCTACGCTCGAGGTCCCTGAACCGCTTTCCGTTATTGAGGAGAATGATGGTGCCATCATCGAGCGCTCGACATCGGTCGCACCGACAGCGATAGACGAACACGTCGAGAAGCAAGTCAACATTGATCAATCCAAGCTCATCAATGTTGAGGATAATGAAGGGTCGCCACCACCTATCGAAGTTCCGATCTCACAGCAGTCTGCTGCTTCTCCACCTGCGGCACCATCGGAGCCAACAGTAAAGTCATCCAAGAAGGCTCCTGTACAAATCTTCCCTGCCGGTTCTCCTGTGCCACTGCCTTCCACTCAAACTGCGCAAACTCCTACACCTGTAAAGACGAAGAACCAGAGGCGCAACGAAAAGCGTAAGGAGAACAAGCAGGCGGCGGTGTTGTCAAACATATACGACGTCCTCATGTCTGAGCAATCCGGCGACGCGTCAACGCCATATTCATCTGATATAAAGGAGGATGAAAATAAAGACAATAGCGAGGGTACTGCTCCAGCAGCCAAGAAGAAGAAGCGTGGCACAAAAGGCGGCAAGAAGGCGCAGGCGCAAAAGAAGCACCAGCCTGTACCGATCGTCGAAACTACCACTACTCCTATCACTGAGGCGGCTGCTGGACCCGTCATCCAGACCACTGTGGCAACCAAGATTCAGCCGATGCATCTGGCTTTGTGTGCTGTTGTTGCGATTCTTGCTGGTGTTGTGGGAACTTGGGCTATAGTTTAATGGAAATGCTGAAGGATAAAGAGGGCGTTTTTCGTCTTTCGGTGATATCGATGGGAACACTTGAGGCATTGCTTTAGAACAAACCCGTACAATGACATTCTGAGTCTCTGGTGCTTGGGGGATAAAGCCTATAAGGACATAGTAATTACATTGACGTTTCTAATGATGTACACGTGCATCGCATGTCTATGCGTAACATCACGTACAAAGTACGGTCGCAAAAGGAAGGAAGTCGAATCAAGCGTCTGTAAAATCTTAGCGAGACTTGCGCGAATAATTTGAAGGGGTAGATGGGTTTTCTTAACGTAAAGTCTTACGTTCTTGGACTCGGCTGGATGAGATGGCTACGGCTGAATTGGACGCACTAACACATCATGGGCCTTTTGCGGTCATTTGAAGTACCGTTAACACTACACCGTACAATGGGAGCCGTCGATGAACAGTCATCTCACGTATTGAAAAACCTGAACATCGACGTACTACATCCACGACACCACAAGCGAAGCCACGAGTTAACCATGCGAAATAAATACCCCCACAGGGCAAGGAAGCGCGCACCTGCATACAGATGAGCCCCCTGGCCAATCACAAGCCCTCGTATAGCGGGAGGGTCGCACGCTAGTCTGCAGCCAGAAGGCTTGTAGGAACACTCGCATTCCGGAACCACGACATCGTCACAATGCGCGAATTATCCCCCGCTTGGCAAACACCGGCAAAGCAAGTAAAATATGACCTACGCTGCTTTCACAGGCGGTATATCCGCCGCAATAGGCAAAGGCAGGCCCATCATGACTTGCCCAGCAGTGGCTGAGCAGCCCGCTGATCGTGAGGGGGATAAATGCCTCATACAAACATTATCCTTTGTGACCAGACCGCATTACATTGCATCGCCTTCCTACCTAGAGCTTTTACCTCTCCTGAGACATTTTCCAATACTTTGGTAAACGAGCTCTGTGTTTTGAGTTCTTTTTCCTGCTCTTTTGTCATACCGTTTGTTCGCTTATTCGCCCTTGCGTCTCGCTGCTGCAGTGCACGTATACGGAAATCCCTCGACTTCGTTACTGAAAAGTGGTTTCGGAGCGAGAAGAGACAATCATGTGGAAGCCACCAATCAATTTCATTACGCTGCATTGTAAGTTCTGCATATGGATGCTTGCCTGGTCCAGGAGGGATGGCATCGCTAACGGCATGTAGATGCCTACATTCTCAGTTTCGGCATTTTAGCTTTGATCATCATTTATCCCTATGGAAATCTTTCCGCTATTGATGCGTACTACTTTGGTGTCAGCGCGTCAACTGAATCTGGACTGAACCCGTGAGTTTTGCTGGCATATACTAGACTGGCTTCGTGCTGACAGTGAACTAGTGTTGATGTCAAGGCTCTCAAAACGTACCAGCAGATCTTCGTCTATATCACACCCATCGTTACAAACCTGGGATTCATCAATGTTATTGTCGTTGTTGTACGACTACGTTGGTTTAGTCAGAAGCTGAAGGGTGTCGGTATGTCAAGCTCCGTCCTGTCCTTCCGTCCAAAGCTGACAGTTCAACAGCAGCGGCACACACTAGACCCAGAAGCTCCCGACTGTCTTTCAGTCAGGTCCAAAAGACTACCGATGCTTCCGATACACGAGAGCTCGAAGCAGGTCTCACTGGCGAGACAGTCTCGGAGAAGAAGCCTGTTCCTGTTTCCACTGAAGAGAATTCGAACGATGAGCCTTCTGCTCCCCGCATCACGTTTGCACCCGACCCTCGACACACTGCCAAAGAAAAAGGCACTTTGTACATTCCTGGCCCACGAGAACGCGACAATGGTCAACCCATCACTTCAATGTCCGATGATGAAGACGAAGATGAAGATCGTATCAAGCCCGTCGCAGAATCAAGCTATACACGACGTCGCAACCTGTCAGAGACTAGAAGCATGAACACTCGAGCCATGAGCAAGGCAAAGTCCGTAGATCGCGCTGTGTCATCTATATTCGTGCTCGGAAGTACCGCAAGCACCCACCGTCGTAGCGAAGACAAGCCACGGAGAGAACCCACCATCGATCTGGCTTCCATGACTCGAGAAGAGCTAGGTGGTGTTGAGTACCGTGCGCTGCGCGTCTTGCTCAAGGTCACGGTCGGATACTTTGTTGGACTACACACGTTCGGAGTCATTTGCCTGCTCCCATGGATTCATATGGCACCAGCAAAGTACCAAGACTACCTTGCCTCACAGGGTCAAGACAAGACATGGTGGGCGTTTTACTCAGCGCAAACCATGGTCGATAACCTCGGCCTGACACTTACGCCAGACAGTATGATAACCTTCCGTGACGCAACCTGGCCGATGCTAGTGATGTCGTTCCTCGCATTCGCCGGTAATACGTTTTATCCTGTCTTCCTGCGCCTCCTCATCTGGACCATCTACAAGCTTGCGCCCGCGAGGTCCTCGCTCGAAGAATCGACACGCTTCCTACTCGACCATCCGAGAAGATGCTACACACTGCTTTTCCCTGCCACTGCAACCTGGATCCTAGCCTCCATCCTCTTCGCTCTGAACTTCATCGACACTCTGCTCATCGTTGTCCTCGATCTTGACAACCCAGAGGTAAACGTCTTACCTGTCGGGCCCCGCATCCTCGCTGCCATCTTCCAGTCTGCATCGTCTCGCCACACCGGTACGTCGACGTTCAACCTTGCGGCTGTCAACCCAGCAGTGCAGTTCAGTCTTCTTGTCATGATGTACATCTCCATCTACCCGATCGCGATCTCTATCCGTATGAGCGAGAGCTACGAGGAGAAATCTGTGGGTATCTATGGTGCAGATGAGAACCTGGATGAGCAGAAGGGAAGTAAAACATACTTGATTGGCCATCTACGGAATCAGTTGAGTTTCGATCTATGGTACATCTTCTTGGGCGTGTTCTGTATCTGTATTGCAGAGAGTGATCGGATCATGAGTCGAGAGGATTGGGTAAGTTGGACATCGATCCTGTTCACTGAAATTCATGTGCTAACCTATCATCAGGCCTTCTCCGTCTTCGCTATCTTCTTCGAAGTTGTCTCTGCATACGGCAACGTCGGTCTTTCGCTTGGTCACCCATCCAACCTCACCTCGCTGTCTGGACACTTCAATACCTTTGGCAAAGTGGTCATTTGCGCTATGATGCTGCGTGGTAGGCACAGGGGTCTGCCGTATAGCCTCGATCGGGCCATTAATCTGCCTCACGATCTTATCACGGATGATAATGAGAGCGAAAAATATAAAGACGAGGATGCGGCGACGTCGGAGGCCGTGAGCGCAGACGGTAGTTGGGGAAGGAAGATGATAAAGAGCTTTACACAGTAAGATTTGGGGTCAACTTCGTACGTTTCGGATGATTCGGGTATATATTAAAGTAGACAGCTTCACGGGTTTATAGACATGTTATAGGAGTATACGCACGTGTATCTTAGATCATTATAGATTCATGACATGGTTTTGGGTAAGAGAACTGGAATTGTATCGTAGTATATGCAACTTATACAAGTTCACTTTCTATTGGTTGACAAAGAAATGATAACGAGAGAAAATTGTAGGAGAAGGACGATGAACTAGGATCACTCAACATAGAAAAGCTCAAAAGAGGTCCCAACCAAATCCACCATGTCGAAAATTCGAACCGACGTTGGGACGGTGCTCGCGACCAAGTGTCGAGCCGTACCTTTCATCATTTCCCATGCAGCGCGAAGCATCCCCACCGTGGGCTGCGCTGCTGCGAAAGAACCCTCCACCGGAGGTCTCTGGGCGGCTATGGCCATCGTAGCCACGGTCAATTCTAAACGAGGTCGACCGCGAAGTGTCGCGAGAGTTCGTCACATAAGATGGGGTACGATCAGACAAAGTACCACCCATACTTGACGCACTGAATTGACGTGTTGCCATTGACGGCTGTTCGAACCGAGAGGTGCCCAGAGGACTCACCGAACGATGGTCATCATAGGCATGCTTATGAGTGAAAGCGCGAGGGCGCTCGGCGGCGCGGATCGGGCTCACGTCACGGTAATTGTACCGGCTGTCATATGGCTCGCGCTGGGAAGCAGCACGACGCAGAGTTGAGTTGTCAGATTCTTCACGGCGTGAAGTTGTCCTGTAATCGCCATAAGGCATATTGAAGGGTTCATTGAGCCGGCTAGAGCTGGATCTACCATAGTTATCGTATCCGCCGTGCGTATAGCGGCGGGAAGATGATCGGTCAGAGCGAAAGCCGGAGCCGAATAGGTTGCCGAAGGGAGTCATGTTACCGAGTTGTTGGGTTTCCAAAGTTGTTGATGTTGTGAATACCGTTGTAGTATGTGAGCTATGTGATGACTTCCAACCAAGGAGCAATACTGAAAAGTCTTTTGTAGACGCTCGCATGTTGCATGTTGTAGCAAGACAGTGCAAGTGAGACCATGGTGTTGATGAACTATCTCGTGAGTAGCTGTGTCTTGAAGGTGAAAAGTGATTGTGAATGTATACATCCGTAGTGTGAAGAAACCCATATCGTGAATGCATGATGCCATCGGAGAAGTGAGTGAGGGAAGACGATCTCTTGAAGAAGAAAGATTATTCCGTTACAACACGAGATGACGTGAAGTCTGTCAAGTGAGTCAATCTACATCTAGTCCACACTGGGTAATTTTGTTGGGAAGCGATGGACGTTGGAGCGAGTCACGATGAGACTGAGTGAAAAAAGTAGAAGCTTCAGTACATTCGGCGGATCGTCGGCTTTACCTTCATATCATCTCTCACTCGCTTCTTGGAAATCCATCGACGAGATCTTCATTGCGCATTCATACAAGGCGGAATAATGTGCTTGCTGAACAAAGCACTGTCCGGCTTCTCCATGGTGGAGAGTGCTGCGCCAATGTAGAATTGCGATCTGCCCTGTATAATTCACGCGTCCAGTGTGTGATATAAAGAATAATATTGAATTTCATCTTGAATGCTCCAAGCTTGTACACACACCCCAAGCTTTATCTACAACTGCATGCAAGAAGATCTAGAAATCATCTCGCTGCTCTCTGTTTCGCCGCTTTCTCAGTGCAGCTCTCCTATTATCAAGCTCATACTGCAGCCTCTTTTGATTGAGAGTAAGCTCTGAAATCTTTTCTCTGTTCTTATAAATGGAAATCAAAATTCCGAAAAGTGATAGTTCTTGTTCTTCCGTGTACTCGCCCGGGTTGACACCCAGGCTTTCATGAGGATCGGGCGGTGGATCTGTTGACTCAAACTGTGACCAAGGCTCAACATGGGTGTGGTCTTGCTCTGGAGTTTGCGACGTTTCTCTGCTTCGTGATCCAGCTAGCCGCTCTCTCATCTGCTCCCGGGGTGAAATCGCACGGCTTTGTCTTCCCTGAAGCCGTAGCGGTGGCGTTGAACCGCGTGGTAGCTGGGTCCTTGACGGACGGTATCGTGGGGCGGTGTGGTGGTTATCCTCCTCGGGATCGGGAAGATTTTCATCCCGCCGCCGTGGTGAATGTCGCTCTGGTTTAGATGCATAATCTCCCCTATACCGATCGTCGTTTTGTTCTCGCGATAGTGATCTACTTCGGCTCCTCAAACGTATATGGCAACTGTTCGTGCGATCATGATGTCGCATCGCGCGTTCACGGGATCTCGCCCTATGATGGCCTTGCTCATGCCGCTCCTGACCACGCATCCTCTTTCCAGGGAGCCTCTCGTCAGACGACGTGGAACGACGTCGATTTCGAGACTCCGGCAGGGGTTTGTTTCGTCCCGGATCAAGCCTGCCAATGCGTTCTTGATGTTCAATTAAAGGGGAGAAAGATGAACGCCTATCATCCATGAAGCCTCCTGCGACAGAGCACGGTCCGGTACGCATGTGATCACGTCTGTCGTATCCTGAATCCTCGGGGAAATCACGATCAGGCTCGGTATCTGAAGGAAGCGGAGGTGCATCTCTTAACGACTTTGGTGCAGTAGGTTTTGTGGTCATCACGGGCTTCTCCGACTCTGTGTGACGTAAAGAGCGATGCGTAATGTATTCACCAGAAGGCTTTGATGGCGTTGCTGATGCTATCCGTGCCTTGACTTCTTCTAAAGTTCTCTGGTCGGCCGGGCCGAGATGATCATTCAACAATGCTGCGTCTAGGGTCCTCGGCTTTCGTTCCTTGGGATGATTTCTGTCGCCGTTCTGATCTGTGCGAGAGCGTTTCATGACGGGCTCGCCGGTTGTTTCGCCGCCCCCAAACGGCCGTTTGATAGTTTTCATCGGGGCCTGTGAGCCAGACGATTGTGGTTTGTCGCGTGCTGTAGTGACGCGTAGGGAACCATTCTTCTCCTGGGGCGGCGACCTCTGCGTTGACTGTAAGTTATCTGCCATAGCAATACGAGGGGAGATGACACAAGGTACTAGAAGGCCTGCGATGAGTCTGTGTTGGGTAGCGTTTTAATGCTCGCTCACTTCCTATTCACGATAGAGTCTTTGTTCACTACTCGTCTTTGGCGCACAAACACTCGCCCTCTTTGACAGTTCACCCAGCGACGATAGCGTGAAAAGCAACAAAGACTTCGCTGAACTCGCGGCCCATGGCTAGTTTCGATCTAGATGAAAGCTCTTGAAGCTGTCGAGCGAGTACGGTGAACAATGGTTTCGTCCAAACTCTTGTTCTCACCGCTACCCAAGGTTTGTATCTCTTTCGCAGACCTGATAAGCTCTCTGCCAAGGTCGATGAACTGCACAAGATTGGCGATTAGGCCGATCGCTGTTAGGGCTTCCTTGGCGGTAATCCTACGGGATTCAAAGTTCCATGTGAATGACAATGAAGATACTTGAAGTGGGAAATGAAGCTCGCGTCAGGGACCCCGTTATCATACTACCTTTCACAGGGTAGCGACATCACTTTCGTCCTGCCTGTAACGTGACGTGAAGCATCACAAGGTATGTTTGAGTGAAGCCGAATGTCGAGTGAAGAACGTGAGGAAACTGCCCTCTGTGCACACTAAAAAATATGCTCCCCGTTCCTCGTGCATGTATGTAATCTATACATGTATCAATATTCTTACCTGATATCCTCCTATTCGTAATCAGGTTGCTGGCGGCGTGACCAGCCCATCGCATTTCTCCGCCGGGGTATCTTCTTCCTGCCTTTCTATCCTTCGTGACTTTGCTCCAATCGCACCGCCAGGGTGATTCGTCCTAAACACAGTCTTTGTCTCGTCTTGATGCAGTGCCTCGGCAACAGTCAATGCTAACATATCGCCCACTGCAATTGTGACAGTCGTACTCGTTGTTGGCGCGCAGACGCCAAAGGAGACCTCCTCTAGCTCGTGTATGGGGGCGGGCAGCAGTATGGAATTTGGTCGATCGTCGAGGAGAGGACATTCTGAGGGTTTCGTATGTGATGTGATGGCGAGGATAGGCGTGTGGGAAGGTATGTGTTCGAGGAGGGCCATGAGCTCCGCTGTCTTGCCAGAGTAGGATATGAACATGATTGCATCATTCTGTTCTCCGTTAGTATATTCCTTATTGCATAGGCATCAAAATGACGACTCACCTTCCTGATGTCACCGAGATCCCCATGCAGTGCCTCAGCAGCATGCATAAAGGAGCTCGCTATACCCAGGCTCTTCATGGTCGCAACCATCTTGCGCCCCACTAAGCCACTCTTTCCAACTCCGCATATTATGAGCTTGCCGCCGGTCTGGTTAACCTTTGTTAAAACCTCGACAGCGCGCAAAAGACCATCGCGGGCCACATGGTCTGTCTCGTACAAGAAGGTTACTTGCGACAGGGCGGTAGCAGCGGTCGAGAGCACGTTGACAGCGCGCGAAAGGAGACGCGATCCTTCTGGATCGTTTGCGGCTAGCGGCGGGGTAAGTGGTTGTGTGTCTGAGTCTGCTCGTTTTCTCTTGAGCGAGGCTGGTGGGGGAGATGTGTGTGATAGTGGAGTGGTATCAAATGTCGCGGTCATGTTGGTGTGAATTGTGGGAGATCGGCGAACGTGGACGCAAGGTCGACTGGTATATCAACAAGTCCCTGGCGATCTATGCGACAGGTCTACACATGTGCGATCTAGATTAGTCTTCCTCGGGCAGCATCGGAGACGAATCCTAGTTTAGTAGGCGTAATACACTTGGAGTAGCATCTCGATGCGACACCAACACCAGACGGAGTTCCAGCAACAGGCCAACCGCACCTCCGTAAAGGTAATTCGTCGCATGCCGGCCTCGAAACAGGCTTCAGCCCTCGTCTGTATCCTCGGAAGATACTAGAAGGCCGAGGGCGCGAGCCAGACCCTTGTTGTAGTAGTCTATGTTGATAAAGAAAAAAGGATGGCGATATTAGCGCTAAGGCGATGACATGCATGCAGCATGGACCCGAGACTAGTCCGGAAGCGAAAATAGCCGTTGTCATCAATCGAGGCCAACCATCAAACCACGTTTCTGTCACTGTAGCGTCTGATCGTGGGAGAAAGTCGTCCATGTTTAAGGTAGGGAACTACATACGCGCGTAGGCGGAAGCCGGTAGGTCCCGCTATGCTGAGCCTGGAGCGGCCTCGGCGAGTTTGGCCCTGCGTGACCCCATACAAACCAACCCCTCCTCCACCCCGTCGAGCTTTGTCATGCCCAACTCCCTCCTGTACAGCGCTTGCGCTTGCTCACTGCCGGTCAAGAGCACCATCCATCGGAGATTTTCCATGCCGACGCAGATCTCGCGACAACATGCAATTAGCCATTTACCGATTCCATGGCCTTGATGTTGGGGCACGATGTAGACGTCAGTGAGGTAAGCAAGCGTCGTGTAGTCGGTCACCATACGCCCCATCCCAATCGGCGTTTTGATATCGTTCGAGACGGTGTAGAGACCGAGGGTGAGACTGTTATCAAGCATCGTCGACAGCGCCGTGAAAGGGAGCGGTTTTGCCCAGAACATTGCGTCTGTAGCGAAAGCTTCCTGGACGAAAAGGTGCGGAAGGAGCGATCGATCGGAAGATATGAGGTACGTAGTCGAGTCGACCGTGCGTGTCCGTTCAAACGTTTTGTTTTCCATCTTGTCTCTCGACTTGTGATGCGATGCGTATCGTTGCAGGTGTAGGTGAGTATCTTTCATATATACCTCTTGAGTCACCAGATCCCCGTCGGCGATATTGGCGATCACGCGCCGTAGACGCCGACACTACCAGACTACCGACAGCGTAACAGCTTTACCTCCACCTCGAAATTCGGACTCTGAGCAAAACGTCAACGATCTATCCATCGAACGCACGATCGCATGAGAGTGTAGCGGAGAGAAAACGCAAGCTACGAGCACTAACTCCTTCCTTCTGCGGCTGTCCGTTCACGAAAGGAAGGTCTATGGAACACGACAAACAAGAGAAGGAAGTTTTCCAAAAATGCCATGGATTATGCCAAGTTCTTCGCCTCTACCTTCCTGTACTATTATCCAAGACTCCCAAAAAGTAGAGCAACATGACTCGAGTACCGGAACCGAACATCGACAGCGATTAGAATTCAGTCTCTACCAAACTCCCAAGCGACGACGCGATCTTGCTCCAACCCTCCACAGCGCTTTGTAGATCATTTTGAAAAGCGACCGTATACATTTCCCAGACCTCGTGTCAATATGAGCAGTGGGCTTGATTTGAGGGGGGAGCGGGGGGAATCTCTAACTTAGTAACCTGTTCTCCTGCGAAGTCACCAACCGGTTCGCCTTCATGGGCGCAGTAAACGAAAGATTCGCCATATAATGGTAAGCTCTCCCACACGGTCAAAGACAGATGTCCTGCAAATTGCTCGAATTGTATGCGAAGCACGATAGAGATTCCGAGTATCCTCATGTAGCAAATCTTAGGTATAGTGGTTATCAGTAAGCGTGTCGCGACTTGGGACTGCGGGGTAATTCAACGCGCAATCACGTGAGGACACTGTCACTCATCTTTGGGAGTTTACTCATACTGATGTGACTAACAAGCCGGATAAGTCAGAAGGCCTCACTCAAGGATCTGGTCTGCCGGTCATGCGATCCTTCTTGGGTTACAATACAGCTGGTCCGTCGTGCGGAGTCTTGCTGCGCCCGATAATCGATCCTCCAATACTAGATTGCTTCTATGGGTGCTTCGCGTAATTCTGAAGGGCTTTATGCCGCCCCATGCGCATGTGTTGACAGCTAAACCACTCATCTGTAAGAGACAATATTCCAAGTCTAGGATCGTATGCCTTTGCTAGTTTAATCTTAGGAAGTAGCAGCCGGCGGGAATATTGCATCCTCCAACATCTTGAAGTGTCGGTTCGTACGAGACTTTGGTCTACTTGTCTACATAAAGACCAAATATCCCACCTGAAGGAGTGTAGCGATAGGTTGACGGCATTCAACGATCCGATTTGCGTGCTCGGTACGCACATTGCGTGATCTGACCCCACCTCGAGCGAGACTCATACATGACACGGGTCGAATCGATATATGAGCCTCCCTTCTCCCTAACCGACTTGCAACCAAAGAGATCCAAACTTTCTATCTAATGAGGCAAACATGACGACGTCAACGAAGCAAGAGTATCCTGCGCCGCAGACCAAGACAGGTGCACTTGATGCCGGCTTCAAGTTTGAAGAAACGACCCCTGTCATCGGTCGAGAGTATCCTGATGTTAACATCGTCGAAGACATCCTGAACGCTTCTAACGCCGACGACCTCATTCGAGATCTTGCAATTACAAGTAAGTCTCTGATACCCGTCCATCTTTGAGGAATAGCGGTCTGACCCGAAAATAGTCTCTGAACGTGGAGTTGTCTTCTTCCGAGCTCAAGACAACCTCACCAACGACTTACAAAAAAGCCTTGTTCATCGTCTGGGCCAACTGACTGGAAAGCCTGTTGACTCCACTCTACATATCCATCCAATTTTGAACAACACTTCTGAGTTTGGCGTGGACGATGCGCAGATAAGCACAATCAGCTCCCTCGGTCGTAAAAATATATTCAAACATGAGGAGCATCGTCGGCCGAGTGGTTCGCGTCGCTACGACGCTGCGCAGTGGCATTCGGACATCCAGTTTGAGCCAATTCCGGCTGACTATACCTCACTCCGCCTGACAGAACTACCAGAGACGGGAGGCGACACACTTTGGGCTTCTGGATATGAGATTTATGACCGCTTCTCTAAAGCTTACCAGACTTTCTTCGAAGGTTTGACTGCAACCTTCGTCGGGGACGGCTTCATTCGAGCCGCTGAAGCAAACCCAGAGAAAGTCAAAATCTACGAGAAAGAACGGGGTAGCCCAAAGAACGTTGGGAGATCGTTGAGTGCTGTACATCCAGTAGTGCGCACAAATCCTGTGACGGGATGGAAGAGCATCTTTGCTCTTGGTCCGTTCCCCAAGTACATCAACGAGCTTCATGAAGAAGAATCGGCAGAATTGTTGAAGAAGTTCCGGTCTGTGATAACAGAGAATCACGACCTCCAAGTCCGCTTCAAGTGGAGGAACAAGAACGATATCGGTAGGCGCCCGCGGCAACTCTTGACTTTTTGTAAAGCTCTTACTTACCAACTCCAGCTATATGGGACAACCGCAGCGCCTTCCACAGCGCAACTTTCGATTATGATGATCTTGGTGAACGCTTTGGTAACCGAGCAGTAGGTATTGGAGAGGCTCCCTACTTCGATCCAAACAGCCGATCTAGAACGGAAGCTCTGGCGGAGGAGAAGGTTGTTGCCATTGAACATGGAAAGAATGGCATTGCGAAGTCGCAGACGGTATCGGCATAGAAGGCCCTTGTATATCGGGTGGCAGTAGAAGAACACAAGTGGTGTGTGCGACAATGCACTCGAGATGCTCAGAAGGAAACAGTAGATAGCGATGAGGTTGGTGCGCGGAGCATGTCACCTCCGTGACAAATAAGACAAGGCGAAGTTCCGTTTCTGCAGATGACGATCCGAAGCCATCCAGGTTCCAAAACCCATATATAATGAATCAGACGTGAATTAATGGGGTGGCTGGACCCTGGCGTGAGAGCCTCGGTTTCAAAACCTTGGGCGCGCTAAGCCATGACGCCATCACAGGGGGATCGCACACTATTCATCTCTTCTACATCACTTGGGTGGCATGTTTTCAACGGTTACTAGCTCATCATTATTGCAATCCTTTGGCGTGTCGATCAGACATTATTCTTTGTTATGATATTCATCTAGCTTTTGATTTTCTTTCTGTCTTTGTTCCACTCAGATGGATATCCACCTTCCCATCCACGTATCCACGATCTGCTTCGCCTCATCGACCAGACCCATATCTAACAGCAATTGGGAAGTGCCACGCACGGCTGAGTCGAGCGCTGAGAAGATCCAAGCGTGTGTGTAACTTGTGTGCTCTCCGATGAAGATGGACTGGTGCTCGGTCTTATAGTAGGCAGGCAGGAACAGATCCTGCTGGCCAACGAATGGGGATGCCCACGCACCAGCCTGGTGCTCGTCGAACTCCCAGCACTGGCGCTCGTATGCACCAGTCCACTGCTCCGCAGCCACTTCACCATGGACCTCTACCATCGCCCGCTGGACCATGGCCACGTGGTCAGTCGTGCTGAGCGCACCAACTGAGCGAGCTAGGGTACCGGAAACGTACGATCCTAGAATGACGCCGGGGCCGGTTGAATTGATCTGGTACGCAGGGTAACAGACGCTGCCGATGCCTGCAATATCGACCGAGCCGCAGCCACCGATGATGGGTGGTGAAAGCTTCTCCCAAAAACGTGTCTTGTAGTGTAGAGAGACCTTGCACGACGGCGAGTAGTTCATCTCGCTGATGGCACGCGACAAGAGTGAAGAATACTCAGGAAGATCCCAGAGTCTAACTTTCGAGAATGGTACCGCGACGACCGCATAGTCGTACTCCTCGCTCTCCGGCTCCATTGCAAGAGGATCCTGGCGCCATTGCACCGCAATCTTGCCGGTGCTCTCGTCGTGCTTGAGGCCAGTCACCTTGCGGCCCAGCGTCAGACGGTCCTGAACATGAGGGTAGAAGGCGCGGGGAAGCGACTCAAGACCCTTATCGATCGTTCGCCAAGTCGTGGCACTGAAGTATGCCGTGTCGTATTCCCAAATTGGTGCGTTTTCGAGGCCAGTAACGTAGTCGACGACATCGTCGCTTGCGTTGAGCGCATACTTCATGTACGCTGCCTCAGACCAATGGAACAAGCCTTTCTCTACAGCGTCTTTGTGAGCTTTGTAGACGTTGGTGGAGATTTTGCGTGCGGCCTCCCGATCGTACCCAATGAAGTCATCAAGCGCTTCTTCAACGTGCTCCACAGTCTCTTCGTCCGGACCTTCAGCCGCAGGTAGCGTGTAGGCTGTCGCGTTGTTCTTGATCTGAGTTGCGCTAGGAATGCGTCCGTTCGGCAGACGGAAACCGTTCGAGTTGCCGGGCACATTTGGGCTTGATTGGATCCAGGGAATGAAGTTGACAGCAAGACTACTAGTGTTGCCTCCGTTCATTTGGTTGAGGACATCACCGAGCTGGAAAACCATCTTGTGATCTTGAATCTCTAACGTCTCGTTCGTATCTGGGTAAGTGGTTGAGACAGGAAATCGCATAGGGCCCATCTCCTGATACTGATATTGCTCAGGTGTGCTGCCGGCAAGGTATTTTGTTCGAATACGTCCACCGATACGCTGTGACGATTCGGTGATGTGCCAATCGTGGATGCCTACCGAATCGAGGAGAAGACTTGTCATCAAGCCAGACATGCCTCCTCCGATGATGGCGATCTTCTTGCTCTTCTCAACTGCGACGTATGAGGCGTTGTTCTGCTTTGCCTGCATGTATGCAACACCGTCGAACCAAGGACCCATCGCATCGGCTACGTCTGAGATCTCTTCCCGCTTCTTTGGTGGATGGTGGATTCTGATAGGCGCTGAGCGACCGATCAATGCGGACCCCGAGTAAGCATGTAGACATCCGCCGTGAACAGCGTCGTCCGGTACGATCCAGACAAATCGCTCGGGACGGCCTGATCGCTTGATGTAGTGCGATGCCACATCGTGATGGCCATCCGCATGGCTCTTCATGTCGCAATCGCCATATACCAGGCGGACCTCGCCCTCAAAGTCATCTTCTCCGTAGCTGACATGGACGTTGTGTACCGAGTTCGATGTAACCGTCAGGGGCTTGAAGAAGAGGAGGTCTGACCGAGGGGTGACTGGGCTGGAAACAGCACCACCAGCTAGAGAGAGGGCAGCCGATGAGGCTGTTAGAAGACCTTTCATCTTGGCGTAAGAAAGAGGTGAATGTGATGAGGATGGTAACTTGAAGAGAAGGGAAACATCGTCTACTCAAATACTGACCTTGTTCGACACCACGGCGAGCTATGCTTTACAGGCTTACAACTTTTTTTCGATTCTCGTTGGTCACCAAACCTTATCGTCCGTGTCGTCGTAGGGCGTGGCTGTGGTCCTCGGATCATGTCGTTGCGACGGCCCGTCCGCCGCTGACAGGACAGGACGTCTATGCATTCGGCCGCGATAAGAGCATTGCTGTAAGGCGTAGCTATGCGCGACTTCGACAAATATTCTCGCAAGATGGGGTCGTGTCGCGTCCAAACTCCCGTTACAGTTGACCCGCAGTATGCCTCGAAGCGAAGTGCAGTAGCGCAACGTATGACGGGTGATAGTGTGGAGATTCAGCTTGCGGAAGAGATCGGCGTTGCGGAGTGAGGTTTCTTTACCAACGGAAAGATAACAAACATCGGATAAAAAAGCATCCCGGCTCAGTCATGACTATCATTCCGAGTTGTATCGGCACGGAGACCAGCAGTCTCGTATGCGACTTTACGATGTTACTGTACCTTAACGATCCACTGTGGTCCTTGTTGGTGTCGGAGGCAACAATCGCTTTCACATCTCCGCAAAAAGAAGGACTCACATTCGACACGCATAGAGAGAATATACTTGGATTAGAGCATACCTGCGCAGGTAGTCATGTTTTATGCTGCTCATGCATACAAGAAGCGTATTTGGAGTATTGCATTCTACCTTGGACGCGACCCTACACTACGTCGATTTTTTTTAAGTGGGGCTATCCCAGAAGCATGAGTCGGGCCTGCGGTTCGACAGAACGTGGCATGGAGTCTTGTCCGGGAGCAGTATCAAGAACTCGAAGGATAGGGCTTGTTGCTTTACCGTAGAAAGGTTCGGACAGGGGTCTGGATCCTCTCGGCAAATAAGGTAGCGAGCGGCAAGCCATGGATACCCCAGGTGGAACTCTGCGATTGCGATAACGCAGACGCACGACGGCTAGCCTAAATCCCGACTCTTATCTCGAATCCATGCAGCCTTTATCTCACGTTACGTCAGGACGAGAGCGCGCTTCGCAATGCACGCGTTAAACGCACAGTATAAATGCGAAGATATCTCGGCGCCCAGGCGAGCTACATCTTCTACGGCCCTTCTTGCGATAGCTTAACTCGCTCTGCTCCACAAGACCTCGCATGCTATCCTCCTTCCTTTTCTAGTGCATTCTGGATATCTGTGGACTCTGTAACCCCACGATTACAGCCGAAATGGTTGGGCGAAATGCTGCCAACTAGAGTGTAGTGCAGGTAATATTGTTCCTGGTGGACATTCCGGTACCTTGGAGCCGGCGGCGGATTCAAAAATGATTACAAACGAGTCTGACTGTATCGTGGAACATCAACCGTGGCTGTAATCCAACAGCATTGACTGCATTTTGGAATGACATTGGCAGCGAGCCTTCCCTGGTGCATGGATACTCGCAGCTCTTGGAAGTCATGGCGGTCGGTACAATGCGGACGATGAACTTGACCGAACACGAAAGAGTTGGGAACTGATGATCCGCCAGTGTTGGCGACGCTTATAAAACCATAGACAAGCCGAAGGTGATTGAGGTACTCATACCATAATATTCAGCTCTTGACGTCTACATTTCTCCAGAACCCACGTGCTTTAGTCCGGTCACATCATGGTATCCTTCACGGCTCTCGTTACCACTTTTCTCGCAGTTGCTGGCGCTGCAATCGCCACGCCAACACCAAAGCTCGCTGAACAGCCGGTGGTGACCTATCTTGGTACCCAAGGACCTATTCTTTGTATGTCGTGCGGGCTATTTCACCGGAACAGAATCTGATAATTGTCAAGCAAGCGGTGCATGGACATCTAAGGGCATAGTCTATACCTCGGGAACTGTCCCTTCGTTCAACGGAACGATTGTATCAGGCGGCATTGAAGCTCAAACGGTATGCAAATCCACTCTCTAGTCAGCTCTTCATGTCATACTCACTCAAACCAGGCTCAGGTCATCAAGAACATTGCCGTTATCCTCGAGGAAGCTGGCACATCGTGGGACTATGTTATGAAGACTACCGTTTTCCTTGCCAACATGTCAGACTACACAGCTATGAACGAGGTTTATGCTGCTATGCTACCAAGCCCGAAGCCTGCACGTACCGCTGTTGAGGTTGGCAAGTTGCCGGGCAACTTTTTGATCGAGGTTGAGGCTATCGCTGCCATTCCGGACTCATGAGGTTGTATAACATGGAAGGAAAAGAGATAGAACCTATCGAAACCCTCCAGGCTAAATGATACAAAGAATCGAAAACTATCACAATCGATACAATGAGGCCCTCAATCATCATACGAGCGAATGTCAGTACTGTCCCGTGACCTCGCAGCTTTACACCTTGTCAATGTTCCATTGTTCCAACTAGCGATACCCACGACAAGAGAAAAAGCAATGCTGTGGATGTGTCAAGTGCGGAAATGTCTCCGCTTACTTGTCGGTCAACAATGACGTCGAAATGTGGGGTAGCGCTACCTCATTGAATGCCACCATACCTAGGTAATACTGAAACACTTCAACGTGTTGCAGATCCTGCCAGCAATCAACAAGACTCCTGCTGCAGCGCATACATACAACAAAGATGCCTGAAATACAAGACCACGAGGGCAAGCCTGTTCGCCATCACATGGCGCGGGTAAATGGCATCCGATTACATTACATCACATCCGGATCGGGACCACCTCTACTTCTACTACACGGCACACCTAAAACACATTACTACTGGTACCGCATCGCGCCTTTTTTGACAAAAAAGTTCACAATCGTCGCCCCAGATCTGCGTGGATTCGGTGCAACAGACAAACCACCTGCCAGCGAAGGTTACGATGGTCGGACGAACGCGACAGACATGGCCGAATTGATGCACCAACTAGGGCACGAAAAGTTTGCTGTACATGGCGAGGACCGGGGCGCAACGTATGCCTTCTGTCTCGCAGGACTTTATCCAGAACGGGTAACCCATCTTTCTTTCTGCGAGATGCTGCTTTCCTACGCCCTTACCAAGCAAACGTTCTTCACACGCAAGAACATTGCTGCTCAGTACAATCAAAGTGGTGTTTGGAACTGGCATATCCCCTTCTTCTGGCTGCCGCATGTACCGGAGATGTTGATCCAAGGGAAGGAGGAAGAGTTTTGGACACATTTTATGAAGGCAGAGTGCTATAATCCTAGTGCTTTAGATCAGGTAGCCGTCAATGAGTGGGTGAGGTGTTTGAAGGCACCCGGTGGGCTGAGGGGTGTCTTGGAGAGTTATCGGGCGCATTGGGTCAATGTAGACGTTGAAGAAGAGATCTTGGGCAAGGAGAAGTTGAAATGTAACGTTATGACCGTGGGAGCCCCGGAGTAAGTTTGTGATGTTGCATGGTTTGCAGAGATGGCTAACGGTATCTAGGTTCTTCGGGCCGCTTGTCAAAGAGCAGATACAGTCTGCTGTCGAGAAGGTGCATATTGCGGAGGTTTTTGAAGAGTGTGGGCATAGCCTAGCACTTGAACAGCCTGAGAAACTTGCCAACCTTCTAAAGAAGTTCATTCTTTGATTCAAAGACCAATCTGCGCGAATATGAAGCGCCACATCACTCTTTGAGTAGCAGCGCTTTGCATATGAACTGTTCGTCGGTGTCTTACAGTAGCCATCACTAGGTATACATTGCATTAGTTCCTACAGCGGTCACACTGAGGTACCTAATCTCAAGTAACCGTCAAACTTGACATCATCATGTTCCCCCAATCGGTTCACCCACGCACTCAATTCCGAGGTCCTATATTGATCGTACCCTCCACTATCACTTGCCTTTAGCAGTCCTTATACCCACAAGAATCGGTTCGACAACGACCGTTGTATTGAGGAGATGTCAAACATCGGCAGATCTCGTCGCTAGCTTGTGTCTAAAAAGCTAATTAGAATAGGAACTATGATGGTCGAGCTTCGATGCCACTTACCTGGCGGCACTTGAGGTAGTAGACAAAGCACGGGAAGCACCCAAGAATCCCCAAGTTGTCGTTCGCAACGGCGAGAGTAGAATTAGAGGTGGTGTTGATAGATGTTGGGGCTGCAAGGGCAGTGGTGACGATGAAGGCGGTGAGGGCAGTGGGAAGATGCATGACTGGGAGCCGGTTTAGAAGTCAATCTGCTGGGTAAGTGTTGAGTCGAGAAGTGGGATGTTAGAATATGACCTGTTTAATCAGTTCTGTAAGTGGACAACAGGATGAGAATTGGAAATATCAGAAGCTCATATTTCTACCACAAGATTCCAAGGGTGGGAGATGTTCCGCCACCGCTAGCGCGGCGCGTGCCTGGACTCTGAGGTGTTCACTAGTGAATTGCGGTCGCAAACGAGGACTGTTGACAGCTGCCACGATTTGTGCACTTGTGCAGGAGTAGTATGGAGACATACGAAGGAGCTGATCTTCGTCAGATTGTACCTGACACCTATGTCTACGCTAAAAGTACACGCAGTATTTTACATCAACGTACTGGAACACAAGGTATGTTGTATACCTGAGAAGCTTAGTAAACACAGGGTCCATCGTAGTTGAAAAGAGTCTCTCGGTGTACGTTTTGGCTGGTCGACATCGCCTATCATAGTGAACTGATCGGGCGTCAGCGTGGTATGCGTTACTATCCTGGCCCTACGTGTTTGACTCGTTTGTGGTTCCAGCATTCTGTACTATACGTTCTGGCTCGGTGCGGATGCATCGTCTGGAATCTGCATTTCTATAACTGGTTCTCGTGCAACACGGGTGTACAACCTTATCCGCCCCCTCCAACGCGAAAATCAATGTGTTATGGACTTCTGACTAAGTTTATAACGTCTTTCCGAGTCTCCCGAGCAAGATAGCAACAGATTGCGATGTTGGCTTATCATATGCACGTGAAGGCTGCTGGCTGTACGGAGTTGGCGCATGCTAAAGCTGAAAGCTGCTCTTGTGAGACCTGTGGACCGGGCAACAAGCTCTCCCACCTCCAGTTCATGCAGCTAGATCGCGCAATTGCTGGATTCGTGTCCAGATGTGACGTATCAGAGGCAACAGTGTCCTGATAATGATGCGCCTCACAACACGCTTGCGACCCAGTCATTCGCATGGTTGAGGGAGACGAAACATGAGTCACATTGAAGGTGGTATGCAGAGGGCTTAGCGAGTTTGAGTAAATGTGACGTATTGAGTCATAGGACGTGATCAACGTATCAAGAGCTGTGAATCGGCAGGTGCATATCAAGACACGTGTGAAAGCACCCCGTGGACAACATTGGGGAAGAAAACCAGTCACGTGGACGCTTATCGATTAGCTAGCGCCGGAACACCACACCTCCATGACCCAGGAAACGTCATCCCACGACGCGTGCCATAGTTGCCTTCTTTCTTCTATCTGCCCATCGTGATCTGTTCAATTGCCGACGCCGCCTGCTTCCTCTTTCGTTAGATGTCTGCGCGCACCTCACGAATTCTGATTCGGTGACACGCGTGCGTCACGTTCGTATTCCTGGTACAATCACTCGGATCCAACGCGTGAACACATGATCGACCCCTACCTCGCTGGCCGCCGATGCACCCGATCCATACAAAAAGCTCTAGCACAGATTCGGACAGGATATTTGTCTTCGAGTAGGCGGAAGCTCATCCCTCGATGACGCGATAAGTCGGCCTTGGAGGATCGTGCGACATGTGCGATGGATGTGCACCGACTCAAAAGAGGACAGGTCACCCACAACCTCAAGTATACATGCAGAGATTTGAGGCTGAAATCACCAAGCTGCGATAGATATTGTATGGAGCGCACCATGTTGGGCGGTCCATCTAGGTAGCGGAAAAGAGCGAGGAAGCCTCGGGACGGGGCAACTTACATCAGAACGGCGGCTGTGCTATACTCCTTGTGAGTATCCACCAAATTCCGCATTTCGATTGGCGCGTTATACGACGCTGGTAATATGAGGGACTTCTGCCTGAGGCGATGACGTTTGCTGCACAAACAGACTTGATCTAAACAAGTCGCAGAGAGTACTTAAATACCACCCAAGAGGTGTACGTCAAGTTAGCATTTGCAGTATATAAATTTCGGCTGCAGTGTATAGTTCCCGGGTGAGGTGTAGCTGAGGTCTAATTCAGGCCAAACGAGATGGTCAAGCCCCGATAAACTCCATAGGTGTGGTCCAGGATAGGACAGGGGGTATATGGTACATCCTACCAGGCAGCTGCAATATGAGACTGTACTGGCATGAGCGGGAAAGCGGAGTCATCACCCATGGTTGAAGGGAACATATAAGGGCCAGTTCCATGGTAAACGTGGCTTAGCGAGTGCTCCTGCCCTTGAATGCTTTGTGCGGCCGGCATACTCTAAGCCATTCACGTGTGCGCGCTAGCGTCGATCATCCTTCGGAATCTGCATAACAGCTGGACCTGTTGTACAGTCTTCTCGAACCCATTCTTGTCGCACCGCTGTTACTGCACGCACTCAAAGCCCGCTCAACTCCCACGCCGCCACGTCTACTGCGACTGCATCTCACGCGAACAACAGTCAACTTGCTCTTTCGTAACAGCACTATATTTCAGCAACTTTACCCGTTCGGCACAGCGTTGTACATCAACGACTTTAGTATTCCCGATACTAGTGCATGCTTTCACCTCTGTCCTGCGCTGGTTGACTTGACCCCACACCACCCCACCTGAAACAGGAAACACTGTCAAAGGACATCACCACCCACCATTCAAATCACGTTCGTCTCACAAAATCCTTGACCAACCACGACAGATATACGAACTCCCTCCAGGCACCATGAAAATGTTCAACGACTTACCGGCAGAGGTGCGCAACACGATCTATGGACAGCTCCTTGACAGCTACCATCTTCAGCAAACACCTGCTGTGTCAGCACTCTTTGGTGCCTCGAAGCAAATTGGTCAAGAGTCGGCATCATATTTTCACCAGCACAACGCGTTCGCCATCACCGCCGCATCACCCCGAAATGACAGCGCTACCATCCTTCCTCCTATTGCTGATAAGTGGATACGGTACCTCCGTCGTCTTTCCGTATATGCTACAATTTCAGGAGCGAACTCAGAAAGGGAACGAAACATAGCTAGCACCATCGCTTCCCTCGCTATCACAGGTGCGAAGTTTGAGGATCTTTACATCCGCATTGATTCGTCACTGTCAAAGCTGGCCAATTCGTGTGTAGATGACTCCATCTTATACGCGCAACACCCAATCATGCTAGCCTTACAAAGATTGCTCGACGCCAACGTTGCAGATGTCATCCGCCTCGAGCTTCACGGTGTCTGGTTTGCCCCCGGTATCGGCCAAGTCCTCCATGCTCAATACGGCAACCAACTCCAATTTGTCGCTGGGGAGAAGCCTGTCATGGATCTATCTGTCTTGGAAAGGTTCCTCACTGGCTCTCTTGCAAGCTCTCATCTGGTCAAGTTAGGGGTTAATGACGAGGTCATTGCCAAGCCATACTCCTGCGGCGATGACTCTACCCCTAGTACGCCGAGTTCTCTTCCAACTTCTGTCTGTTCGGCATTCCAAGATTTAGACATGTTTTCCGTCACGTCGTTCGATCTCGGCTCAGACACCACTGCCGATAACGAAGAATCAAAAGAAGACGCAAACGAGAGCTCGTTCTTCGCTGGTATTGACATTGAAGAGTGGGAGGCTTCGACGCAGGCAGCCGATGAGGAATTACAGGCTCAACCTGATATGGAACTCGATGAAGATGACGATGACGAGATGGAAGAGGTATCGCAAGACGAGATGGATGCAATCATAGGGAACATGGAAGATATGGCTCAGCACATGGCGAATGCCATTGATATGTCATACATGACTAACTTTGCGCCTGACTTGCTCTTACGTCAACACAATCTTAGTCATCTAATGTAAGGGTGATAACTGTTGTGTTCATTTTTCGCATACTAGTCACGGCTGTAGTATGTAAAATCACATGGTACCGGGAATTTTGGATTTCGAGGTTTGTCTGGACCCTCTCAACGCACGGCGAATTCAGCGCCTCTGGACGTCGAACGCTTCTGTAAAGACTGTTTCTATATGTACACTATCAACCAAGAAAAGGCAATACTCTGATCGGTAATTCTGAAATTTCACGCAAGACAGAAGTTGAGTTCTTAGAGGTCATAAAGACCATCCCTTTTTCGCCGGCTATATCCATGTCATCATGACTGAGTCAGGGCCAGTGACTCCTAGGAGTTTACAATAGTCATGTCGATCATCTACTTTTCGTTCTCGTTTCGCTGCTGACATTGATGCTTTCCGCGGTCAGCGATGCGGCACATGATTGAAGCGTAATCTGTATACGAAGCATCCTTGAGCTCAGCGGCCGTCGGCACTACACAACCATGTCACTACCGAAAAACCCTTCCTTTCACTCCCAAGCAAGGCGCAAATCTGAGTCCGCGGCTGTCCCAATCCACAATCGCAAAGTCAAGCACAACATAACGATGAATCATGTAGCTCATAGTTCATTCGCTCCACCAGTTCCACCGAAAGATGAGCCGCCCAGGATCGCTTCCGCTGCGACGCCGGTGAAAGAAGAAGCTAAGAAGTCTTTGGACATTTTGGAGAAAGAGTGGATGCTGAACGACTACCTTGGATTGACCCCGACGCCGATATCCGACGGTGGGTTGGCGCAGGAGTATTTACCGAGCAACATCGAAATAGACGGGAGACGCAGAAGCCGGAACATGATAATCGATGACTCGGCAGAACTTATCGACATACCGTATTCCAGCGAAGGAACATTGCTAGCTACACAGATTGGTGCAGAAACCAAGGCTACAAAGCGGGATACTATCGCTGTGCTGATGGATGATATAATTGGAAGCGAGAAAAAGGTATCACGAAGACATCAAGATGTGTTGGAAGCAGCTGCGATGCTTGGAGACATGCCAACGTCCTTACGTATACCTAGAAAGCCGCAAATTTCCCCTCTATACAGTAGCATTCCTCCAACTTTGAAGTCTAACAAACTACATCTCAATAAATGTCCTTCCTTGAAGATCACAACGACTTTCACAGAGCCCAGATCTGCGCCAATACACCCCAACTTTCGTCTCGGTAATGCACAGAATGAAAGGCATTTACACAATGATAAATATGCAGCAGTACACACATGCATCACGGACTGTAGAAGACGACTTTCTGGTGGCGCAAAAGCGGCTCAGCTGCGGAGTAGCATGCCGTACTCATTTCGGCAAAGCAGACCGAAACGTGAGACCACCACTCAACCCTTGAGTAATAGGACACTACTGCCTCAGATAGAGCAGCGGTACGCCGGCATCTTTCCAGGGCACAACAATGTTCATGCATCAGGGAATGTTCAAGAAACATCGCTTCAGTCATCTCAGCGCAGAAATACACAACCTTTCATCGTCGACCGTATGCGCGACCCTGATGAGACCTTTCACGAGTTACTAGCCATTCAAAAACGTACGACTGTCGACTTTAGAGAAGTCATAGCTGCGGCTAAGACACCAAAACTGGAGAATGGAAAACTTGGAAGCTTCGCAAGATGCAATTGTACAGGTCTAAAATCGATGGCGAAAAGCCATGCGGATAGTATGATAGAACATTTTAAAGATTTTAGATTGAAGAACAGGAAGATGATACGGCGTGAGGAAAGGATTGAGGAGGTGAGGAGGAGGTATGAGGAAATGGTCACTGCTAATGCGGGTGCAAGGAGAGGTGACGGACTATGAAGTGTTTTAGATGGCAGGTTTGAGTCTGCAGCTAAGAGGTACTCGTAGTACTATTTTTTTTGTAGATAAGCCTTTACAAGATATGGTGAATAGTTACAAAGCATGCTGTGAGCTCTCAGTTATGACTCTACCCTTACAATAATCAAACAATAGCTATACTCTGCGTGTCCCAAATGAACACTTAAATCTTATCATGTTTCAATTTCCATGCAAAGTTTATCTTCGGGTCCCTTTCCTGGTCCTCGATTGTAGGTGGTATTGTAGGCTGTTTCACGGGATATTCTTTCCTTGAGGTGTTCCTTGAGGAAGATGTAAGAGAGCTGTTATCTGGAACCCTTGCGTGTGATGCGCAGTTTTCGTTTTTGTATGGTTGAAGATCCCCGGTTGTAGATGGGCTAGCGAGCTGGTTCGTTTGGTATTCGTTGCCTTGCGATTGATAAGCTGGAGAGGATTTGGTCAGTGCCTGAGGCGTAAAGGACGATGCGCGGGGGTTCAGGCCGTGGCGATTGCCATTCTTTCTTAGGCTAGGACTGTTACTTTTGTCGCCGTTCTGGCTGGCGCATGATGACTGCTCATATGTTTCTGAGTGTTCCGGGGCTGCCATGGTGGCGTAACGTAAGTTGAAGATAAGATGAACGGCTGATTGTAGCTACACTCAGAACTTCAGTGTAACGAGCTGAGAGTGATATGGGGCAGGGAAACGTGTAAGTCAATCAGTTTCATCGTTTGCTTTCGATATTTGCCATGCGTACCAATGCCGTGCAGGGCAAATGCATGACTATGTCAAGAGCATTCGATCGTTGACGCGGTTACAATCTGCATGTCTTTCTTTTTCCACTTTCACCCACTACGAAACCTGTTTGTAATCTCGATCCCGCAACAGCGATGCCACCATGCACATCATGTGGCGCCATCACGATGTCCTCAACACTCTCTTCTTTGTCCTAATTATCAGATTTATTTACATCAAAGATGTCGGGATGGCCCTGACCGCGTTGGAAAGTTTGCTTGATACTTCGAAGGGAGTGTGGAAGAAGAGAAAGGGGAGAAAGAGATCTGTTAGACAGAAAGAGACCGTGCCAGGATCCCTGGAAGCAACCAGTTCATACTAAAGGAACGTCTACATAGTCTATTCGGACATCGTGCTCGATTAGAAAATGCCCAATGGCGCAGATCGATCCACCTCTCGCCATGGAGCTTGAGCATTGTCTGTGGCTGACTAACATGGGCATAATACTGAACATATCGCGACGCATGTTGCATTCCACGAAATACTCGCGAAGTTGGTTTTGAGTTGTGAACACCCGTGGAGCTAGTCATTGGGACCTCGGGAGTCACCATTGTATCGCATATGCGAAGCTTGAGCACTCGACTGTACTACATAGCATGCTAGCAGCAACGTAGTAAAGTGTTGTTTATCTCCAGCAGAGATGATCAGGACCAAGAGCGGAAGACTATGTGTTGTAATCCCAACTCGTAATCACCGAGCTTATTTGCTTCAATGCTGACGAAGGCCAAATAACATTTGGCCCACGGCAACGGCGGAACGATCGGAACGCAGCCGCATATTGTGACACCGTGCTGGGAACACGACGTTCGTTGCGATGAACGCGGTTTCATCACAACCATCAACAGACAACGGTGTCGGATGCGGGGGCGGTTCTGTATGTAAAGGAGCCGAAGGCTTATCAGAGGCGGCGCAGATGTAAGGAGGCGGGATGGAGATGTCGAGTGGGTCTAGTAAGTCAGGCGGGGAGATTACTATTTCCAACTAGGCGTCGCCGCAATTTGGACCCTTTGCCACCATCTTCGATCATCTGGCCGCACTGCAAGAGGCTTCGAGCTTGACAAGTACCACAACAACTGTGAAGATGATTCTTCCCCGGAAAATCCCCATGGCATCACACTTTATCATGCGCTGTCAGCCACAGGACATGAACCGCCACTTGAGCTGTGATGATGGCGTGGCAGCGGTTTGGCAGCGGTTTGGCAGCTCGGCAGCAACCGTGCATCACCACCCTTCGTGATGATTCACGGCTCAACGCCGGGCCGGCATGTGATTCGTTCTAGGACGGCATCCAGAAGCCACTTTGCACCGCCAGTGGATCCTCGCTCGGGTCCGTCTGGCTGCAGGGACGCCGCAAAAGGCTGAAGGGCCTGCCAAGCGCAATCTCGCCGGCGCCCCATGCCACCTCCTGCGCGTCTTGGCTCTTGCTGACGGGCTGATGGGTCTCTCGTCTTTTAAAATGTGCTGATCCCCCGAAGCCCTGCCACAGCACGCTGCACCCCCTATCGCCAACAAGACATCTTCGTCTGTCTTCCATCGTGCCGCTCGTTTGGACCTCGCCCACGTTCCTGGATCTACGCTGCCCATGATGATGTTGCCGTCGACTGGAGGTCGGAGCCCGTTACTCGCGCTCTCAGTGAGCGCTGGTTGTGTCCTGGTATTCATCTTTGCCTTCATGGCTTGGCAAAGCCCTCCCCGTATGGCTTTTCCCCATAGGACGGGAGTTTCGAACTTGTACGTGCTGTCATTTCCTCGTGGTGGAGGCGGAAGGCCCTAAGCTATGCTTTTCCCACGGAGCGGAGCTAACAACAACCCTACAGGGCAGCAGCCAGCGCGCAAACTGACGCAACCATTGGCGAGGTTATCAAGTTACTGTACCAAAACCTCAAGGTTGCGCCAACCGAGCCCTTTATCCGCGAACCGAATGGCAGCCATATCTCTTTGCCACCAAACCCGCGCTACAAGAAGACAATGGGCAGCGACGTCTTGATTCTTGATCTAGAGACACGCAATCTAAAGTCTTCTGAGGCATACCAGAAGGGCGAATACGATTGGCGCAATATCAATCACGTTTCTGGTGGAATCTTCAACCACTACACGTACGCGCTCGTCCACGGATACGATTACAAGTTTGTTCAAGCACACGAATTCGAAGACCGACATGCGACCTGGATTAAGCCCTCTGCGCTTGCCAACTACATCAACGACTACAAGTTCATCGTCTTCCTTGACGCCGACGCTGCTTTCCGCTTCCTACACGTTCCCGTCGAGTGGATGCTCAACCACTGGGATATCAAGCCGCACCACTCTTTCGTCATGGCTAAAGATCCCTGGAGCGAGAAGGAGCCTCAATACAACTCGGATCGCTTCAACCGTACCTACACCAACACTGGCTTCATGATTGTACAAAACAACGAGAACACTATGCCCATCCTGAAGGCATGGCACGAGTGCCCCGACGACACCCGATACGCAAACTGCTCGCAATGGAAGCAACCTCGATTCCACGAGCAATCTGCCTTCGGTGAATATATCCGCTACGACTACGAGCAGTACATCAAGGAGCTCGAGTGTGGCGAGGCCAATGGCTTTCCTGGTGTCGAAGTCAGCAACTGCCAGGGCAAGCTCATCCGCCATTACTGGTTCGACAAGAGCAATGTCAAGATTGACTTCCGGGAAAACATCATGCAAGCAATTACGCTTCCCATACAAAAGATCTTTGCACAGAACACCAGTGGTGTTGTATTCCAACAAGAGCATAATGTCATATTACAATAGCACCAAATTGCTTTGCCAGCAAAGATAATACATTCACGACGAAAGAGGAAGGCTTATCGCATATCATAGCGTTGCATTACCAAGGCGTTTCAATCTGGGATGGAGATATCACCATCATCATGTTTTTTTTTGGGTTCGGTTTGGGCTTGGTGGTTTACGCCCAGATTCAATCTTCCGTCGCTTTCGATTTCGATCTGGGTCTTCCGACGCGATGATACCCCAATACGAGTATCCAGTTCAACAAATCAATATTGTTCATAATGCCAACGTCTGTTGTGATACCAGATTCTCTTATTTTTCTCATTCGGACCGTCCGGTTGCTTGTCACTGCTGTAAGACCCGGGCCAGTATCACCTTCCGTTCAAGGTACTGCAGCGTCATCGGTCGTACAGCTCACCACAATCGATCGCGACCATCAAATGCATCACCACTGGGACGCCTAAGCAACACCAAAACAGGATCTTTGCACAGCCAGCCCGCATGTATCCCGCCACTCTGACTAGCCACGCGACTGCATACTTGCCAAGGCGCTGGAAGCTCGCTAGCGCCGATGATCGGCGGTCAGCCACGTCCTCGCATTCAGGTTCGATGGCAGGGCTTACTAGATGGCCGATGAACTTCCGACGAACTCGCGACGGCGTTGTTCAGGCGGAATGGGATGGATATGAAGATATGGTATCATGTTCTGTTTATCTTGGGTTTCGAGACGGTGTCTAGCAAGTGCGCGGCCGCTTGTCGATCAGCACGCTTCGGATGTGGCCGGCTGGGACTGGAACTTTGGCTCCGGTGCTAGTAGATTCTGACACGGCGCTATTTGGCCTGGAGGGGATGCTTCTTTGGAAACATGAACGATTTGGTTCGGGCTAGAGAGCTTAATAGTTATACGATGGTCGTCGTATCGGTGTGTCGCAGACTTGGCAGATCCAACCCTGGATGACCATGGTCACATGCGTTGCGATACGACCTGTTGTCACAACATATGCGCCACTGCCAATAATCTATACAGTTCATCGGAACCTGTGGTTTTCATCTTTTCTTCATACTGTCTTGCTCTCATTGACTCTCTTGCGTTTTCAACAAAATGCTCGTATCAAGCTGCGGGCACTCACAGTAGCCTTGATGGTAGATATTTTGGCTTTCCCAGTATCTTCAGTCTTTGACTATCATATCTCGATTGTTTGAACTGGGTTTACACAACATGACCACACTGTCGGCCGTATTTTGTCCTAATGTGCTGTTATATTGTTATATTCTGCGGCCTAGGTGTGCAGCGTACGTTCCCGGGTGCCAACTCACACCTCTCCCGGTACCCATGAGGGCGATCATATTCTCCAAGAATCTCCTTTGAGGTGAAGTCGGGCATTGAAAAATGCCTCGTGTCCCCGATGAGTCTGCATAGAATGCTCGGCCAGCATTCACTGTCATACTATAGGCACTATACACCCAGTTCATCTGACCGAACTCTTGTATCCACAAATGATGAGGATGAGAAGTATATCGAGCGCCCTTTAGCACATTGCCACTCTACCGAGAGGCTAGAAGAAGTATATTAGCTGGCTAATGAAGGGATAGCAACCTGCTATATCTAGCCTTTGCTAGCAGGGAAAGTGTATCTCGTGCAATGCTTCCCACTTTGGATGAGCTATACCTTGGGAGCGCCAGGATTAGAAGAATGCTGAGGTCAGCAATGCCAACTTCAAGATCAAGTCTGAGTACGGATTACACTCATCACACAAAACACGACAACCCCAGCAATTCTTCTATGGCCGTTTTCAACAATATCTGCGGTTTCAAGGCCTGCCTGAATCAAGCTTGGACAAGCTATCAGAATGGCTTTTTGTGCCTACACACATATTGCTCCTGTTCATCAAGGCTGCCCAGACAGTGGTATTGGCGGTACCGCAAGTAGTGTGTTTCTCGTACGTGAGAAGGCGAAGCCTGCCGCTTCTGAGGCTACATTGTCAAGTTTAGCGAAGACTATGTCCTGAACGACTAATCAATCGTCAATATTAGCGCTGAACAGCTTATTTGGCAGCTGCATCACAAATACTCAAATGTGCTGCTGGCTCAAGTGATAGAAGCAGATTGCTAATGTCATAAGGCGTACTACTACTACTACTACTACTACTACTACTACTACTACTACTACTACTACTACTACTACTACTACTACTACTACTACTACTACTACTACTACTACTACTACTACTGCTGTACGGGTGTTGGAGTGTATGAAGACACTATCACGAGGATGAAGAAGCATCTCTGCTGCGCAGCCGAGGAGGAGAAGGAAGTACAGGTGTTGTACAGTGGTATTCAAAAGCTAAATGAGTGTAGTGGTGCCTTGGGGTGGCTGCTAGTATACAAGTTGAGGTCAGAAAAGTAAAGATTGCATGAAGTGTGTTGGTGTTTTCATGATCGTGTTCATGATAAGGACGATACCTTATGCAGATGCGTGTTCAACTCAAAGGATATACTCCTCCGAGCTGACTAATCACATTCTGCACCAGCACACTACTACTACTACTACTGGCACCCGTCTAGCGAATAGACTGACGAATATTACCCTCAGCCGCGACCATTCAGTGTCCACTAGCGATAAGCACAACCATGTACACCTGTGCCTGTGGAAAGCTACGACTGCACCTGATTACGTCTCGGTATGCCCCCAGCTAAGGACACTCAACAGCCGAGTGGAACGTTCAAACCTCAATACCATCATACTAGTGATTACCCAGCAGCTCAATCTCTTAGGCCATGTCAGATTATTCTCAGGGTGGTGAGAAGCATATTTACATGAGGACTGCTAAACCACTTATGGTCAAGCCTAGAACATAATGAGCAGGTTTGGAGGCGACTCGGAGTAGGCCGAGCCAGACAGGAGAGCTCTCTGCACCGAGATTTTGGTCATTCCAGACGCATGCAGGGTATATAGTACCACGACGTACGACGTTGAAGAGGTGAACAGGCAAGCCAACGATTCTTCTTTGCCTAGTCATCAAGACTTCGAAGGGGGTTACAATTGATGTCGTGTGTATGGTCTGATTCGTCGTGCTCGCTTGGCTGGTGTTCCTTCTTTGGCAGTTGGCAAACAGTACTCGAGCACTAGCTAGACGCGACAAAAGGTACGCACAAGGCGGTGGCAGAGTGCAAGGAGAGTGATGCGAAACTGGAGTTAAGCGCAGAAGTTGGACGTGGGACACTCCATGGGACTGACAAGCAATAGAATCAATCAATAAGTAGCAAATGATTGGCAAATCACTCGCAAGAGTATATTACAGATGGGGTATCTAAACGTCAATATGTGCAAAGACCAATCGAAGTATATGACACGTGATGATCCGAGGCTATCGCTGTACAACACGCAAACCAGCTGCCGCTCCAGCCACGTTACCCTAAATCCTCATCCAGCAAGTGGGTCCATTCGAGCGGCTGCTGGAAAAGGACTGGATCAATATATGAAAGATCAATGCTTGCATCGCTTCTAGGTACGGCCTGAAAATAGTCTTCTGGCAACGACTCTTGGCTGAGCAGGGTACCGTGAGGTGTCGAGTAGGGTGAGGCTTCATACTCTAGAGCTATGGAACGATGGGAGCAAGGCGATGATGTCAAAGGACTATGGATGATGGGCTCTTCCATATCGTGTATTGTACTCGACCCAGTAGGTATTGGATTGGAGTATGGTGAAGGCGAAGTGTCGAAGCTCTGATTGCTTAACTGAGTACTCATACCCGTTGAGCTATGATAGCCGGTAAAAGTTGCGGGCGCAGATGTTCGTCCTTGTTTGTGTTCGGTAGAAGGAGGTTGCAGATGTTGAAGAGAAGAATAGGTTTCCCATTTGGTAGAAGCAGCTGGTAAACCATTGTAGTCGGTAAAATGGGAGGGCAGAGGCTCAATACAATCGGCTGACATTGTTGCTATTACTGTCTGGTAGGTATGACCAATCCGCTGGAGACCTTGGCCCCTAGAATGTATAGACTTCGTAGCATAAGCCTTGCGCGCTTGTGGCGCAGCGATTTGCAATTCCGAGCCGTGGTTGATCCGAGGGGATCTCTTATCTAATCGACGACGAGGAGTTGACCCTCCGCTAACTTTGCGTGGTGAGCCTACAACCACAGGTCCATTGCCTTGCTTTCTCTTGATGGGATCGGAGTGTAGTCCAGGGTGGTGCTTGCGTGCGTGTTTCAACTTGGCGTCTTTGCGAGCGAATGTCTTGTCGCATCTAGAAACCGTACACTTGTATATAACTTCTTTGACCAAGGTATGCTTGTGCCGGAGATGTCGCCCGAGATTGCCTTTTGCATATGCACCAGTGAAGGCAACGTGGCATTGTGTGCATCGGACAACATCAGCGCCTAAGGATGTCGGCACAGGCGACAGAACTGGCGGCGCGCGCGGCAAAGAAGTGTAAGGATCTGGTTGCATATTGCGTAGTAGCAAGGGGCCATCGGTGCTTTCCTTGGGTCGCAATGGAATATCGTTGCTATATGCTACATGTGCATGTCTCTCCGGGGACAGTTCTTCGGCTTGATACTCTACAAACTCATCGTGTTCGAGCTGAATGAACTGTAAGTACGGAACGTGTAATGAGATCTACGATGACTTACACGAGTGTTAACTTGCGACCAAGGCGCAGGCCGGAAGGCCACAGAGAAGTGCTCCGCGCTAACGGGCTGCAGATCATATTTGGGGTACGTCGATGTCGACATGATGGATATGCCGCCTCGCATATGGTCGTCTAGAAGCTGGGAAGAATTATATCGCTATAGCTCAAGGAGTCAGGCGATGTCTGTGGTAGGGAAGTATGTCGCGTCTCACTGCGGAGAGAGTTCGTCGAGGCAGCTCGTCGGTAGCTGGATGGACCGTGACAGGTAAAGTTGGGGTGGTAGGATTTATGTGCGGAGAGGTGTTGCGAAGCTACAGGAGCAGACACACCCAATAGCAGTAGCCATGATGATACGCCTCCTGTAAATCGTGTAATAGTTCCTCTTCGTCCTCCATGCGTGTATGTTCGTCTCGGAAGGGCTAGCATATGCTCCGTGCGGGGACCGATGGGATGAAAGGGAACGTCGTAGGGCCAGACTAGCGTAGGATTGCTAGTAGCTCTATGGGAGCTTCGACAATGACCAGGATAGCCTTGCAACTTGAGGCATACCAATCGGCCAATCCAACGCCGAGTGCTCATAGGTCGTGCAGAGAGAGACGGGATGAGCGCGCAACTGTGCAAGAAAGCTAAAAAGTTCGACAATTGTAAAAATTGTAACCAGGGCGTCACACGACATTGCCGTATGAAAAGGCCGCACTAAAAGCGTAAGCCACGCAGACTAGTACACCCCAGTGTCGAGGCGGTGCACAAGGCATCCACCCTGAGGCATCGAAGTATGCTGCGCTGCAGCGCTCATTTCGCAACGTCGGTGCGGAACAAATCAAGGCCAGGAAAAAGTGTTGAGAGGGCCCACGATGCGTTTTCCCCGAGAGCGCGAGGTGAGTAGTGTCATGGCGGGGTGTTCTTTAGCGCACAGGTCGCAAAAAGGCAACTGTGATAGAGACTGACAGCTGGGCGCAGCGGAGGACTGTGGCGAATTTCTCGAAACCGAAGCAACTGTTTGTTGTAATGTTACGCTCTTTCGACCCAAGGCTGGGTTTTCTTACCAATTTTTCTCTGCTGCAGTGGGTCGCATAATATCTATCAATCGCTGAATTTTAAAGTCGGCTAACTTTGGCGTTTCTGACTTTGGCGTCCATGGTAGTTTTTTGAAGTTTGAAACAATGCGCAGAATTCGAGACATGTCCTTGGTGAACATGGTGGCAAAGGGCCGGTAATTCAACCAACCTGGTGGATGACGTCGGCGGGGCTACCAAATTCGAGGAGGGCGCTTACTGGTATCTCAAGATTGTTTCGATGAGATCTTGGCCTGCACGCCCCGACCTACGTGGCACGCGTGGCGCCATATCAAAGCGTATCGCATGCTGGAGCGTACAGTAAGCAGCACAAAATAGGTTCTAGTGGTGATTCGTATGATGCATGCAGCTACAGCTTCCCCTGAGACGCGCCGTGGCCTGTCAGAGCAAGATGCCATCTTACACCACACATGTCGATCCCCCCGTCATTCCAGAGGCCTGCATCACGAGCTCTTTTCAAGATGGCGTCGTATTCGGATTTGCCCTTTACACCGATCGTGATCGACACAAGGCCCTCTGATTGCCCTTTTTTCCCTGGGATGAATCCCAGTCTTGCGTTTGTGAAAGCGAGTAGGTCACGGATCCGTGCGACGCCGAATATTCCTTCCCACTCTCGCGCGGCCGCTTCGTGACCAAGGTCGCCGGGCTGCAGGCGAAGTACACAGCCTTCTAGCGTAAGGTGCTGAGTCCTTTTCATGCTAGTCGTATAACGCTCGACGTCTGATCCGCAGGCGTGCCATGGAGAGAAGCGAGACTGAATTGGTGTGGGATTTTTCGGATCGGGTACATGGGAATCAAGTTCAGGCATGATGCCGCCTAGTAGCCCGTTAGCAATAGAGCTGGGCCCACAAATAGTATGCAACCAGTGTCGAACTTACCCTTGATACCCCTCGGATGGTACTGAATGCACACAGAGTCTCCGAGATCATGCTCAAAGATAACTCTGGACAGTCCCTTCGCCTCGATGTGTTCGCGCCGCTTCTTCGCGTCTTCGGTCTGCATAATTATCATGTATCCTCCTTCACCACGCCTCTCGAGCAATCGTCCAGCGGTCGTCCCCTCCTTAAAGGGCGAGACCACCTCGATAAAGTCGCCGCCGATTGGTACTGCAGGTGTCAGTCGCTGAGGCCGGGAAAAGAGTGTGTACACACCCAAGAAGTTCTTCAGACCCCATTGCCCGACAGCCGGATCTTCAAAGACGACTTCTGTTCCTAGGACGTGCGTCTAATATCCCCATCAGTTCTAGAAATATGCGCTTTTGAGTTATCACCCTACAATCAGTTGCTTCGCGCGTTCAATGTCCTTCGCGACAAGGGCAATCTGGCGTAGACGCGTTGGGGCAGGGCCAAGACTCATGCTTGCTTGGTGGTCCTTGACGAATAAACAGAATTGTATGATGCACAATCGATAAAACGGAACAGTGCTTGTGGGCAATGTAGCGCTTCATTGACGCTTACTCGAACGCTGCGGCTCGTCATTTGGGCGGTAGCTTCTTCCCCGCATCAGCACCCGCGCCGTGCCAGCTTGCTGCATGTGACAACATCAATACCTGGCATTAGCAGAGGATGGGGTAACATCAGACTCAAATTGTGAATGATCGTAGGTAGCGATATGCAATTGCAGAGGTCTGTGATGTCGTCATATCATGGTGTAGTGATACTTCAATGCGACTGCCATCGGAGCCGACGTGCCGATGGGCCGATGCTTTCGTCTGACCTCACATTAACAACATCTTCCTTCCTCAACACCGCGCATGTAGAAATTGTCACCGCACCTCTTCGAAGGACTCCTTTTGCCTCAATTGATTCTCTTCAAATACAAGGTGTGGACTTCAAGATCTCTTCTCAATTTTACTTTACCCCACAAGACAGTATGCCTTCTTACAACCCATAACACTACGATGCGCACGCAACGTTTGGCTACCACCCTACCTTGATATTCAAACGTTCCCTATACAGAATGAGCAAGCTGCGTTTATCAAACATCGACTCTACCATACGAGTGTAGGCGTCTGTCTAGCGAAGAGGACTATCAGTGGTAAGCTAAGTTCTGCTGACCACATCAGATTATGTATGGTGGGGTAGGACAGACAAAATTCAGGCAAAGACTGTAACGTTTTATTGTTCTTTATATCTGCCAAGTCTACATTACCCTGTCGGATACTACATGTCCAGTACATTGTATCATTCGACGATCTACCTGAATCACCTCAGACTATCGACCTGACTGCTGAGAAGACGAGCAATTATGTTGCACAAAACTGCCTTGCGCGTGGAGTGCTCACGGTGCTACAGTTTAGTAGCCATTCTCTAGTCTGCGAAGCTATGAATGACGAGCCACTTACAACGACCGTAATGCAGACGATACCATAATCTCACCCGGAGTAAAGGACTACAGACCAAGTTGCGGTTTGCAATTGTCTTAAGCTTCTCATTGAGAACAAGGGATACTGACTGCAGAACGTCTATCGACCGGATTGCTTTCAGGCGAGGAGCATATCCAGAGAGACTACCACAATATACGTAGAAGAGTGTTGTATCGCGCAAAAGATCATTCTCTCTGTCCATTCCAGATCTTGACTCTAGCCATTAAATTCGGCAGGCGCCTCAAAGCCTTCTTGGTTGCAACAGCACTACGGTCCATCCTCAGTGCCAGGACGTCATAAATGACTGCTGCTGACGCGCCGAGCTCTTTTTTGTGAGCACGCAAACGGATTCAGACATTGCTACGCGCGTTTTTACGCGTTTTTTCGTGTTCTGTGGTTCTCTGCACGTCTTCTCGGCTTCACCACGAAAGCTCGGTTCACGTGTCTAAGTGCTCACCTGGATATTCTGAACCTTCGCTGCAGTCACCCTCCATTTTATCATCATTTTGCAACTCTCTTTCAGTTTCGAATAACAGATTCAGCTTCTCATCACTCTTTATAAGGTCGCTGTTTCCACGATTATCCACTCTTTCTTCGGCCATCTTCTCGCTTGTGTAGTGGGTCGATTCGCCTATCTGTTCTGTTCTGTGTTTCCCAGGTTAGTACAATCCTTCTCTTTTCTGTTTTTGCTTTGCTTTGTTGGAGGCGTATGGGGTTTATAGCTCTACAGTGAGCTTGTCAAGATGGCGGACTCTTTCGACAAGTATTTCTTCGCGATCGCGGTTGCAACACCGCTTCCCTTCATTGGAGACGGAGGCGTCGACAACGACGGCAACCTCGCGACCACAAGTTCTCATACTCGTTCTCAACTTTCTGCCATTCCGCGGCCCTTGATGATTCGGCCCACTGTTCTTCCGTCGCCTGTGGTCAAGGAGCCGAGCAAGAAGCGCAAGCCAGATTTCAGCATCTTCGTTGACACAGATACCGCCAACGACACCTTAAGGCCTATCTCCACCCCGAAAAAGTCTAGGACGGGTATTCCGCGCACTCCTTTGAGCGACATGACTTTCTCTACTGCTTCCACGCCAGCGCCGTCTCCTCGTCTTCCTGACACCCCATTCCCCTTCTCGGCCGCCGACCCCTACTGGGAGAACGTTGAGAACCACGATTCCTACATCAGAACTCCTCCCGCGACACCGCTTGGACCTCTTCCTACGCCGACAATTCCTTCTGGTCCACCACCTCCGCTGTCCACACGCGCCCTTCGTCCTCGCCGCGCCCGTGCTTCTTCGTCAGCGAACCTCCTTCCCCCGGTGAATATGCTCGCCTACGAGATGCTCGGTCTAAAAACTTGGAGAGTCAGCTCGGTCAGTATCAACCTCGCCTATCACAAGGCAGCCGCCACAAGCCACCCGGATAAGGCCGCTCCCCAGGAGAAGGAGTACGCAACGATAGATATGCAGCAGATCAACGCTATCAAAGAGATGCTGCTGGACACGGAGACCCGCACCAGGTACCACAGGGACGGAGTCATACCTTGGATCATTTGAGATCCTAACGTATTGTTGTCAAGCTAATGATACGATGGCCATGGTACGACTACAGTGCTAGGCTTGTATAAGAGATGCTGGAGAATTGTTGACAGGATTTTGCCGCCTGTGGCATACCAGAAATTCTTCAAACAGTTGATACGATGAGTATGATGGTTAGAGGCCAGTGGTAATGATGCGAAGTTTTTCAGCGTGATGATGGGGACTAATGGGCGGTGGTGGGAGTATTAAGTACCTGGGGAAGATGCTTGCTTTGTTGCGTTCACGACACTTACTTCTAGTCGCTACATCCCAAAATTCGTTATGATAGCTACGTTTCATGACGCACTACGCGCAAACGACAGCTACGAATCTTGTATGACTAGCGTATCACATTCTTTTGAAACCTTGGTTATACAATGGGACGTGGAGTGGTCTTTGCAAATTGGCTCGGTTTATCAAGAAGCTCACCGTTGCACTGATGATGACACATTACTCTGACATATTTTCGTATATCTACATCGTGATGCGTACACTCGTCGTCTTTAAGGAATACCGACACTTCAACAACGAGTAGGGCTATTGAACACGTCAATTTCGCGAATCATCTTCGGATCGATCCGCCGAACCCGGCGCATGAACCAATGTCAGCATGACTGCATCATTCACCATCCTTCTACCCACATTACGCAAATCGAACACTGACAGTACAAGCCACGACAGTCAATTGAATTGAAGAATAGCCCAAGACATGGAGTAGAGTAGATATCCCTGATCCTTGAATGTAATTTTTATCTGATATACTTTATAGATCGTTATCAGGCTGGTAGCCCAAGATGCTCATCACTCGCTCGACAGAATTTTCGCGCGAAATGCAACTCCGTGTAATATGCTTCGCTAGTAACAACAACAAAGACAAGTGACCTCCCATCATTCGTCCGTGGCAGCGCCAAGGAACTGCTATGGTCCACACCTCCGCGGGGCTGAGATGGCTGCTCCGCGGGGCTGAGATAGCAGCCTCGCGGCGTGTTTTAGCCACGTCTTCGCTTCGTGCGTATCGGCCGTATCGCATGTTTATTCATTATTACTCCGTCCTGATCCTGACGTACGAATCGGCGTTACTAACATATCCCCTAAAACTGGGGCCCACACTCCAATTCCCTAAATCCCTTGCGGCTTTCCTTGCCGCATCGCATAAGTCTACCTGCCCCGTCTCTTCACTTGTACAGAGCGCTTCGCCCACGGTAAAAGACCAGTCACATTGGAGATTTAGGCTCAAGTCCATCATCCACTCCATGCGCTCTTGCATAGCAGGTATCTGAACAATGAGCTCTCGGAACGCGGGCCAGACGATGAAGTCGACAATATTGATGTGTGGCATAAAAAGTTGGTTGGGTGTAGGGCGAAACCATTCGGGGATGGCGTTGTAGGTTTCGGGGGAGGGTGATATCATCCAGCGCATGAGACACCAGAAGAGGTACATGGAGCCGAAGCATGAGAAGGTGTTACCTATGGATTGTTAGTAAGAGAATGAACTAGCGTGATGTTTTGTATCACACATACCTTTCATGTAAACGCCATGTGTCATACCAACCGCCCATTTGGAAAGTATTCCCGAGTGGGTGTACACTTCCTTGTCCCATAGGGCTGCGATGTTCGGGTGTATCTCGATAATCTGCTCTATTGATACCCCCATGCTGATTAAACTTGTAGCTTGTTGTAGTATAGTGGGTACTGCGCGTTTCAATGACCCAGGGTCCGGCATTGTATTGATGGGCAACATAGCCCACGTCGGTAGAAACAAGTTACTAATCTGAGTGTCTTGGATGTCGCCTGGGTAGTGGTTGCTTCGGATACTACTGGAGAAGGGCATATTGCCAAACATATTGCGGAGGTTGAGGTTTGGGTGTATTCTGACAGTGTTTACCATGGGTTGGCGACCAGCGAGATGTGTAGGGTATATCGATCGAATCGTGTTCCGTCTGTGTGGCGAAGGTCTTCGACTTCGAGACGGTCTTGTGGATGACGGCGCTGTGTTCCGCATGGTATCGAGGCTTGACGCATGCTGTAAAAGCCGTGGGTCGATCCGACTATCCTGGAGATTATCTTCATCTTCACCATCTTCTTCGGCTTCGTCCCGCGCTAGAAGATAGTCATCGCGATTGAACAATGGAACTAGGAAGCTTTGTTCCTTCGCTGCATCTCCAGTAGCTGGTTGCTTCCCTTTGCCCGATGGTGCAAACGAGGATGACGAAATACTTGCAGAAGGTGACCAGCCCGCGTTCTGGCTTGTAGGTGATGCCAAAGATATAGAAGAGCCCTGTCGAAACTTTGAGGCACTTTTACTCATATCAAACACGGATTCGTGACTCATACCGCTTCCAGAGGTGTCCGTAGACTCCTGGCCCAGTAAACTGAACCCGGGTTATCAATGTGCTGTAGCCAGAGGATGCTGTGATCGA